TCTAAGGTAGCAGCACAGCCAACGGACCAGGTTGTGATGTAGGTCTGAGGCCGTGATCATGCTTAGGAAGAGGGGGTGGTTGACACTATCAAAAGCCTTCAAGAGGTCTACTGCAGTGGCGACTCTGCGGGCTGGAGGGCGCCGAGAGTTAAAACTTGTGTGATCTGGTGCACGAGTAGGAGGAGGGCGGTGACTGTTGAGTGTCCCGGTTTGAACCCATGTTGTGAGGGGATGGTGGTGAGGGATCCTAAGATGTATGGGAGCACAAGACACTCTAGGATCTTGGCTGCAGGGCAGAGGAGGGAGATAGGGTGGTATGAGGAGCCCTGGTTTCCGGGTTTGCCCGGTTTGAGGATTGGAATAATTATTGAATTTTTCCAAATGGATGGGATTGAGGCTGTGGAGACAGAGATGTTAAAAACTTGGGTGAGGAACTGGAGACCATGTGGGCTGAGGTGCTTGAGGTGAAGGACCATGAGGCCATCTGGACCTCGAGTGGACGACTTGTTGGAGGCTGCAAAAGCAAGTTTCACCATGTCAGGTGTGAATGGGGAGAAATCCCTATCAAGGGGATGTTCAGCCCTGATTCAACGTATAAGGTGGTGGGTGGTAGGACTTTGGGAGTGGGTAGCAATCAAGATGAATAGCTTGTGGAATGCAGAAGAGATCATGCACTGGGAAGAGAGGGAATTCAGACCAAATTGGATTGGCTGATTGGGGGAGGGCGGTTTTGCTTTCTGGCTAGTGAGCGGAGGAGATTCCAGTGCTTAAGACTGGTTTGTGCGCCTGCTGCATAATGCAAGATGAGTTTGCTGTGTGCTCCTAGCATGGGCCTGTATGGAAATGCTAATTTCCAGGTCAAGTTCTGGGAGCCAGGGGTTGGTTGGGTTATGCGCCCTGATATCATCCCATTGCTCAATGAACAACCGGGTGTCAGGGTTGATGGAGATGGAGAAGCCCTTCTGGAAACCGGCAGGGATATGTTGTCTAGCAGCTAGCAGCAGTTGTTAAGACTTCTCTAAGTTGAGTGCTGCTTTGATGGCTGCCATGTAGGCGGGCCAGTCAGCTTTTTTAAAGTTGACATATGAGCGGGTGGCCCTGGGGGTCGGGTAGTCAACAGAGGAAGGAAGATGAATCAAGATGGGCAGGTGGTCTGAGTTGAGGGCAATTTGAGGAGTCCAGGAGGTGTTGAGAAGATGACCGCTGATGATGTCAAAGTCCGGTGAGGAGGGCGGGCTGTGGGAGAGGAGGCAGGTATGGGAGTCCTCATTGAGGTAGGCAAGGGAAGGACCAGCAACGAGGTCATCAACTATGGCTCCTCACGCTGAGGCTCTCTCGTCTTCCGTATGGGAGAACCAGGAAGGATGATGGGCGTTAAAATTGCCTACCGTAAAATGGGGTATCTTAGACTACTTTTTTTTAATAATGCCATTTTTTACTAGCTAAATTAAACTTATATTGGAATGTGCAAAATACAGGTCTATACTCTAGGTTCACTCGCCATAAATTGCTGGCTCCTGCCTCTCATAGTTTTTATGTAATTTAATAAAAAGTGATAGTCTTTGTCTTATCTTATCTCAGACTGGGTGGTAAAATCAATTATATTTTTTAGTGAAATAACTCAAAATAACTCAAGGTTTTGGTGAATTGTAGTAGAACTCTTCTAGTTACATATGCAAATGACAAATTTGAGGAAAGTGTCAGTTTGCAAATGGGGGGTGCCACCCCCGAATGGGGAACTTGGACCACCTAATGTCAGCCATGAAGGGGTAATATTGACCAGCCTGGAAATTAAGTTAAAATTACCATATATGACTCTGTAGAGTCTGAAACAAAGAAAAAATATTAATAGTTGTTTCAAACATGAAATATGTTATATGTGGTGATTTTAAATTAATTTCAAAGCCGGTCTATGTTACTTTGTCAGGGCTGACATTAGGTGGTCTAAGTTACCCCATTCGGGAGTGGTGCCCCCCATTTGCAAACTGACCCTTTCCTCAAATTTGTCACTTGCATATGTAACTAGAAGAGTTCTACTATAATGCACCAAAACCTGGAGTTATTTTACCAAGGAATAAAAAAATTGGAGGGGATTCTACGACAGGCTTTAAATAATAGCTCTTTTTTTTTTTGGGTCACATTTTTCATTTTTTAACCTATTAGATATGCATAATTTTTTTATCTTTCTGTTGTGTTACATAGCCTCAGTATTAGGTCTTTAATGCCCATTGACAAAATTTTTCTATATCAAATAGTTTTTGAGTTTTGGGGGTTTTTATTAATAAAAACTGAATGCGGTCTAAGTTAACCCCGGGAGTCTGAGTTATCCCATTTTACAGTACTATCAGACAGTTGCCCTGTATGGAGACATTGTCTGAAAAAATTTTGGGGAATATCCCGGGGGGCATTAGGAGGCTGGTGGAATGTAAACAATGATGCAAAGAGGGGAGCCATTAATAGGGGTGGAGATTGCTAAGGCCTCCATGGTGGTGTCGCCGCGTAGGAGGGGAGAGATGTTTCGCCCGGTGTACGGGACATCGTGGCCGATCAAGATGAGGAGACAGCCACCGTGATCTCCCAGGGGTCCCTGCCCTCCAGCGCGTATCTGGGGAAGGAGGGGGAGCGGTATGCAGCAGATAGCTTGGTCTCTTGGAGAAAAGCAACAGCCATGTCGTTCTTGGCAAGGTACTGTGGAGGTACATGCCTGGTAGGCTGGCACTTGCCATTGTTTGTCTCCTTAATTTTGGTGGGATCAACATGTCTGCTAGTTCTAGTCTATTGAAACTACTTAAGATACTGGGAAATGAAGTTGGTTTCTTCTAATTTTTACTTGAAAAATTAAAGCCAAGGATACATTGGTTTTTACAAAAGATCAATCAATATGCTTCTGGTACTGCTTGAGTTGGTTATAAATTAGGATCAATGGAGAATTTTTAGAGACATTGAGGAATGCAAGAAAATAGAAATAGGTAAGAAAGTGAACATTTCTAAGGAACATGGATGGATGCTTGGTTTGCTGAAGCTGTAACAAAAATTAATATAACTATCAAGAAAAATTGAATGGCTGCATTGCAGAGCAAAATTTTTTTAGAAATACCAGGCAAGCATGCCTCAAAATACACAGCTCCACTAGCTCCTGAAGAATTAAATAAATGACTATGTAGAATGCTCTCAGCAACTTGAATTAAACTTATTAAAATGAATGTGAAATAAATGTAAAACTATTAAAAGTGGTCTGAAATTAACTGGATAAAAGATATGATCATATTTACACAATTAAGTTTCTAAGAGCAACAAAACATATACCTATTATCTGGTTAAAATTGACAGTGAAGTATAACATAAATAATGTACAATTAATTGCCTAACTCGTTCATATCCTAACTATAAATTTTTAGCTCAACCCACCAGTTACAGTAAGCCTCTCTTCTACAGGGATCAGTTAGTTACCTTCCATTCACCTTACGACTAATAACTATTCTGCATACAATTGAATATGATGCTGTAAAAACCAGCAAAGGAAGCAACATGGAAGCATCCCATCCCTGGTAATAATGGAATGTATCTATCTTTCAAACTGCAACTAGACCGTTCCCAAAAATTTCAGTGCTGCAAGATTCCTTCTGATTAATTACAAATTGCACAATTAGGCTGCAACATTCTAAATGTATCAGTTTTATCACTTAAAAGCCATGAGATTTCATAAGTAGGAAAATTCCAATCCTGGTATGGCCAAGTAGGGCTGAATAGCGGAATAAATTTTTCTGGTCTTAGGGTTCTATGACAGAATGTTTGTTAGGCAGGAGTGTCATGTAGCACTGATACTATTGTTGTGGTCCAAAAGAAATATCTACAATGCTGAGCAATAAATGTCTTGTATACCAATCAGTGTAAAATAAGCACAGCAGATCATCTTGTAAAACATGGTAAAAGTATTTAAGTTTATCAATTAACAAACACTGATGTGCTAAAATTTCTCTTACCATGACTTGTAATATCAATTTTTTTTATGCTTTGCCGCTGAGGTTGTACAGCTATGAATGAATGAAGTGATGTTTGCTCAAATACTATAGTGTTAAACTTAAATAATGCTTTGAGTTCCTATTTATATTATCATTAAATTTAATGTCTGGATGAAAAAGCCAACACCTGAGTGCCTTATTCTTAGCATAAATGTTTTTTGAAATGAGAGAATCTGAGAAAGTTATTGGAGAATTTACTTCAATGTGACTAACATAAAAACTGGTGTAATGCTATCTCATATATAATGGTTAAAGTTGGTTTTTGTGTGTATGCTTTTGTGCAGATGTAGAACATAACTGCTTCTAAAGCCACAACTGGAGATTTCCTGCCATTTGATTCCAAAATGAAATATCTTGAATCTCAGCATGTGATGAAGCCATGAGATTTAAAATTTATTGAAAATAGGTCACTGTGAAGGTGTAATACATAAATAATTAGTTGGACTTTTTCAACCTTGAGTTGTGTTTGAAGCCTGTATTGTTTGTTTGTATGTATTGCAGTGTATTGTATACATTGCATGAAAAGTATTGGACAAAATAACTTAATAGAGAATTGGTGCTGATACTATTCAATTGACTCATCTTAATAGTAGAGCCAAGGAAGGCTGTTAGGTATGATTGAAATCCAACTGGGTATTTTTAAGTTCATATCTATTCCAAAACAAAAATTAAGTCAGAATTGCCATGCCCAAAATAAAAATTTTTTTACATTGAATTCAATTCTGGCATCCTGCCATACTTGTTTTAAATCATTTTTATTTTTAAAGCCCATAGAACATTAGAATGTAAAGGTTAATTTTGAAATCATGCTGACTTGTCTTAGTTCACTCAGGAATTTTTCATGATTATCACGAGTTAATTATTTTGTTATTTTGGAAATCATCATCACACATGCAAAGCTAAATAAAATCTTGAAAGCACTATTTTCAGGAAAGGCAAGAATTTAATCCCAGAATAATAAGATTTGTTTGCTTTCAGATGACTTCCCGTGGCAACATGCGGTCAACCCGCTCCTCAACCATCGGCCAAGCCACCATCAACAAGAACAAATCTCTTGCCATCCTGGGCTTCAATGGCAACAATGAGAATCTCCTGCGCCCTCCCCTGCCAAGCAAGACTGGCTTCACCAGAGGTAATATAATCTCATTTAATTTGTGATTATATTGTGATTGATTATATTATATTATAGACTTCACCAGAGGTAATATAATCTCATTTAATTTGTGATTATATTGTGATTAATTATAGACGTGTGTGTAGCATGACAATGATTCTACTAATTAAAGATTGCTGCTAATTCATGTACATACTTGAATCCTCTCAATGATTCCTTTTCACTTAAAATAATAATTTCACTTTAATAGGTATTAATGTTACCGTATATGAAGTAACAAGCTTGATGCTCATGAATGAGTTCATTGGTGTCAATTCTCTATTTGTATTTTAGTTCATTTTGTTTATTCATTGCCATTTTAACTGCTTGATTTTGATCACTTGCTTATGAATATTGTTTCTTGGCCTGTATAATGGGTAATCCTGGGTTGGCATCTTTGCAGTCAGGTTCTACCTATTTCTTTTTCAAGAGTTTGATCTATTGAATGTAAATATTAATCTTGTCTAATCTTGAGAAACTCTAATTTTCTTGCTTGCTGCTGGTACTAATCTTTTTCAGAGATGTTGTGTATTAATGAAAGTTTTTGTATTTAAAGTGTTCTGGTTATCAATATCATAACTAGGATCAATCTGAAATATGTTTTAGCAGCTGAATTATATATGAGCAAGGAAGCAAGTTATTTCTCTGCTCAGTCTAATGCTTGTCTTGTCCTCGCTACTTTTATATTGCCATCCCATAAATGTATATATCATAATCCATCGAGTAGCTTGAATAAATTCATAAATGATGCAGAAAAGCCAGAAATGCAATTGATTTTACTGCACATCCAAGGGAGTTGCGTGAAAGGAGGCTTATCACCTGTGTCCAAAACACTTGCCGCTACGTCACCAGTAAAATATTTATGCATTTCCCCAGGTGGTGGACTGAAAGATGCTGGCAACAAACAATTCACATCAGTGGGTGTGAAGCGCAAGGCTGATACATCTATTGAGTCTGCAACTACCAAGAAACGCTCTGTGCTTGGAGATGTAACAAATGTAAGCCATCACTTTTCATGCTCACAATTTTTTCTCTAAAAGTGTTGTTGATTTTTTTGTGTGCTTGTTGAGCAGTGATTTTGCTGTGTAAAGTTTCCTGTGAGCTTGTTTACTGGCGTGGGGAGAAATTAGACTTATTCAGTGAGTGAAATGGGTTGTCTTGAGTATTAAATTATTTTATACTTGATAAATTATAATTTTATTTGAGAATAAAATTATCCATAATGATACATTTCCTTCACTTGACACTAATTCAGCCTTATCTTGATTTTTTTATCAGGTGAAGATTTTTTTTAATTGCTGCTTAACATAAATGTATAATAAAAATGTGTGCTCATTTTTTTTGGTTAACCTACCCGGCATTGAATCTGCATACCAACTTAATTGTTTTAAGTTGATAATTTCCCAGCAGGCTATTGAGAAGACCATCAATCAAGGGCGAAAAGAAGTCCAAAAATTAGGTCTGCAGAAGAAGTCTCGTGTAGACTCGGCTCTGTGCAGACCAACTGCCAGTACACTGGCCAAACAAGTTACCCAAGTTCCTGCCAAATCTAAGGTGCCGTTTCTTTTACTACTTTATTCAATTTCATGAGCAGTTTTAGCTTCGTTTCTATACTACCTTGGCCTCTGACAGCCCCTCTTATATTCTGTGTGAAATGCCTTGAAATTTGACTGCATTATTCCTTGTGATTTCCATGAGGATTGCATTGGAAAACTTCTTGTCTCTTGACACTAAATCAAGTAAAGCACCTGATCTGTTTTTAATAGAGCAAGGAGGTATTTTTCCTAACTGCATTTAAAATAATTTTCATCATATTTCACTCGTACCAAAGGTACAGCTTGATGCAAATGTTTAGGTTACTCATCCTGCACCTAACTTCCAAGCTGCTGAATCTATCAAATATTTGAACAATACTTCAAACTTAGAGCTGTGCAAAGTCTTTTCGCGAGCATATCCCGAATGTCTCGCGTATCTGGAAATATCCTGGATAATTTTATACTTGGTGGGAGAATCGTGAGCTATGCTTGAGTTGGCCTGGATTTAAAAAGTTATATGTTATCAAATACATTGTCTATTTGGTCTGAATTTTTATTGATGATTAATCAATATATGTCAAATTGTAAACAATACTCGCAGGTTTAGAAGACTTTGAGTTCATAAATATAAATAGAGGTATATTTTTTGTTACAGTTGAAATTTAATTTCATTTAAAACTTTTTGGCATTTTTTTTCTTAAAAAATTACAATAACTTGAGCAACATAAATTTTACGGATGGCAATCTCAATTTCCATGTGAAGGCAGGGTTGACCAATTGGTTATAGTAAATCTCTTTCTCTTGAGAGTGATATTTTCCTATTCTCAGACTCTTCCTCACACCATCGGCAAGCTTGCATCTGTGACATCCTTACCAAAAGCTCAAAATGTCGATGCCGCTGCCAAAATCCTGAAGAATGCAGCTGTAGTGAGGTCCGAGAGCTGCTCTTTGGCGAACGTGCAGAAATCTAAGTTGGATAGAGGAGGCAATGCACCCCTGGCTTCTGAAGAAGAGGACGAGCTCAGTGAAGGAGACTCGATGCCCTGCGCTGCTATTGAACAAAGACTCACTCTTGACTCGTCCAACTACGTCACTGCTTCTGAAGCCAGGTTTGTGTCTTCAGTGCTCCCGAATAAAAGTATCAAGACTCAAGTTGGTAGTTTCATATGCAATTTATTAAATCTTAATCGGATGGAAGTTTAAAGGCTATTTAGCTTTTCAAGCAACTCGCATTTATTCATTGCATGCAACCCCAGACTCAAATAAGCTATTTTTTCCCCTAATGTTACTCTTACCTGTGTTGTCGGCAGTTCGTATGAACAGATGAGTAGTAATGTCAAAAAGAACAGAATTTTCTACTTTGAAATAGTAAGCTATCTTTCTGAATTTTTACACAATCCTGCTATGCAAATAAAATACGATCCTGCATAGCTCAGTAATGGTTTAGTACTTTTTCTCATCTGAATTTTTTCGTTTATGGCTTGCGTGAAGTTGAAGTTTTTTTTCGTTGTTGTTCTGCAGCCCCATTCGTTCAGCACGCTGTGCTGAAAGCGCCCTCACCTCAGTTGCTGAAGAAGACTTGTCAGAGGACTTCAGGAAAATTCCTGCTGGAGTTGTGGACTACGACAAGGAGTGTGAAATGGATCCATTTGCGGTGGCTCTTTATGCTCACGATATTTTCCAGTACTACAAACAGAGAGAGGTGCGTTGGCTTCATGTTTACATCGGCAGTTCTTGAAAACATTTTCATGTAGTACCAGCTATACTGAGAGCTTAGTTCAAATAAGTTAAATGATGTCAGAGGCAATTATCTACTGCATTATTCTATTAGTGTGCTGTATTGCATACCCCACAAATAAATTTTTTCTTACAATATTACTTAAGTATAAGTAAATTTAACGTTTCACAAAGTAAAAGACTTTGAGTAAATTGATCCCATCATTTTCAGAATATATTATTCTTAAATTGTCAGTGTCGGTATTGGCTTTCCCTTTCAAACAAGATTATTTTACTGTAGTGGTTACTAAATGTAGGCCTTGTGATGGCTGTCATAGAGGGTAACCTATATATTTGTCAAAGTTAGTGCGTGTTTTTGAAGCCTGGTGCTATAAATCTATGGGGGCTAATCGAGCGCGTTTACCTAAAAAATGTTGTTTCGGGATATTACCTGGACCTGAAATTTTATTTTTAATAAAATAATCATAAGGGCTAGCAAGGCAATAAGGGGAGGATGGAATCCAAATAGAATAGTAATTTTTAGACTAACACGTGTCAGTTTTTGGTTTTATGATTATAAATTGTATTCGGGATTACGGGATTCTCAAATTATCTGGAATTATCCATCCCGGGCAGCGCGGTTTTGGATGCCCCGATTTGGAAATCTATCTAAATGACGGTACCTTGGATGACATGATATTTTAAATAGTGGGGATTATCCAACCTTGACAACGCACAGTTCATCAGCTAGTGAATGAAAGATGGAACCATCACTTCCGATCTCCAGCAAATAGAACAAATTTGACTAAACAAATTTTTTGTTTCAGGCAAAGTTCCAGATCGATAAGTATCTCAGCAGGCAATCTCAGGTGACAGAATCCATGCGCTCAATTCTGGTCGACTGGATGGTTGAAGTGCAGGTGAGATCTGGATACAATTTAATTTTTCGCAATATTATGGCAATAATCGAGTAAGATATTGCAATCAATTAAGTATTCCACTTTTCCCTATTATCATCAGCAGTATTGATTACTCAAATTGTCAATGAAATCCTAAATAATATCAATTTAAATTTATTATTAATTCAGGATGCCGGCCGATCTTAATTTCGATTGTCGTTGTACAAGCAATTCCTTCATTTAAGTTGTAGTACCGGAGTAGATTATTGAAATAGAATATTTTAATATTTAATGCAGTTGCTCATTTTTCTGAAACTCCCGCACATTTACTTGTACCTTGATACTATTGTAAATCAGAGATTATAAAGTGCAATTCTGTACTTACCAGTCAAATGCAAGTGTACAATCTACTAATTTCTTATTCTTGACCAGTTTGAAGGCTTGAAACAAGACAGTTTGACCAACCTGCCTCCAGCCTTTCTTTTATTAGCTATTTTTGAACTGCCCTTTGCTCTTCAGCAAGGTAGAATTATCTATACACATTCTGATTGTCGGAATTGACTTGGAATGTTGAGTGGTTAAAAGTGTGGGCGTGATGTTGCTTGAGCTATTACTGTTATTACTAGGATGCTGTTCAAGTTGTGGGTAGGTAGCTCTGCGAGTCTTGATTCGAGCCAAGGGCTTTGTGGCTCGTACTATTCTGGTATTATTGTTCATGGAGATGACTCAAATGGAATCCTTAAAATGGCGATAGTACCTACTCGCATTTATGACTCGTCCTTCTTCCTGCCAGGAATCATTTGAACTAAACCACGAGACTTTGTATCTGGCTGTGAAGCTCGTCGACCTGCACCTCAGCAAGACAGTCATCTCGAGAGACCAGCTGCAGCTGGTGGGCTCCACGGCCCTATTCGTTGCCTGCAAATTTGACGTGAGTGTTGAATTGTATTTGTTTTTTACCTTTATGCAAAAGTGCAGTAAACTGTTGCTGAACTGATGAAGAGTTCTTAATGCCATAACTGGTCTACATTTGAATAATACACTAGGGAAAAAATCCTATCAATTCCAATAAGCGTTGGATATATTGGAAGCTTCTAAGTTGTGTATATATGAAATGTATACACATGAATATAAGTGAAAGTGTGCACCGGGGTTTACCTCGTTTTTCAAAGTTCAATTGAGGCGGATCATGTGATATGACTCATGCAAGGCAACTCAAGTCATGCTAAGGCAATTCCTTTCCTAATTTGAAGTGTATCATCCACTGATATATAGACACTACATGCTGTCATATTGAATACGCCTCTAACATTGCTCCATAATCTAAAGAACACATTTCAACGGGAAATTTTGGTTACAGTACAAGTATTGCAAATCAACAAATATCCTCAATTTTATGTTCGACATCATGTAGACGAATGAAGGTATCAAATATACATGAGGAAATTCAATCGTAGGAGAACAAGTCCTGGAATATATCAGATAAAAATTACATTTTGCGTTTGTGCTTTCTAAGGCTTTTTGTGAGTTTATGTATAATATTACGCGTATTCTAACAATGCCCGTTCACACAGGAACGGGTGTCTCCGTACGTAGACGACTTCCTGTACATCTGCGATGACGCCTACAAGCGCAAAGAGCTGCTTGCCTACGAGATAAAGTTGCTCAAGAGCGTAGGCTACGATCTCGGCATCCCACTCTCGTATCGCTACCTCAGGAGATATGCCAGAGTAAGGCAGTGAGATCAGACGTGATCTGCTTTAGATATAGACGAGATCTGCTCGAGAAATATAGACGAGAAATTTTAAAGTACGTTTCGAGACTAGGCTAATTTAAATATATTTAACCAGTTATATAGCAGACTTATTGAAGATGAAAGCATGTAATGTTTTATGCTACGCTGGAGTGCTACTATTTATTATGTATTAAAGAGTTTTCAAGGCCGGTTCTAATGTGATCTTGAAAATAATTTTTTTTTTGTGATAAAAAGCGCCTTGTTAGTTATTCTATTCTATGTGCCAGTTGAAGTATTGCCATGAATATTGAAAATTTCGAACATAGTTCCCTACGTGATCATTGCAGCTAAATAGTTTCTTCTGTTTCCGATTGCATAAATAATTCTTCAAGTGCACGACGACGTAATCCATTTCTTGTTCAGTGCGCTAAGGTAAGCATGGAGCAGCTGACGCTGTCACGCTACATCCTGGAGCTGTCACTGATGGAGTACCAGCTGATAGACGCGTCTGACAGCGCCCTAGCAGCCGCAGCGCTGCTACTCGCGAGATACATCACTCAGCGCCGCGAGATGCCAGAACAAGACAAGAATGAACTTCCAGACATCATTTGGAACAAAACTTTGGAGCATTACTCCGGTTAGTTGCTACTCATGAATATTTCATCGTATTTATTCTTATTCCGCTATTGTAGTGGCCTGCTGGCTTCAGGTGTAATTAATGATAGTCACCTCCTTTGAAATTACTTGTCTCTGGCCATTTCTGAATGCTAATGCATTTTACGATCGTTGGTTGTTAATCTATAATTTCAATCACAAGCAATTTTCTATAATAGCTGATAATTTTGTTTCCACAATTTTGTTTTCACGTTGTTACATCTCGAAAGTTGAACGTCACCAGTGTCGTCAGTCGAAAGTATTCATCTGACATGTATAATTATTTTTATACTAATATATCATGAACAACATCCTGCGGCCATAACGAAAAATATCGAGGAATTAAGAGCTGCTGCAATAGATAGCGAAATTTGCAAAATGACTGCCTTATTAGTCGTTCGATGCCTTTCTGTATTAGCCATGTTCGTGTCAAGTAGGTACATAGGCGAAATACAGGCGGCAGCTTTGATTTCTTTTCTGGGTTCTGACGAAAGGCTACGCTTATAGATGACATTTCATGGTCAATTTATTGTCCTTAATGAATTAACATTGTTATTAGTAAGCATTTGTTGTTACAGGATTCAGAATGTCGGAGGTGTATCACCTGGCGCAAGTGCTCCACACGATGCTCACTCAGCCTCCCAAGGAGCATCTGAAAACAGTCCGCAACAAATACAACCACGAGTGCGTATTTTTTTACACAATGATAGATTTAGTGCCTATTCGGTGATACGATATAACTTGATGTTCTACATTTTGATGCATACTGAACTTAAGAGAGTATTGTACAACCATGAAATTTTGTTCGTTTTTAAATGGACAGGGTGATTCGCGGAAACTACCTGATTTGTAAGCTCAATAAAAAAAGAACTAGTGAAGACATCATTACAATATAAATTTTATTGAAAAATAAATAACCTGAATTTTTGGTATCACTTAGTTTTGAAGATAACATCGGACAAATAACGGCCCCCATTGTCAATGCATTCAGTTAGTTGATTTTTGAAGTTCTGTTCCACTCGCAGAAGCTTATTGACGGGTATTTTGGCGATAGCTTGGCGTATGTTGTTCTTCAAATGTGGTTTGGTCCATTTGGACATTCATTGTAAACAATGGATGTAAAATAACCTTGCGAAAAAACCATACTGAGCCAAAACGGGAGAACCCACGTAACAATCGATTTCCGATCAATAACCCGTCCTGAAGAACTAATATGCAACCGAGTTCGGAATGCTCCTTCAGTAGCGGTAATGGAAGTATGGAACGGACCTAAGAAAAGTACGCCTCGACAGCAAACGCACGCTGCACACTTGTCCAATGCATAGTGGCAACTGACTACCTATGCGGGACACAAAATTTCACGACTTTGCCTTTCATACGAAATGCTCCTCGCCCTTTCCTGAAACAGCTTGCTGCTTGGCGCGAAATACTAAACAGGAAGTTTCTGTGATCACCCTGTATTTCGTGCTATACGTAATGAGTAGTAAACTTATTCAAGTGTAAAATGTATTGTTTCGGAACGGCTTGCGACAGGCTTTGGGCCCACTTTATGGAAATTTTCTCTTTTTTAGTAAAGATTTTCTATTTTTCAATTTTGTTATTGCATTTAATTTTTAGGTACAATTTTTGTGATAATTGCTTATTATTTCTACAGGGTTTTCTACGAAGTGGCCAAAATTCCGGTTCCCGAAACATTGGACTTATAATAGAATAATTTTTACCCATGGACTCATCCGCCTCGACAGCTGTGGAAGACTGAAGCTCTTCTTGTACAAATTGTCCATGGAAGCTGATATTGCAGATCACAACTCAACAAGTCTGGTCGTCGTGTTCGGTGTTGTTTCGCCAGCTTTTGATTTGGATTATTATTTTTTTTTTTGCGAGTATCTTGATCTGAGCCTCAATAGTTGACGCTTTGGACCTCACAGTTACCGCATTTAATCAGAGAATCGATTTCCTAAATTCTTACCGTATTTGAAAAGCCTTTCTTTGTACAGTGAATTAAATTCTCGGGTATACCGTGCCGTTGAATTTTATAGATTGTTTCTTCTGATACTCCAGGAAATGAACTAACCTTGTGCTCATTCCTTGTATACATGCACTTCGTTGCTACAAAATTATCTTCGTAAAGTAACTTTACTAATTAGAAGTGAATTGTTTTATAGTTTACATACAATCGCTGACTGGTGTTCGCACCTGCTTGTTAGAAGATTTAATTCGGACTGAAAGTTTCGTGACCAAACTGCTAAGGCTCCTTATTTGACCAGACAAAAGAGTAAAGTTACTTCAATAAGTTGTAACATTTACAATTTAAATGATAAGAACGAAGTCTTCCTCGCTTTAAGGCTTGGATACTTTTTTTAACTCGAAGGAGAGGGGCTTGTAATTGCGTAAATACTTGGTAAGTATATTTATTTACATTAAGTGTTCTCACCATGGTTTGTAAATACTGTACAGTTGCTGCACAATTCCCGAAATTCTCAGCTCGGAAATCGATTTAAAGCATGACTAATTTTTAGAATTCCCTCGTTTTTTTTCCGGTTTGATCACGGAGTACGTTCAGCAAAAACGTTCAGGATTTGTTGAGGCTATTCGTTGAATGGCTGCCGCGCAGCCTCGGGCCTTTGAACTTTTTAATCGCAGGATACACGCATGATAGAATTACTGTAGATGGTTGATTTTACCGTTCGACTTAACGTATGGGGGAACTATAGTCTTCTTCAGTTCTTCCGATTTGTGTCATTGATAACGTAGAATTTAATTTTATATAGATATAAATTGTAAGTAAGGTATATCTTGGAAGCCCATTGTAACTTACTGAAATTATATCATTAACTCTAAGATATTGCGTTTAGTACTCGCATTTTCATTATAATGGAAAGGTTTACCAAAGCCCTAGCGGTCGCTGAAGGTCTCCATTACCGCCAATTTCTGGGAAAGAGCAAGAGGTTCCGAATTTCGCGGTCTTACATCCCATTAAAATATCCATATGCTAAGGAGAGCGATGGCCCATGATAGTGTCTATGGAATGTTGAGGATTCCAAGATTCCTGTTGAGGATTTCAAGATTCCTTCTTAAAGGAATCTTGGAAACTAGTTCATGCAGCCCCTCGACAGAACGGGTTGCAGTTGTGACGTACATGTCAGAATGCCGTCGTTCATTGGAGGATGTTGCTCTTGGTTCAAGATGCAGACATCCCACCAAACACGACGCGCGGCAACTCTGAAGACATCCGCTGCACGACTCGGAGCAGCCTTAAGACAGTGAGTGCTGATGGAAGCAGAGGATTTAGCAGTCTACATGAATAGCAGTCAACTCAACGTTTCGAAAAGGTGTTCTCGTTTCTTAATCCAACAATCCTATCGCGTGACAGTTCGGCCTGTCCGGGCATAATTGGAATGCCGCGCACGAGCTCGGCACAAAGCAACTAATAATAGGTTTTCTGTCGCCTCAGAAAAACGAAATCTATTTCGAGCTGAAAGTCCAATGCTCATTCACGCAGCGCCGTCGTTCTCAAGCGTTTCAGACTTGAAGTCTGGCCCACTCGACTGGTGGTCATTTGTCAGCTTTTTCCAGTGCGGGTGTCCCCTCAACGGTTTCTATCCCTCGATTCAGTGGTAAATGTGAGCGCTGTCGCCAAGGTACGCCTATTCTGCGTAAGATGCGTGTGACACATCACGTTGGTATACTTGACGAGACTAGGGCTCCTGGTTTGGTTACTTTAGGTTAGATATCGCTTGAGGAGGTTGACTGCTCTGAACTGAACTCGGGAGGACTTGCCGCAGCATCCTAGCCAGGGTTTCGTCCCGCTTCAGTTGGAGGGTATCTGGATAGTAGTTTCTTCGGGCTACTTCTCGCTCTAGCTACTCTAAGTCAAGTCGGTGCATAATTTGAGACGGAAATTCAGGATGTTGCAGTCCTTCAGTGCCGCGAATAAAATCCTGGGAGTTAATTAAGGTTCAAGATCGACACGTTAACTCGATTCTGTTCATTATTCACGAACGTGAAGTCATCAGAAGGTAGTAGTCGTTTCGTGAGTATCTAAAGGTAGCTCAATGCTGCCTAATGAAAAGAACGTAATAAATGCTTTTGCGTAAAGACATTGACATCTCCGATAGGTCGAGTGGGCAATAAGCAACCGTTTCATTTCAGCTTCAAGTATATTTTACACTGGTTTCGACGTAATTTCCAGACCAGTTTCATCTACACGTCTGCAACCCAGAGCGAGGCTTTCTTGTCATAAAACGACGCTGTGACAATCGTTCCCATCAGATTTTCACTCCAACACCAGTCTCCTCCATACGCTAAACTGTTGTGGCCTTCGTACTTAACAACAACCTCAGGGTGCAATGGGTCGTCCGCCACAGCTATGATCTGTTGGAACGAGACAAGTTCATCATAATAACAAGCATTGTAAATAGGAAGAAAGATGGTAACAAGAGTATTCAGCTTTCCGTAAAAACAAAGTATCTGCGAATATGTTGAATCATCGTAGATATTGCTCACACTTCTAACTTGTTCCACAAGAGCCAATATTTTTTACGTTCGTTATTACTTCTTATATTTTAATTCAGCGTTGGCAAATTGTTATGGCTTGGCTTGAACCTTCTTCTGTACCGTGAAAGTTTTGATTAATCGTCAGTGTCAATCAGTCAAGTCTACACGTTTGACAGAAATTAGTTGGCAACAAGCAACTGCTTTGTGAAGGTGTGCAGACTGCTGTCCGCTCCGCCGCATTATTGTCACTCTTGCCATTAATTGCTTTGTCATTCGTTGTTTTTATCGTCGTCTGTGCTATGAAATATATTTTCGTTTATTTCTTATATTCTGTTATTTTACTCAAAAACTTTCAACCTATAAGTGATTATATATACGTGCCAATAGGCCCTAAATCATCAAGCCTAGTATAGTTTATCAAAAAAAGTATAGTAATTACTTTTCAAAGCCAACACTTCTAAAGAGGCCAGTGTCTCCGATGTTACACATGTATGACGAATTCATTTTATTTATAAATATAAAAGACATGTAATTTTTAATTTTTTTAATAGAAATAAAAAATAAAATAATTTTCAAATTAGTTTAGTTGCCAAATGTTTACTAGCGCTTCAGCTATTAAGCTATCTCGCACCGAAAGTCAATATTAACATCACCAAAGAGGTGGAAGGTCTCAATTATCAAAAGGTTCTCAAATCAAAAATTGTTCATCACCCACGAGGAGTGGAAGGTCTGCGATGTCCAGCCCGCTGAAGCTGGCTTGAAAGAAGCAGCGTTAGCATCTCAAAGAGACGAAGTGACAAGGAGGGACAGGTGAAAAGCAAAATGAAACGAAGACACTAACAAGAGGTCGCTTACACGGGACGTCGGTCGCCCGCTCGCCCGCACGAGCGAGACAGAAAAGGAAACTGTAAGGAATCCTACCTACATAATAAATTGATGTAAGGAATCCTACCTACATAATAACTTAACCCCACAACTGAGATCTGCAGTCAGACACCGCGAGCTCAGCGGTGGGGCGCTGAGGAACATCCCCCTATGAGTGCGAAATCCCATAGGACTTCAGACGAGCAGACACCCGTCAGAAGTTGATTCAAGCATTGTCTCCAACTTTACGCAAGTGTGCAAAATTTCAGATATATTGGACAGGTAGAAGTGTGTTAAATATCAATTATACGATTAGTAACAAGCAAACAAACAGCAAGAAGAAGAGAAGTGTTGTAATATGAACACATCTCTACCTGGAAGTGATTGTACATGCAAGCAGCCAAGAGGTGCGTCCCAGCGCTGGGTCTCCACTTGAGACGCCACACGCCTCCGTCGACGCGTGTTTCACTCAAAGGTCGTCGCCAGTTTCTGGCATCCCACAGCCGCACCACCTCGTCATAACTTCCGCTTGCCACCTGGGCACAGAAATAAGATGAAATCCAGCTCATACAAAGTAAAGCTAACTTTCATACTCATTTTCAAAAGTTGTCTATTCGTTATCAATTGGTAACAGGAAAGTCAATCGATAATAATCATCATTAACTTGTTCAAACATTGGAGCATATACTTCCGTGGTAACAAATGCGAATTGAAGCCGCTTGGCAACTCAGGTTCATAAAGTTAAAGCCGAAGGAGGCTCTGTGGCCTCCCAATAATGGATCCCCGAGCCATTTTTGGCTTTGGTCTGCAAGCAACATGAACACCGTGTTTCGCAACGGCAGTAATGATCATATATTAGAAATACTGACACTGTACATAAAACTGTAGTAAACATAAAAACGCGAAGATAACTAACCTGATGCTCGCGCAGCTCGTTAGCGTGAAAACTCGTTACTCCTCCATCATGGGATTTGCAAAAATACGGACTTTCAAGTCCGATCCTGAGATCGTATCCTCTGAGCTTGCTGTCGTCACCGCCCGAGTAGACGATGTCATTTTGCCAGTAGTTGAAAGCAGTGATCCAAGCCTCGTATGCATGACATTGAGCGAAGCTGACGCGCGACAAATTAGAGTTAGAGAACTCGTAGACGCTCACATTCCCTCCAGAATCACTCACAGAAATCTTTGGCGACTCAGTTGCGTACTTTCGATTGGACCAATCCAGGGACAACGCAAGCACGTCTTGTCCTTCAAGGAACTTTCTGCACAGAATTTCAAGCGACGGATTCTCTTCTTCCTCTCGAAGTTTTAGTATCACGAGTTCGCCATCAGAGGTGACAACTCCCAACAAAATGAGGCCTGACACTTTTTGACAACTCCACTTCATATCTAAAATACCAGCCATTTTTATTTCCTGAAGATCGTGCTTCTTGTTCCTGTGCACCAATTTATGCAAGTATAGACAACCCTTCCTTTTTTGCTTCCCTCCATCTTCACCTGAACGTCGTTTGCTGCAGTCAAGACTCGTGGTCCCTAAGACTAAATCTTCTTGAGCAGATCTTTGTTCCTTCACAACCTCGGAAATGTTTTCTGGTTCCGCGAGAGTTGTGACTTCATTTCCGTCAACAGACTGTTTCTCTTGATGCACAGTATTTGATGATATGTCGTTGCCACCTTTTTCTTCCAATTGGTACGTACCAATAACAAAAACGTCTTGGAAAGGTAGTAATGGACAGAACTCAGCACTGTCGGCGTAATATTCGGTCGACCACTGAAGTAACTTTTCAGTCTTCATGATTCAGAAATATTCCTGAAAAGTAGGATCGTTTCTAAATTAATTAATTCGCATCTTACAAAAATTAGATAAAAAAGGTAATACACTAGCCATAAATAAACAGTCAATTTCTTCCGATGATCGGTCACTTTAATTATATTAATCATCAGTCTAGACAAGTTCCTTGAATGCCAATGAAGTAGTTGCATCACAGTAGAAATAATAAAACAACTTACAAATGCCAGTCCTCTTGTACGAAGATTTTGACAGCACGACTTCCCGGAACCTGTCATTCAGACAAAATAGTTATTAAAACTCAAATAAACGATCTTCCAAAAGTGAATACAAACAAGTAGATCAGTGAAGTGGACGATGAGTTATGTCACCATGGCAGTCAGAGAGAGATAAGGCATCATGTTAATCGATTCAACTAACTTATGCTATATAATTAATAATAATACATACCTAATTAAAAAAATTATGTAAGCTACATTCCGAAAGTAGCGTGAATTTAGCAAAACAGAGAACAAGGGTTTTCACTACTATCAAATCAGGAACTGTTCGAAATACAATTCGTAGCACTTAAAACTCACTTCATTAAACGAAGAGTAGTGGTTCAGCACATGATCGAAGGGTTTCCTGAAAATAAAAAGTATTGAAATACGCGTCAAAGGTAACAAGCTGAAAAATTGTACAAAGTGGGGTCAGTGAAGTAGACGGTGATTATTGTCAACATGGCAATCAGGTGTAGAGAAAACATCATACATAATCAAAGATGTGCACGCAAAAATGATGACAAGCTATACAACTCAATATCCCAAATGCACCGAACCAGAAACCGCTAATTTTATCACTAAATTAAAATATACGGCAAGTAACCATTATAAAACAGCTTAGAACATAAGTCGATGTGAATGAACACTAAATCCAGTGGCATATAAAATTGAAGTTGCAGTTAAACCAAGAAAACTTGATCCCCACATAACCTATTAAGCTATCGCTCAAGTAATACCAACCTAAATTTTGAAGGCCGAAGCTCGCATTATGAACGTAATTTGTACTTGGTATGAAACGAATCTGAAAAATAATTCAATTGGTTAGATATAAGCCCAACTGTCAATAAAAAAACACGCACACACACACAGTTCGTCAGTAATACCAAACAGTCATGAAGAAATCAGACTGGGGCGGTATCAAAATCATCATTTGTACAATTAGTTAAAGTCGTTAAACTCTTTATCATTATAGTTTACTTATGGGAAATTGTTAGTAGAATACCTATGTAACTTGCATATGGAGACAACTTTGAATTGGGAGAGGGGGAATAAAATCACAATATGAATTTCATGCAATATAGGCATGTTATCGGCACTGATGCTAGAACCTTCCAACTGTTTCTCATTTGAATAGATATGCAGCGATTTCTCCACTACTAATATTGGAGTCCTTTTCTTCACTACAGTAATCACTCCTAACACATTAGCTACTTTCAACTAATCCTTAATATTGTCGATGCGGTCACGCCATTTTTGTGGCGAGACAAGACACGCGTATCCCTCTTCCAGACTTGGAAATTATTTCCTCGTTCAATTCAATTGTTAATCAGTTTCTTTTCACTAAAGTTCAACCATCACTCTTAACCTGCTTTGGAAGCATGACTCAGGGCTGTGATCATTCAAAATAAAGCACAAAAATCACCAAATAGGATGTGAACAGATAAAGATAACGAAAGTCCGATCGAAGCTGAATCTTCGAGTGAGCCGTCATGTGACTCATGTCGTCTAGGAAGCTGGGTCATGTGCATGATGACGCATTAGTTTTTCCTTAACTGAAATTTTTTTGTTAAAAGAGGTCTTTTTTATTAAATTCTGCGTCGCTCAATTATTTTTTTTTTTTGTTAGCCAAAGCCTTACTAAAGAAGTGTTCTAGTGTTTGAATATTCAGCAGATATTTATAAAGAAGTGTTCTAGTGTGAAAATTCAGCAGATAATTCTCAAGGTAACAATGCATCAGAGAAGCAAAAGACTATTACACAATAAACGAAATGAGCTACACATAAATAGAGCTATTCCTCTGATTTATTCCATAAAATTTTCCATATCGTTTAGCAAATTAGGAAAAATTACGTGCCGCAATACATTAAAAATCAAAGTGCCATTAGAACGACCACAGCGCCACATGCATCGGAGGCGTTAGAGCAGGTAGAGGCGGGCTTCTGAAAGTTATCCTTACATTAACTTACTTCTACGGATAACCAAACATAGGAACCAATAAGCAATACGAATTCATCAGGATGAAGAGAGTCTGAGACGATATCAAAACCATTATACATAGCATTTGTTATTCATTGTTGAATCTATACCGTGTATTTCATGAAGTAATAATAATAAACATTGGATATTCAATGTTATCAACCACCAAATAATCTACCACGAATGTTCTTGCTGGACTCACCACAACAGCTGTGTTGAGAGAAGCCGATTCTTCTACTCGCAAGGAAAACGTTTATCTGCAATTGTAGTAACAATTAATACAATTCATTGCAGTCATTATGATTGGGGAAACTCAACAAGTCAGCGAAACCAATCATTCAGGATGAATAAGTCTGGGGCGGTATAAAATTCATCATGATTTAATTTATATTTAGTACTTCATAAACGACTGAAGGTAATAAACAAATTATCCTGTAACACTCACCACCATAACAGTCGTATGAAGTCGGCGATTGATCCACCAATGAAATCGATCCGCGTCTGAAATTATTGAATCGCGTTAATAAGGCGCGTCTTTAATATTATAATTTGACTAGGAGACCAACATTCAGTGAAAACCAATCATTCAGGATGAAGTAAGTCTGGGGCGGTATCAAAATCATCAGGGAAATGAACTCTTTTATCAGGATTTACCGCACTCACGGTACTGTTGTTAAATGAAATAATAAACACTGTGGAGCTTGAGATTCAACAGTATAGCGGCTACAGGTATTAAGCGTGAATTTTATGGTGCACTCACCAACACAAGAGCCGTGTAGAGAGGGAGAGAAGTCAACACTTTCACCAATCTTCATCTGGAATACAAGTCACACATAAATAAAGCATTTCAAATTTCCTACCATTTGAAAAATTCACCAACAGTCAGTAAAACCAATCATTCATGATGAAATAAGTCTGGGGCGGTATCAAAATCATCATTGTAACTAGGTATATCATTATACAGGTAAAGTCAAATAATGAAGAGAAAAACAGCAATCCAAATTTCTTCAGAGGTAAATCTGTGACGGATTAACAACTTTACTGGTTATTAGAAAGCTGCTTTATCGAGGATATCGAGGGAAACTCTAGGAAAACGTAATAAGGAATTGGATTGATGCAGAATGTATTCACTGATGACGGATCAGAATCGTATCAGTTGGGGCAATTATGGTATTCTGGCTTGTGATTAAGGACCACAACTCTTGAACTCTGTCATACAGTTCAAATATACCTGGGATAAGTGTGAATTTCAATAATTTTTTAGCAATCTTGACCCTCAGTAATGGCTCCCAAGGAAGCTTCTTTACAAAAAGCGCGAAGCAATAGATTCACTAGTCAAAATTTTTAGACCAAATACTCAAGACTCTTCGCGAGAATTTGTGTTACGCACATCGGCTTGCAATACCAGCTCAATACCAAGAGATTTTCAAGATGCAGTGTCAATAATAGGGCTATATACCTTAAAAGCTTTAGCAGCACTCTTCAGCGTAACGGAGGTTGTCAGTCTGCACTCCCTCAGTGAGAAGTGAACACTCCTTCCACTAACGGAAATAAAGAAGTTACGCGTTAATAAATCGATTCCAATACATACCAATAATTTCTCGAAAGTGACATAAATCAGTTGAACCAATCATTCAAGGTGAAGTAAGTCTGGGGCGGTATCAAAATCATCATAGTTATATTTTAAATTTAGAATACAAAGTTACCTTAGTAGACTAATATAATGATATTTAATTGCAAAATATTCTTGTATACATCCACAGTTATTACACTAATTTTCCTGTAGCACTCACCACCATAACAGCTCTGTAAAGTCGGCGATTGATCCACCAATGAAAGAGATCCCCGTCTGAAATTATCGAATCGCGTTAATAAGGCGCATCTTTAATATTATAATTTGTGTAGGTGAACAACATTCAGTGAAACCAATCATTCAGGATGAAGTATGTCTGGGGCGGTATCAAAATCATCAGAGTCAAATTTTACATGAACAATACCAAGTTGTGCGCGTCGCGTAGCAGCCTAATAAAATGGTACCAACTTAACGATATTCAGAATTCAATTTCGTAACGACTTCAGATATTCAACACTAGAGTTACTAGGGCGTCCATCGTGATAACTGCAGGATGAAGAAAAATTTTTAATAGATCCACTAATCAGAAAAATCTGTGTCTCCAGTTCTAGTTATAGATCAATTTAAGGAGTTGAAATAACTATTCTAGATCGCACCAACCAATAATTATATTATCTGAGAAATAAACCACACATGAAAAATTTATTCAAGAATAAAGAATCTTCTTAGTTTTTCCCAGAATAAAGAATCGGAAATAAATCTACCTGCTATCTAAACATATTTCTTTATTATAAGAATAAAAAAATAAATTGCTCTATTCACTCACGGTGAAAAAACGCGAGTCATCACTCAAAATATGCATCACAATAAGCTTATAATTTTTTCCCTAGCAAAAAAATTATAACGAAAATATTAATTATGATCCGAAATGAAACGTAAATAGACAATGGTTGTGGTCCGTGATTGTAAGAAACAAATTTCACCAACCTTGACGTGTTCAGAACTCGTGGGTGATCGACTGGTATCGTTTCGTGGCAGACTTCAACTGGAACAGACAATAAGTTGTCAATGCACAGTTTAGGGAAGAAGAAGATGTACTGCCGAGAAGAAGCATCAGTATAGTGGACGATGAGCTATGTCAACATGGCGATCAGTTTCAGAGAGCATCATGATATGAAATTATTGGGTATATTTTGCATGGATAAGTGATAATAAAAAATGAATCAAGGTATCTTCGATATATTTATTGACAATAATGTGGCCCAAATTTCGTATTTCTTCGAGTATTGCATATAAGCAAATAACTTGAGAGTTACACATACCTCGACATATTTTCAGCTGTCAGAAGAACTTGTAGATTCAGGAGCATTGCTCCATCCCTTATACGAGCTGAAAAAAAAAATACGAAGACAAGTAACACCACATTTTAACCCAAAAATGGTTAATGTACCCTTAGGTCAATGATCAAATTTTTGTATGACACAGCATATGTGTAAACTTTACACTCACCTGTCTTGACATAAGGAACTGCAGCATGTGGCACTCCGACGTAGGCGTTCTCAACCAGGACAGTAAAATTTCAATTTATCTCAAATCCTTTTGCACGTACCAGTTTACTAAAGTTTATTAGCAAAGTAACATTCATTCACGAGAATTCCCATTGATGTGGCAATCTGAGAAACATTCTCCAAGTATTGTCGTGATAGAACACAACAAGCCTTCTAACATCAGTTGTAAGTTGCAATAGAATTCTATCGACAAAGAAGAAAATGATTTGACTTCTCAATAAAGTTGAAAATTTTCCATGTTATAAAATCCTAATATTGATTCAAATTGGATGATATAAGCTCAGAGCTAAATATATTTACCAGCACCTCACAAGTCAACAGAACAATATCAACAGATTTTCCTACACCATAAAAAGCAGTAAATTATGTTGGAACAAATTATATCTCACGACACACCGACCTCTGAATATTCACTCAACACGCAAAAATTCACCATAATACGGAAGGATAAAAAAATACAAGAACATGATCAGAGAGGAGATTTATTCATCGCCATCTTCCTCTTCTTCATCATCATCATTGTTGATGTTGAAATATCTGAGCTCATAAGTGTCCTTGTTTGCAGAAGGAGCAACCACGCGCAGCCAATCCCGCAGGTTATTCTTTTTCAAGTACTTCTTGGTTAGGTACTTTAGGTACCTGCACATGCGAGGGATTTTTCATCGTAAACTCGGCCTTGAAACCATGCAAACTAATATCAATTCTTATATTCATCAAACCTATTTTGATCATCATACGAGTTTAATAGCGACCCAAGTGCAGCAGACAAGTATTTTGGTCGTCATCCAAACCTAGAGATGTACGTATTGATAAATTTACCTTGCAAATTGGAACCAAAATCAGCTTCATTCACCCATCATACAGTAAACACTAATCACACTCAAGATAAATATCATTCTTTTATTTTAATTTCCTTGATAAAATAATGTTAATGATTATGATCAAAAACTAGTCGATTTGACATGATCGCAGGCTTTTATACTAAACAGTTTCTATATATTAGCAAGTGCTTTTTCAATACATACAGGATAACTACTTCAAGAATATCATAAATTTTGAAATTTAGAATCAGAACCTTTGAATTCATATTAACCAAAAAAAAAGGACGATTCAAGCAAATAATTTTAGCTATATTTAACATTGCACTTCATAATTCTTCCAGCACAATTAGAGAGGCCCAATAAACTTACTTCTTAGAATAATGGTAGTCAACAGCCGTGATTGTTATTTTTGTCTTGCCAGCCTCAATGGACACTGTCTTGCCCAGGTTATTCAGTCTGTGATGCACCTTGAACTTCTGGGTCAGGAAAGGCTCCTAGAATGGAAATAGACATTTCAATCTCAAAGAAGATGTCATCAATAATATGTCAAATAATAATACTTAGGATCAGCAAACGTGCACCAAAAATTGCATCCAATATTTATTTGCAATAATTAGATCTCCCAGTTTTTACTTTAGATGTGAGTAATAAACAGAAATGCAATGGTAACTCTCGAGTGTTTATCTCTCATGTGGGGCCAGAAATATGATGCATAAAAATACTCAAAAACACTACATCTCTTGCCGGTATTACTCACAAAATCAGTGATGGTCATGATGCCATCTTCTACAGGCTGTTTGCAGTCAATGTAGTACTTGACAATTTTCTTCTTCTTCTTAGGGACTTTGAGTTTGCTATCTTTGTCCTTCTTGGAAGTCTTCAAACCAGCAGCAACACCTGGCTTGGCCGCTGTGGTCTTGGGAACAGGCTTCTTAGCAATTCCTTTGGCAGGAGCATTCTCCTTCTTAGCCACACTGACAGCCTTAGCAGGCTTCTCTGCAGCCTTTTCTGTCTTGGCAACTTTCTTGGCAGGTTTTTCTTCACCGGATGTTGGTCTCTTCTGAGCACCTGCCTTGCCTTCCTTAGCAGGAGCTTTCTCACTCTTTGCAGGCTTCTCAGCCTTCTTGTCACCAGCCGGCTTCTCTGCCTTCTTGGCAGCAGGCTTCTCAGTCTTCTTGTCACCTGCAGGCTTCTCAGCCTTCTTGGCAGCAGGCTTCTCAGTCTTCTTGTCACCTGCAGGCTTCTCAGCCTTCTTGGCAACAGGCTTCTCAGTCTTCTTGGCAGCAGCTGGCTTATCAACCTTTTCAGCTGACTTATCACCTTTCTTGGCAGTGGGTTTGTCAGCCTTTTTGTCAGCAGAGGGCTTTTCAGCTTTCTTTGCAGACTTCTCAGCAGGCTTTTCAGCCTTCACTTCGGCTGGCTTACTCTTCTTTTCGATTTTGGCTTCCTTAACAGGAGCAGCTTTAGCAGAGGCAGGCTTGGCATCCTTGGTAGCTGCCTTACCTGCAGGCTTGGCATCCTTGGCTGTAGGCTTGGCATCCTTAGCTGCAGACTTGGCAGCAGGCTTGGCATCCTTGGCAGCAGGCTTGGCATCCTTAGCAGCAGGCTTGGCATCCTTAGCTGCAGGCTTGGCATTCTTAGCATCTTTTGCTGCAGGCTTGCCATCCTTAGCCGCAGGCTTGGCATCCTTAGCTGCGGGCTTGGCATCCTTAGCTGCAGGCTTGGCATTCTTGGTATCCTTGGCTGCAGGTTTGGCATCCTTGGCTGCAGGTTTGGCATCCTTGGCTGCAGGCTTGCCATCCTTAGCAGCAGGCTTGGCATCCTTAGCAGCAGGCTTGGCATCCTTGGCTGCAGGCTTGGCATCCTTGGCTGCAGGCTTGGCATCCTTTGCTGCAGGCTTGGCATCTTTGGCTGCAGGCTTGGCATCCTTGGCTGCAGGCTTGGCATCCTTAGCAGCAGGCTTGGCATCCTTGGCTGCAGGCTTGGCATCTTTGGCCGCAGGCTTGGTATCCTTGGGCGTGGGCTTGTTATCCTTGGCCGCAGGCTTGTTATCTTTTGCTGCAGGCTTGGCATCCTTGGCTACAGCAGGCTTGGCATCCTTAGCAGCAGCAGGCTTGGCCTCCTTGGCAGCAGCGGGCTTGGGGTCCTTGGCAGCAGCAGGCTTGGCATCCTTGGCTGCTGGCTTTGCATCTTTTGCTGCAGGTTTTTTAGGAGCTGCCTTGGTTTTGTCTCCAGCCTTGGCAGCTGGTTTGCCTGAGGCAGACTTGGTCTCACCCTGAAGGAAAAAAAGGTCATAGAATTCAGTTTCACATTACCAACAGAAATAATACATGAATAGTGTCCTAGACCATAAACTTCCGTTGAAGTGTCAAAAATTTATGTATTTTTAGGAGCCTTCCAACACACAAATTTCTTGTGACACATAGATCACAGCTTATGCTTTTCCTGAACTGAAGTACTACAAGAATTTCCCAAGGTACTAATTTTTCTCCATATTTATATCATTTTCACATAATTTCATAACACAGTTCAGTTGTTGCACATCACTATGGTGAATTTATTTTATCCAATGATGCATGACATCTTGGAGCTTCAAATTGCTAAAAGTGAGTTGAAATGTTACAACGCTTCATCATTAACAAATGACTATGAAAGCTTATGCCAAGCTTACAAAGTTTAAATGAGTGGTTAATATATTGAAGCACAGTTGACATAACTGACATAAATCTTGTAATATGTATTATAACCCAGTCAAACTTTGAAGAAATATCACCAAAACTGAGTTAAAATTCAGGCAAAAGCAATAATAGATGACCCTCTCCCTCAAACCATCCATGCCTGTGATTTTCAGATTATTTTCATTTCAACATTTCTAACTTGAATTTTTAACAGCAACCAAATAAAGTAAGTTACGCAGGCAGTTTTTTGCCCAAAAAATTGCCCATCATATTAGACTAGTCTGAAGCCAGTCAGCAAAGTGTGACACAACAGAGGTCAAGGATAACAAAATTTCTTCACTTCATATAAGATATTAAGGTGCTATTATTGCAGATGACAATCGCCAATAAAACTTATTCTTAAATTGTAATTTACGTCATTTCTCCTAATTTATGAATAATATGGAAAAAAACAAATATTCTATGTGCACTCTAATGTAACAATTCTAACACACTGCACATTGTAATAATTGATACAAAAAGATTGGTTCAAAACACTACAAACAATAACTATATCAGGACTCTAATCAATTAACTTTGATTGGACCTGCAATTTTCGACAGGCACCAAATCAACATCAAGATGAGTAATACTAGATGCTCCTGCTGCAAAACCTTTCAGAAAAATAAAGGGCCTGTATGAAGTGTAGTTTCAGGCCACATTAATACATTACTTAACTGATCAAAATTACAGTTGTAAATCAAAGCAATGATGTTAGGATTTTGTGTTATTTCACTTCCTTAATCACAGTACATGGTTGAGAAAGCAGTTCATCAAGTGGTACAAGTTCATACGTAGTTGCTAAATGACTTACCTAATTATTCTAGATCACAATAGCTAAAATATTATCGATCCAACACCATAGATCTCAGTTGAAGAGTATCTTGACAGACAAGACGTAATATTTGCAGTTATACTTTTACAGAGGTCATTAGAAACGTAATTTTGTCCATTTCCACCAGAGAAATTGAGAAAGGGTCTAATAAGTGTGTAAATTGTCCACGAGCATTTTTGTCTCAATCACAATTAGGCTTCCAACAATTCAACAGTTTAGAATTCTTATGGCCATGCCATAAACCTTCTGCAAAATCAGGCAGAAACCACCCATGAAGGAGACAAAAATGCCTGTGCTATGAGTTGATTTCATAAATTTTCAAAGCTTGTAAATAATTCTTTTTTCATAAAAAAAATGAAAATGCGTTTCTGTTAACGGCTTTTTAAAATTGCCTGTAATTCAAGTTTTGATTCATTTTTTAATGCATTTTCTCATTTATGGAAAAATAGGCACTATTACGCTTGTCATGTCTGTCCATCCATCCATCTGTCAGTACATGACTTTATGTAATAACATTCATTATTTGTTTTGTTGACAAGAAAATGTGCTCTCACTCATTGCAGTGAGTACAGAGTTTTAATTCTGCCCAATATTGCAAAGTGAAGAATAACAGAACCTTTTAGCCCATGATTTTGGAAAGTCATGCACAAAAAAATTTTCATGATCACTTGTGAAATGATCATATTTCATAGCAATTTTTTAAAAATTCAGTCTAATTTTTCAGATTGGTTACAGATTTTATTGAAAAATTGCCGTTAACATAGGGGGCAAACAAGAGATTTTCAAGAAACCTGCTCACATTAAATTACCTGATGCCCACACTCAGGATGATCTATGTTTTCAGGGAATTTTCCTGCACATAGCAAGTTTTTTTAAACCCTTTGTCCATGCAGTTTGCCCAAATCAATCTAATCTTTTCTCTTTATCAGGTGTCTGTGTAAATCCTGGCCATTGATGTCATGCAACAGTACACGCAGCATAATACTCCTTACGCCTTCAATCATCCATCAATAATATACAACTTTCTTCATACATAAATTTAAAGAAAGTAAGAATTCTAGAACTTTATTCTAGATGAAATTTTCTTCAAATTCAAATTTCAATTTTCTTCTACTTTAAATTCATATCAACGTAATCAAATATTAGTGTTAGACGACATATTTGTCTTGTTGACATGTACTAATAGTGCATTGATAGTGTGTCAACTTTCATGCATCTTATAATTTTCTGCTGATTGGGGCATTGGGTTATTAGAGGTTCTATGATTAATGAAAGGAAAGTCAGAAATAATTTCATTATTCTAAATTTATTTAATTTTAGAGTGACATTTTCTTTATTAAATGTGTTACTCTAGCAATTTAATATTTACTTCAAAATTAGTCATGGCAGTAACTCATAGGTGGCTCAGATTTATACAGGAATTTTTTTCCCATGCCCACCCTGAAATAGTCGCTACACTAGTCACTAGTGACTGGGGTGACTTTGGCCACCAGGGTGACTTTGGCCAACGTTCATTATTTTGTTTTGCTGTCATTTGTTTCTGTTGTAGTGATGGCCAAAGTCACCTCCAGTGCCCCAAGTCTCCCCAGTTGGGGGTACATACCAGTGCACATGAGGGTCTGAATGGAACACCTTTACATTCAACAATTAAATTAGCGAAAGTAAAGGCATATGGACTCAAATACACTGTTAAAAAATTAAAGTACATATATATAGAACTCAACATTCATCCCTAAGGAACATCACTAATTTGGTTCATCATAAAAAGACCATTTACTGTTTGTCTGCTGACCGATGGCAACATCGCTTACTAATCTCAAAAGGAAATGCCGTGTGTTTAATCTTTGATATCAAACTATGTTGCAGCCAGTGCAGGCATTTTTTACTCTGTAACAAGTTGCTAGCAAGTTGTAGGGTAAACGCGGTATATTCCGACATTGTAGGTATTTCCGTCACCTCTCCAGCTTTGTTTTAGTTCCATGCATTCATTGATGGTTGAAATGGTGACGTCATACATTTGCGTGTTGAAATACTGCAAAAACACTAGGTCTTGGCCATCTAGTGGGAAAATATTGAGATCCAAAGAGAGACAATGCATGCCACGTCGTGAGATCATCGAAAAATGTGTCAAATTTGACAGTTGACATGGCTATATAGGGATTTGGTAGGTTTCCATTCTAAAGGCTTTTTAATAAATATGGCAACATTTTGTGACGTTTCATCGTTGCTGACGCGTAGTGAAGTGTTTTGAGAGTCATGTGAAGGCAACATAACTTACGTAACGCATACGGTTTTTTTTATAGTTTTTCATTTTTTGATGCGTCCTTAATGTGTCGGAATATACCGCGTTTACCCTAACAAAGAAAATAAGCTCTTTATTGTAAAGAATGTGACAAAATAAAGTCATCAATGCTCACTGGTGCAGATGAGATAGGGATGCTGTCTATCAACCCAAGTGTGGAAAACATCTACTTTTAGGGCCACAACTAGAGCTTCCCTGCCATTTCCAGAACCACAAGATTTCTGCCAGATGAATTTAACTCCTATCTAATTGTTAACAAAAGTGCACGATTGGGCCACATGATTCCATATGTATAAAAAATTTACACGTTGGAGCTGCGAGATTTCAGAAACAAGTAGGAAAATTTCAATCCTATATCAACCCACATTTTGGTATTTTTTTAAAACCATTTTTGGGACCACCATGTACATTTGCATTGCTTTAACCTAATTTTGGTGGCACAAACTGCAATCACTGCAGCAAGCAATACTAGCTCCTTCATTGCTGCGAGAACACAAGACTGAAGGAAAGTTTAAACATGTGGATGCTTGTCAGTCTTCCATCTTGTCAGTCAAACTTTGGCATAGCCTAACATCTTTGTCCACTCTGCTAACATGCAAGAGTAGGCTAGCAAGACTGACAAGTGACAATAAGTTTGAGCATATGGACAGGGCTCAAGATTTTGCATTTGCCTGAAAGACTGCTGTTAGCCTAGGTAATTTTCCAATAGTCGATGTGCAGTTTATGTGCTCATTTTCACTTCAATGATCAAATATAATCCTGTCATCCTATAGATCCTAACTCCTAAGATGCTCACTTGTCACTTCTCACTTCTCAGCATTAAAAATTTTTCAACCTACTACAAGGCACCAGAAAATTAAATGGGAACCAAGTTTGAATAGCTATCTCGTCAAATTTTTTACCGCTACTACTTATCAATTGATGCAGAAAAAAAGACAGTAGCCTACCTCCTAGGTAAGCTCCTATGACGATCCTATCCTAATTCACTTATTGAAGGCGAGCAGAATTCAATTTCACAGACAGTCGATTCAGAGGAAAGTTTATAATTAATTGTTTACAGTTATATTAAAATGAGCAAAATGCTGGTAAGCAAGAAACATAAGCTAATATTTAAATAAATCCTATAATCAAAACAAAAAGTAAACCGATGATAGAAAAAACAAGGCAAGTGACGGCATTGGTGAAGAATCAACAGCTGGAGAGTCCAGAGGACTGCACGGAACTCCTAACAAATAATAATTCGTCGTAGACTAATAGTGGACTGATACTAGTACAAATACTTTAATACATAAAATGATACGAAAAAAAATATTAACTAAAATCGTATGGAATTTATCGTCAAAACACTCACAGGCATATTTCAGTTCATCAACGGGACCGAAAACATTCGACACACTGCTGCCAGACAGCGATCGTGCAGTTGGTGACTCTGAGTGTAATTGCCAATTCATTAGAAAGTGAACTAATGTCGGTGAATTTGTGTTCATTTATATTCTCAGAAGGACATTGAGGCATATGTCATAACTACAAAAATTTAATTCTATGCTTTCTTCGATTATGGTTTTGCAGGCAAATTCAGCCCATTGAAATAAATTTATTGACATATATGAAAATCTTCAACAAGTGTTCACATAAGTTTTTGACATAACCTAATTATCTGAATGAATTCACTAATAGTTAAAAATATTATCCCAGTTGTCGTATTTAAAAATGTTTTACATAATTAATGCAGAATTCAATTATTCACTTACGGACAGTTCTCCAAGCTGGTGCATTTAGTATAGTAGTAAAAGTATCTTCGGCATTGAATAATAGGCCTGTCGCCGATTCTTGTCGATTTTTCTTAACTAAACTGTCTTTTTGATCAAATCTTCTCAACGGACGGTAGGTTTAAAATCGTTTCAAGATTTCAGTTGTTCCGTAATATACGAGGCATTTCAGGACTAAAGATATGCTCTTGCATGGCCTAGTCTCAAGGTTGTATGAATTCAACCATGGCCTAGTCTAGTCTGTTCTTGAACGCGTTCATACTCGGAGCGTCAACAATATCTTCAGGGAGGCTGTTCCACATGTCGGTGACTCGAAGCAAAAAGTATTGTCGCATGAATGAGTTGCACCGCAGCTTTTTTTAGTTTATATCTGTGGCCCCTGGTGTTGGTTCTTGTTTCAAATTCTAGTAATCCTTCAGGGACGTTGTACAAATCATGAGTATACTTGAATACATCAATGAGATCACCACGCAGGCGGCTATAACGGAGACTGGGAAGCTTCATAATCTTCAATCTTTCTTCATAAGAATTGCCCTTTAAGCCAGGAATTATCCTTGTTGCACGTTTTTGAACACTCTTTACTAAATTTTTGTCCTTTTCAAGTCTCGGTGACCACAACGTTTCCAAACTCTAGGTTCGGGCGCACGACAGAGGTGAACAACAGCTTCATAATTTCTACATCTAGGCACTCGTAGGATCGCCTGATCCGCCCAAACACTTTATTGGATTTATTAACTTGCGTTTCAGTATGGCTAGAAATTTAATACATAGAGTGATGAGCAATACTCACCATGAGCAATACTGTTTTTCATTCGGGAAATGAAATGATTAAAAGTAGTCAGACTAAAAATTAAGTTGTCAGTTTTCTTTGTAGGCCATATTTATTTATTAGGGCGTGAAATTTACATCACAACAATTGAAAGGCATACTTGTATTTTTCTATTTCTTTTATGCAATTTACAATTATTTCATTTCCTCAATGAATTCACAATTAGTATAGGTTGGCAGAATTTGTTCATTTAAGCAGGTTTCATTGAAGACCTGAGAATTTGTTTTCTTGAAAATTTTCTTATTAGGTTTTTTGAATATATTTAACAATATTTTTAATTTGCGCTGGTAAATCGAAAATCAGGGTACCTATGGGCTTTTTAGCGCATTATCTCATTTATGGAAAAAATGCAATATTGTGCTCGCTATGTCCGTCTGCCTGTCTGCCCGCCCGTCTGTCCATCCGTCCGTCTATCCGTTCGTCCGTGACCTCAAGTTTTCATCGACGAGAAAATGCGCTCTCTGTCACTCACAGCAGTGAGTACTGAGTTATCTTTTTTATTCATTTAACGACGTTTTGAATGTAATGTATCAATAATTTATTATCAAGTTAAAAGACGCATGTAGTGATGAAATTCTGATCAACATAAGTGCAAAATCATATAAATAGGATACTACTAAAAATGAATCTTGTTAGAACTTAGAAACAATTGCCAAATCACGAAAATATGAAGACCAATAATTAAAGCATTACAAATTACTTTAAAAATTATTCAAAATTACAAAAAAGGTAATAATTCTAAAAAAAGTAAATTGTCAACAAAACAAATTCTATGGTCTTCAATGAGCCGTGCTTATTTACAAATATAATACGAAACAGAAAACCAAATAGCGGTCTTGATTCATCTCATGGCTTGCCTAAGACTTTATATTCAAAAAGTATTCAAAGTTCAGCATATGACGCATATTATATAATGTTATAAGTAATTAATCATAACTGATTTTTGGCTTCGCAATCATAGTGAAAAATGTCAATGTAAATTATAATGTAAACAAATAAAGTGAAAGTCGTTCTTTCCAAACGGATTCAACAAAGAAATCTATTCAAGTGAATATATTTCATACAATAATTGGGTGAAAATAGTACAGTAGCGTTCAAATCCAGCATAAATCTGACGCCATATTCAAATTCTTTTTTAAGTCAAGAGAAACCGAATCGGTGCAATAGGTTTGTTCGGATAAATCTCATTCGTAATTTCGATTTTATAGCATATTCACTCTTTGCACCATAAATCCAGCACATAATCAATTAAAATTATAACTAATTTTAAGAATCATAGCTGGTTCGAAATTAATACTTTAGTCGAGGTTGAATAAAGCGTGACCGGCAGCAGCAGCAGCGGTTGCAGCATCGGTATTGAACAGCCTACCGCCCAGCGCATGCCCAGTTCAGTTGTCCAGAAGTTCAGCTGCTATTCCCATCTCCGCTTCACGGTCTTGCCTTACAAAAAATCAGGCCTTCAATCGGCTGAACAAAATGTAAGATATTCGGTACCATTACCTACCTGTGAAGTAATAACGATGTTACAGTGGACGGTTACCAGCAAGTTGATTTCTGTGTTTATATGAAATTTTGATTTGAGACTCAGTATTCGGCGATTGCGAGGGTGGTGCTAGTTTATCGATTGGCTCTTTGACTTGAGAATTTCCGCGGAATTCATTTATTATATTTTTCATTAACTGTGCTTTCACTATGGCTGTTTGTGCTGAATTTACTTTGATTTTTTTTTGTGTTTTAATTCTGTTCATAATTGGAAATGTATTTTACTTATTTTTGTGAACAGGGTGCGTTCATGATGAACATCCCGTCGTTCTTTTCATATCAAAATCAATTTTTTTTGCACATGTGCATTCGTTATTCATGAGAAAATTTGTGCGATCATTTGCCCACGATTCTACTGAAACATGATTGATTGTTTTTTATTCTAACGATTTCAACGGTTTCGTTTCAATGGCTTACATTTTATGTATGATATCAAGTCTCTCCAATACAAATGAAAGTAAATGGCTTCCAATTTCCTTATTCATCGTTCGCTAAATTAATCATCAAACAATGTCCATCGAAAATGCCCATTATATTATATTATTCAAATGTTTGACAATATACATTATGTTTGAATATCACTTATCAGTCATCACAATCATTTAATGAATTATCAGCCATATGTATCTTTTTTAATGACATAGTTATGTTAATTTTTACGATGTCATCTATAAAGTAAAACATTGTATAGCATAATATGCGCATTTTATGAGAACGATTTGATATAGTCTCCGCGCTTTTCAAAGAGAGTGGGAAAATGCCGAACACAAACGAAAGTCTACGGAATTTGCAACCAGTATTCTATTTACTCTAACAGCGTTTTGAAGCGTTTAATGTAATGTCACTCTTCGTTCATAATTATAACTCAAAAATGCATTCTAGCTTATTCAGTTGTATGCAAATGAAAGGTATATTTATTTATGGGTTGAATCGAATTATTTTTCAATTATTCATCTACATGACTTTTTCTAAGTTTCAGGAACATTCATTTTTAAGTCGTTAATCATACAGTTTGGTCGTGGTATTAATCACTAAATTATTTGTATTGCAATTTTTCTTTTAAATATTTTAATACGTGTGTAAATTTGTTGTTAAATTTTAGTTATCCACGCAGATTGGAAAATTACATAATTCGTAACGTTTTCTTGCGTTTACTTAAGGTCTAGCGACGCAGCTCCCGACTCTGGAGCCACGGCGGGAGAAGGCCCTCAGGGGGGCCTGCAGCCCGGGGGCACGGGAGAGAATGGGGAGATCGTGGGGGGCCCTCGGACCCCTCAACAGATGATGGCTCAGAAGAGGATGCAGCAAACGCAAGCACAAGTCGACTCGGTTTGTGTCATGTTCTTCAGATTTATTCCCTTATTTGAAGCGCACCAAAAACTCATTAAATTCATCATAAAAATTCAATTACGCTTTTCCGACATTTTTTCCTTTTCATTAGCGATATTTTATCCGCACAGATGCGCAGACTGATGTGCGCCACACATATAAATAGGATACTGATAAAATTTTGTGGGTTCATGAAGAACTTTAAATATATACCTGTGATGTCTGTGATTAATGAGCTGTGAAACCATGCTGGGAAAACCTCTCGGTACAGGTAGTGGACTCTTAATACCTCATTAACAACTATTATGATTCCATGCCATGACTCATTAACAACTATTAAGATTCCATGTCACACCTCCTTAACAACTATTAAGATTCCATGCCATGCCTCATTAACAACTATTAAGATACTATGCCAAGCCTCATTAACGACCACTAAGCTACCATGCCCCGGTACAGGTAGTGGACATGTAATACCTCATTAACAACTATTAAGATACCATGCCAAGCCTCATTAACGACCACTAAGCTCCCATGTCCCGGTACAGGTAGTGGACATGTAATACCTCATTAACAACTATTAAGATACCATGCCAAGCCTCATTAACGACCACTAAGCTACCATGTCCCGGTACAGGTGGTGGACATCATGAAGGCCAACGTGGAGAAGGTCCTCGAGAGAGATCAGAAGCTGTCGGCTCTGGACGAACGTGCAGGTCATTCATTATCTTTATTATCTTCAACTCATTTAAAGTAATAGAATACTGCAAGTGATTAATCTGTATTAACTGGCTCCACTATTTAAGGGAGTATGCACAAAATATTTAATTTGTTTCTTATTCTACTATCAATTATGGTATTGTAAGTTTCCATTATTGAGAGGATAATTTTCGACTTGAATTTCAAGTGACATTTATTGTAATTTTCCAGACGCCCTTCAGCAGGGCGCTGCGCAGTTTGAACAGCAAGCCGGCGCCCTCAAGAACAAAATGTGGTGGAAGAACATGAAGGTGAGAATTGTGTGTTATTTAATACACTGTTAGAAAAATTACCGTTAACGGTATTACCGGCGTTTCAGTGGCCGGTCGGCACGTGAAAAGAAACACCGTGTCGCCATTTTATTCTAATTTGACACTAGAAATCCGTAAAACATTTGATGGAAACGGCGAAACAGTTTATTTTCACGGGGCGACCGGCCACTAGAACGCCAGTGGGACCGTTTTTTCACCGTTTTTCTAACAGTGTATATGATGGTGTTGAGGTACGGAACTTTGACGCTCTGGTGCTGAGAAAAGAAACTGAGACGCGTTGGTGTTACAGGGTTGAGGTTACGGGGATGTTGACGTAATTCTTGTTGACAGATGGTGATCATTACGGGGATGTTGATGTATTTCTTGTTGACAGATGATGATCATTACGGGGATGTTGACGTATTTCTTGTTGACAGATGATGATCATTACGGGGATGTTGACGTATTTCTTGTTGACAGATGATGATCATTACGGGGATGTTGTCGTATTTCTTGTTGACAGATGATGATCATTACGGGATGTTAACGTATTTCTTGTTGACAGATGATGATCATCATGGGGGTGATCGGTCTGGTCGTCCTAATTATCATTGCGGGTAAGTTTTAATTTGTTTTTCTTATGTGTGCCAGGAAACAAACACCATTTAATTAGTCATTAAACATTAGTAAGTAGATTAATTATGAGTCATATTCACGAGCAGCGCCAACATCACGCCTGTAGAATGCTTGTGCAATGACCGCATCTTTGTTGTATTGTCTCATTAATATAAATTCGAGGTCAGGGTATATGGAAATTTTACATTAGAGTACAGGTACCAGTGAATAGTGAGTAATGTGACTTTTTCCCTACGAATTGCACAGTAAATTTGAAAAATTAGTATGAAAAGCGTAAATATTTTGAAGACATTTTTCGTTTATTTAATTTTATGTTAGATCTTTTTTGTGTCTAAATTTTCAGCAAAATGACATTAAAATATTAATATGTATGAAGAAAAAAATTATATCTTACCTTTCAACAAATCTGGTGTTGTCGCTAACATTACAGTTTGTTGGTTCATGAAAAAAATATATATTAAGGCACCATCGCTAGTGCTTGCGAAACTGTTTCGTGGTTTAGTGTCGTGATTCACCTATAGAGACTTGCACCAATTTAGTCCTAATCAAGCTAATCAAGTTATTCAGAGTCGCAGTTTCTGTTTATACCTCGGGTAAAACACTTGAACTCTTCTTTATCGAACTAAGATTTTTTCAGCAAAATTATCCAGATTTTAATTCCCCTGGAAAATTTTACTCTAAAACCGGGAATGTTTATTCGAAACTTCTTCTTAGAATTGAACCAATTTTTGTCTCTAATTTAAAATTTCAGAATCCGAGTAAATTTCTGAGCAGAAGGCGACTCTGAGCAGCTGCGTATCCCTGATACGCCCCAGATGAGTTATTTGTTATGGCAGTACTGATCGTCAGAGTAGTGTTACTCAGAAGTTCAGAGAGATTCTTGAGTAACTTTCAAACACAAATATTACACATACATTTCTAAGTTTCTAAGATGTGTTTTTACATCTTCAGAAAATACATTCACATCATTTTACTGCCTTAAACTGCAGTTAGTGTTGACAATAACGGCAGTGGTTAATATACATATCGTTAGTTCCGTTAGATCGATATATCGATGATCGTTAGTTCCGCGAAGATCGTTATTTCTACGTTAATCGTATATTGTACGTTGATCTAGCTCCTACTCTTCTATTCTACGACAATCGCTATTTAAACAATGATTGATGATCTTTCGTTCTGTAGGGATCTTTAAGTACACGATGGCCGTATATTTGCGACATTCGTATTATCTCCGATCATAGAGTTCCATGAACATCATATGTTTACCTTTAATCGGAAATATAAGTTTACGTCCATATTTGAAGGTTTTGCTTTCGACCAGTGAAAAAGTTACGATAGATCTTACGACGTCGTTAGCATGGCTGAGTATCTGACCCTTGATTGCTGCAGTCATCCCGGGATTGCATCCCCTGTAACCCCATTGACAATCCCAAGCAATCACCAACCCCAAAGTCCCAACCCCAATTACCAACTTCAAAGTCGACCCCTCAATGCCTCCGATAATTGATTGAGTTCGAGTTTTGCATAAGGTAGACTAATTTGATTATTATTTACATCAAGTATTAATAATTTTTCGTTAATGAATCGAAACCGAGCTTACTTTGCCCCTGAACTGTATTTAATTTTGTGCTTGTAGATGAGGCTTTAAATTATTGATGTCAAAAATATTCAAAGTTTAAGTTATTAAAATGTAGCACAGAAACTATTAAATAGCAGTATTTGTATTTAATTCGGAAGAGAGATAATTGGAATGTATTTGAAGCTCTACTCTATCCCCAAGCTAGGCCAATATTTTTATGCCAGGGAAGCACATGGCTTAAACCCGTTGAAATTCATTCGCCCTATAGAATTTTTAAACCCTTTCAAATTCACTCTCCCTATAGAAATTTTAGACCCTTTGAAATTCACTCGCCCATAGAACTAAATAATCACTCGTCTGGATGTAGCAAATTACTTAGAAGTGCACCTGTCAACCTGCCCTAACGCAATTCACCCTTGTTCAATTTCATGCATTTTTAATGATTGATGCCTTCAACTCATAATCATTTTAATTATTTGCTGCACCGTATGGGTGTACGCATCAGTTGAATGTCTGCCATATTCATTATATCATTTCTTTCATTCATCACATCCTTTGAATGAAACAAAGAATAAATGAAAAGAAGCTCAATAAAAAATATAATAGTTGCAAAGTAGTTTTAAACATAAAATACCTATTGCAAGTTGGTTTCGCGATCCGGTATGTGTGTTGAAGTGGAAATGCAATATTGCACGTTTTGTTGCAAATTATGATGCCTCATACATTAATATTCATGGTATGTTGTTCATAAGGCATAATCATAATTGTGTGTATAACCAACTTAGGAGCTACACCATACACCAATTACCAGCACTGTTAACCAATTACCTCCTCTATCCCTCTAAGGTAACTTCTGGTAAAGCGCTTTTGTAAGAGCCACGTTGAACAACCAGTAAGCAGCCGCTACCAAGGAGTACACTTTTATTTTACATGTCTCACAATTTTACTTTCCATGTCTCACAATTGTACTTTCCATGTGTTACCATTTAGTGTTGTGTACCGAGCAGACATCTTTGTGGCAACTCATCTTATCCTCCCGATTAAGTCTGTTATCTTATCCTCCCGATTAAGTCTGTTATCTTATCTTCCTAATTAAGTCTGTTGTAGCTTTGATTGTTGATCCTTAACTACGTGCCGAACTCTAGACCTGGACGCTCATCATCGAATCGCCTCAGGAGATTATTTATATTTATTAAACAAAATATTCAGGCTGGAAACTTTTATTTCTAGCAGCGGTTCGTCAAAAGTACAGTTTGCATTGACTATAAAGCTGGTATCTCCAAGTCGTTTATTTGGGGGTGGAAAATAGATAAGAATAATCAAATACAAACGATATCTTACCGTTCATGTGCTTTTACACTTGCTGATAAATGAGAATATTCTTGCATGATGGAACGACAGGCATCAATCACTTGGCATTCTTTCAAATTCAAATTATAACTAACATCTTAATGCGACCGAGAAATGATTTTTGTTGGCAATGATTGACGACAATAACTAATTGCTAAAAAAAAGTGTATGGCTTTGTGGACGACTTGGGGTTTTTATAATTCATATACTCAACAAGCAAATGAAGTTCACAAAACCATCCAAAATACACTTGCCCAATAGATAGTCATTTAAAAATTAACTCGCATAGCAGGGAAAAATTATCATTCACTCCCTGCGTATGAAAATGCAATTGAGAAGCGCATCCAGCGTTGGAATAAACAATTGACTAACGCGTTCTGCGATGAAATCAACTGTTGAAAAATATTATTTAGTACATTACACACAATTGAAAAATGAGCTCCAGGTCTGGAGAAGGCCTAGTCACAACCTCCATCCTCCACACGGTATCTTTAGCTTCAAGCCTATCGAGAATTAATACATCGATGTGTCCAATTTATTGCCTTGCTTCTCCCCACCTCCATTTTAGGTGCCATGTCTACAGCTTCTACATCTAACATATTAAACCCAGTGTATTCCAATTTTGTCAATTGGAATCAACTTTACACCAGATCTAACCTTTATCCCTGTTAAAAAAACATACGGTTTTAAACCATAAAACACAAATGGTGTCAAACCACCAAAACAAAAGCGGCGCTATATAAAAGAAATAAATATGATTAATTTTCCTATTTTTAAGAAAGTAGATGCTGTCATTAATGTGTTTACTGATGAGATAATGTGCCTCAATGAGGCATTCAAATACTTTACAATATAAAGGAATAATAATTTTCTCATCTCATCCCTGCGCTATGAAAATGAGAAGTTCATTCGTTTAGTATGAAAACAAAGAACGCTACCATCTTTTATGCTAAAATGGACCACCTCTAAATAAGAAGGAAGATTAAATAATAATATAACTAACTGTTTTTCTCTATTTTCGCCTCCTGTTTCCAGCAAACCCTGATATTTCACTCGACTGAATCTCCAATGCAATGGCAACCGATCTGGAAACAGCGCCCTGACGATGTACAAAATTATTTGAGATTCATTAACTTAAATTCAGAGCCCAAATTAATAATGCATCATCTTCACTATATACACAATTGGAATTAATACATCGCTTATCTACATTATTATTTTAACATAGATAATTCCTAGACGTAATCAAGAGTAGCGTTAATCTCGACGCTAGTTTCCAGATCGCCTGCCGACATTTTCTATCTGCCTTTGATGTTCTTAATGCGTTTTGTGAGTTGTAATCCTGTTGATCCTCGCTCAAGTCTCTATGCCAAGCCAAGATGTTTTCCAACGTCGAAACCTCACAAGCAGTAACTTCAATCTCTCACTCAATATAGCCATCAGTCAATCTCAACCATTCAATCAAATTAGAAGTCAAATTCAACCTTTCAATAAAACTATAAGTCAAGCTCTACACTGCAGTGAAACTATCAGTCAAACTCTTCCCTTCAATAAAGCCATTAGCCAAGCTCTACCATTCATTGAAATCATCATTCAACTTCTAACATTTAATAAAATGATCAGTCAAGTTTTACCGTTCAATACAGCAATCATTCAAGCTCTACCACTTAATAAGCTAAAGCACCACAGCAAATTTTGATGACAGTAGCGTTCACAGCAGTGGATTCACACCTCAAGATCATGAAGTATACAGTATATCCTTGGAATTAACTACTAAATAAAGAAGTGGCCTTATTAATCTTTTATTTTTTAGCAGTATATACACACATTACACGGCTAAATACCATCACGATGGTTGGAGTAGTGCTTACTGATAGTATTATTTTCGTCTGAAACGCTTTATTTGTTGTTAACGTTGTAGCAGCAAATTGTAGTTATTCAAAACGTCTTAGTTTCAAATAACGTTGTAGTCACTATAAGAATAGTCGCTATTAGCTTTGAAGTGACCAATATTGTAAATAATAAGGTTTTAAATACAATAAAGTTAAGGTTGAAGTCACTGCTGAAGGTTGTGACGGCTGGCAACATCTGGCAGAGGCAGAGGTTCGTGTATATAAGGAGCCTATGTGTGCCGTGCCTCTTCGTGTTTTGCAATTGTTTTATCATGCGATTTAGGACCATACTTAACGGGTGCTAAGAGTGAGGCTGCTCCAGCTCCAGCTCCAGCTGCTGCTGCTCCAGCTGCTCCAGCTGCTGCTCCTGCTTCAGGTGGAGCTGTAGGCGGTAATTCTGGTGCAGTAAAAACACCAGCATCACTGCACCAGCTGCAATAGTAACTTGGTATACTTCCCTCCACTGCCCTCTCTTGCAGTCAAGTTTGGTATAGTGGAGGTCTAGGGGAACATCTTCGACACCTACACCTACACACTGCACCTACACCTACACACTGCACCCTACACCTACACACTTCACCTACACCTACACACTGCACCCTACACCTACACCTGTACACTGCACCCTACACCTACACCTACACCTACACCCACACACTGCATCGTACACCCTCACCTACACACTGCACCCTACACCTACACCCGTACACTGCACCTACACCCGTACACCACACCATACTCTAACACCTACACCTACACACTGCATCGTACTCTAACACCTACACACTGGTCCACATTATACTTGTACACCTTGCACACTCTCTAAACCCACTCACTGTCCTGCACTTTACATCTAGACACCATACGTCATACACTCAGCACCATTTGCCCTCATCACACTCATCACCATCTGCACATATGATTTATAAGAACCACAAACTCCAGTGATAAGTCACCCATATTTATTTCTTCTTCATAATATAGTTTACATTTTTTGACACGTTATATTTTTCTCTTTCTATTTCTAATCTCTGTATGCTACGTCAACCATTTCCCACCTTTATTCAACAGCAACATTTATTTCGAGAATTGAAAACATTTAGTCTTTCCGTTGCTGACTGCACGTCTCTTCTTAATTTTATGGGGAAAATATGATTACTTAAAGACTTATGGCTTCAAAGACTCTTTATGCCTCTCGTTTTTTGAGAAAACTCAAAGAAAAATTCTACTGTTTTCATGGACATAACAATTTCAGGTCTCATACCCTACATTTTGGGTCATCATACCCCTCATGCATGTCGCCATACCACACACTTTAGGTCTCCATACCACACCACGTCACCATACCCCACACTTTAGGTCACCATACCACACCACGTCACCATACCCCACACTTTAGGTCACCATACCACACCATCTCACCATACCCCGCACTTTAGGTCACCATACCACACCACGTCGCAAAACTTCACACTTTAGGTCACCATCCCACACCACATCACCGTACCACACCACGTCACCATACCACACCACGTCACCATACCCCGCACTTTAGGTCACCATACCACACCACGTCACCATAGTCATCGCTCTCACCACCCGAAGAACGAGCGGTGTCACCACGCAAAGTTTCAGCGCAGAGGTAACACCATCACTTTCACCGGCATCGCTTCAGCTCAGCTAACACTGGTTTATCCAACTTATTCATTTATTTATTACTCGCATCACTCTTTTCTGATATCTATTTTTTACGCTCGATTAGAATGAAAGAGTCTTGGAAATATTTCGCTGGAGACTATTAAGTGGCCAAAATGCAACTCTCTCCACTAATCCTCGATTTTTAACTCCTACCTCAAAACTCTTCTGAATTAAAGAGATGGGTTTTGTAACGTCTGTGCATTATATAAGTATAGTGACTTTTCTTATTCTTTCCATTCTCTTCCACTGCATTTAGTGAGAGTGTTTCATTCAATAAAATTATTTAGATTGATTTTGTTCGTGAGTTGAATTCAATGAAAAATACATGCCCTAGCATGACTCCCAACACCGATACGAGATGAATAAAGAACGCATAATATGAATTCTAAGGTGGATTGTGAGATTTCATTAAAATCCACAGTAAGCTTAAGCGGATTGAATCTCAATTATTCCAATTAGTGGATTTATTCTAACAATTACATTGCATCAAATTCCCCTCCTTATACAAAAGGATTTCAATTAAAGTTCGGATTTATGTTATATCACGCCGCTCTTTATTGTATCCTGTACTAAGCAGTTATTACTTCAAATTGCATATATCTTATAAAATATAAATTTTTAAGCCATTGCATTTCAAAAGAAGATTTGACATTTTTATGAAATTATGTACATTTATCTTTAGATTCTTATCCAAAAGATATCCGAAAATAATTTCAATTCCCAAAATTAGTCGCAACTTCTAATCTACCGTGTTCTTAGACGGGTCATTTACACATACATCAATAATAAAATCTAAATTCCCGTGTGATTCATATCGAAAAATTTCTAAGTTCTTTGGGTCAGTTGTACTCATTAGAATTTTAAAATATAAAAGAATGACTCTACACTTTTTCTTAACATTCCACTCACGCAAAAAATATATAAATTTTAACGTATCTTATAAACAGAGCACCGTTTACCTAAATTATTGGCTCACGTCTACTAACGTACGAAATTTATTTGTATGATCTAATTTCCTATTCATGCTTGGTAATGAGAACCCTAATGGGTTAACGAACCCTAAAATATATTAGAGAATAATTTCAGCAACGGAATATAAAAAACATTCTACGAGTTATTTTAAAATTTATTTTCCCGGCAAATTGAATGGGAAAACCAAAACCAAAATTTTTAGTACGCACACACCATCTTACGCCGGCACTGCATGGCTGTTACCAACACCAGGTGCTTTTATTGAGCTTCATATTGCGTGCTTTTGTGGCTATGTATAATATCTTTATAACGGCATTGATTTTTTTAAATTCATTTATAGTTAAAAATGAGAGAAGCTCGACTGAAAATGCCTGTGGTTTATCACAAAAAGTTCAAGCATGCGTCTGCAGTTGTCCCGCCTGTATAGCCTAGAGGAAATAGTTATAGTCTAGAGGAGCTAAGCATGCTAGCGCTAGCACTACACTTTTATATAGATTGACTTGTTTTCAATGATCGCAATTATTTATTTAATTAATGAATGATTGCGTGTGCATCTATTTACAGTAGATACTAGAGCTTGTGCCTGGAGTTCCCAGGAAATAGTAATACCTAGACTACATAGAGTATTGGGATGGTATAATGATTTATTAATGCCATTTGCAGTTGGAAAAATTCCTATTGAATTTTTTTTAATTGATTGTTTTTTTGAGTGAAAAAGTACTATATTCATGAATTGACGTTATAATTCAAGTTTTATATGATCAATCAATTGTAGCTTCACCAATTCATTATTTATGACATTCACTGTTTTAAAATTTGAATCGAGCTCTGCCATTGCGTACTTCGTCTAGCTAAGTAATTATCAAAAGTAATTCTCAAATTCCAGTACATAAAATGAGTTGTAATATGTAATAATAAGCTTACGTTGATTAATTGACAAGTGTGGAGGTCATTCCATTTAGTTAGTTCATAGAGTTAATTATCTGTGTATGAACTGATAATTGCTTTCCTTCATCGCACGCAGCCGGGAACAGTTAATCTCTTCAACAGTTACCTCGTCAACAGTTAACAGCAGTTAACTCGTTACCACTTGACTCTTCAACAGTTAATTTCATCAACAGTTACCTCTTCAACAGTTAACAACAGCAGTTAACTCGTTATCACTTGACTCTTCAACAGTTAATCTCATCAATAGTTAACTCGTCAACAGTTAACAGCAGTTAACTCGTTACCTCTTGACTCTTCAACAGTTTATTTCATCGACTGTTTGCGTCAACAGTTAACAGCAGTTAGCTCGTATCACTTGACTCTTCAACAGTTAATCTCTTCAATAGTTACCTCGTCAACAGTTAACAGCAGTTAACTTGTTACCACTTGACTCTTCAATAGTTAACTCGTCAACAGTTAACAGCAGTTAACTTGTTACCACTTGACTCTTCAACAGTTAACCTTATCAACAGTTTGCGTCAAACAGTTTAATTATCAGCAGTAACCTCATTACGAGTTGATTAATCAGCAGTTAATCCCACGAACTTCTCACTTATAACAGTTACACTTGGACAACCTATATCTAGGTCAAAATTCAGGACTAAACCTAAAGACTAGGTTTGTGGTTCAGACCTGAACTTGATGTTTAGTTTGGACATTAACTCAAAGTTTAAGTTTTAGTTTAGACCTAAAAACCTCATCATAATCAATTACTTGCGACAAATGATAATTGTTTCACGTCACGTTAAAATTTTAATGTGTACTGAAAATTTATTTCGAGCTGTCGCCTAAGAAGTTTATTTACACATCGGTGGGTTGAAGTTTCACCTTGTTTCAAATTCCTAATGTTCTGAAAATTGAACGATGATAAGGATGTATTAAATTTAAAGATTATTGCGTTATATTCAAATTCAGGAGCAATAAAGAAACCTGTGATTCAACACAACCATGTCCCATGATACTCACACTCAACAAAATTCAACTGAACTCAACTTCAACCAAATATCAGTTGACGTATATGTGAATAAGGAACATCTTCCATAATATTGAGAAATAAACATGCTCCGTGTCACTCAACCCAACCATATGTTCCATGACTCATCACAACCATCACTTTTATGGCTCGAACACAGCTGGTTCTTCTGTCTCTAATATTTATTTGTTTCTCTATTCTATATATTATTACACTATGTTCTCTGTATATTGCCAATACTTACTAGAACTTAGGCAAGTAATTACGTTATCTATTATTTTATAGCAAGTCTATTCATAATAGAAATATCAATTAGCACCACAGTAGATCCTTGTCCGTGAATTTATCTGGAGACACTCGATCATCAAGCATGATTTTTGAAGTAATGCAAGACGAATTGAATTTTTCAAATCATTTCACATTGTAACTTCCTCTTGCCCATTGCTCGTCACAAAATAGGATACTGCTTCCAGGTTTAGATAAATGAATGCTTTTATTACATAAATAACGAAAATACTGTACCGCAGCCTGTATTTTTAAGAAACTTCAGTTCTAATATAAAATATATCATATTATTTATAAGTAGGCAATGTCCTTTTCTAGATATCATTTCAACGCATATTTTATCCCCGTTACCTCCTCTAAAAATTGAAGTTCCCCAAACCATCGACGTTTTGTACAATTTAATCGTTCAAATAATTTTCTTCTATCCGGTATTGTATTTCAACTCGTATTGATTATTATCAACTCTAACCATTTGATTCATTTTGAACAAAAATAAGCCAGTAAATAAAAAAAATTAAAATTTGTTTTTTAATCTGTCTAGCAAGAATAGAATTCCATTCTCGTATTGTATCTGTTAAATCGCATTAAGAAAGATGCATTGCATGTCAAAAAGTCGACTTGTTTGGGCTCGTGTTAGCGGAGAAGTATTTTAATAAAATAATGTTGCAACATTATTCGATATCTACCGCATTCATAATTTCTAATGTTATTTTCTCGTGTCATTACTATCGTTGTGAGTGGTTGCATAGTTTACTATACTTCCTGTATATCGTCTATATGAACATTGTAACCAATTTTTCATAGAGAGTGTCCGTGTCCATCTAGAATTCTAGATCATTTATATAGTGCGAATACATCATGTGAGAAATTATCGTAGTTTGTTCTCTCTATATGAACTGATGTTAATCTGGTTAAATCGTGATTAATCAAATGATCTAGGTTAAACCAGCGATTAAATCTCTAAGGTTAAGAAGTGTGTAAAATGCGTTTGAAGTGAGTCGAGTCATGTTAACCGTGTTGTTGAGTGCTGAGTATCGCTCTATTTACCATGCTAAATACCTACAATACTATTAGGTTTTCGATCTTGATGTGTCAGAGAAGCTGGCGAGAAATCGGTTTCTTTGCCGATACGTTTCCCTCTGTGCTGGGGTAGCGACAGTTCCGCGACCGCTTACGAAGTTCGCTGGGAGATCTGACAAATTTGAAGCAATACTTATTCAAGTTGAGATACATTTCTCCAAATTTCAGAACAATTCTCCAAATTTCAGAACAATTATCCAAATTTCAGAACAATTATCGAAATTTCAGAATGATTCTCGAAATTTCAAAGTAGTATATAAAATTTCGTGGGTGATTTACAAAAGTTTATAGATATTTTCGGAATTCAAAAAATCGCTTTTTGGAATTTCTGAAAAGTTATAGGAATTTATATGATAAGAATTTAGTTAACTAAGCCCCAAGTGACAGGGAGGGTTCAGGTCCAGTCTCTCCTCGTCACTTTAAGGCTTAGGAATAACACTGTCTAGTCCTATTAAATCTATATAACTTTAATATGCAGCAAAATTCAAATACAGCAATGAATTGTACTTATTTGTGTGATTTTCATGCATGTATCGTCGGACATTTAGGACTTTTAAATTTACTTATCCATCATCAACAAACCAGATGTTGAGTTCAATTTATCAAAACAAATCATCTTTTACGTTTGACTTCTTCTAGATCTAAAATGTTTGATAATAAAGATGACCAGGTAATGCAAAATTTACAACTTGATTTGAATCAAATAATTTTCACAATTTGTTGACATTCTTACGGGACACCGAATACGGATTTAAACATAAGTAAAAATTTGCTGACCATACGTATTCTTATATTAATATTGTTCAAAAGACTTCAGAACTTGTCAGAAGTCATTAATTATCACATGTTATTTTGCGAATGTCAGTTGCAGCTAGTTCTCCATGATGAAAAAAAAACAACGAAAAGGTTGTGATTGAGGATTTCAATAACTCAATAAAATAATAAAAATTACTTTTTCATAAACATTTCAATTTGACAGAACGCAAAGGTTCTGTTAACAGGCATGTACGTAAGGTTGAGAGTAGCATTTTGATCGTATATTTGGTTTAAGGCAAGCCGGTACTCAGCGACAGTGGTCGTCGATTTATTAAGGAAAAATCCTTTGATGAAAATTAAATGGAAAACTTTCTACTGATATGGAAACATAAATATCAATTAATAAATATTGCTCGGATAAAAGGCACGTAAACAGCGACTGACCACTTGACTAGTAAACTAATTAACTAATTCCCTCGCGCAATGCGGCAAATATTAACAATTTTTAAGATAATCATGTACGATTAGTTCTATCCAGATAAAGTGTACAGTACAAGCCTACACTTGAACGCCTTGAAGACATCAATGTAACTTCCACATTCTCGCTATTACAAGTGTTCAGCCAAAATTCACGGGTTTTGAAAGTATGATTCAGTTTAATATTCACTGGTACTGGAAGCAAAAAGTAACTCTGTCATTCACAACCAACGGAGGATGATAGCCAATCACTTGCAAACACTGGCACAACATAATAGCATTGGCTATTCAAGTTGAATTATTGAATCTCAGCTTCCCGAAATCGTTCCCAGCAAAGATGGCTTCACAATATTGGCAAGAATGACACCCAAGGATTTTACTTTTGTTGCTACTAACAATGTTGTACAGTGGCATTAAATGCATGTTTTACATGGTTAATGATGTTGCGAAATGGTTATTCGAGAATTTTATCCCTTAACTTGAAATAATGTTTACTAATACTTGAGTTGTCCTTAATAACATCGTCGATGGTAGAGACACTATCATTGATCGATTTATTTAATCGATTAAATTTTTCGCTGATTTTTATTTCAGATGTCGATCAAGCATCTCTATCGTCGTTAATCGTTACAGTCAGCTTTCGCCTGATCTCAGTATCGTATAAGGATGTAATCGTTGTTTATCGTAATGTGTGTGTTGTACAGTCCCACTTCTCTCATTACACCTATATTTGCGTACTAATTGCGTACGAGATTACGTACGCGTTACGTTCGTAATTATGTACTGAGTACGTATGGGTCACATGCGTAATCACATACAGATTACGTACTCGTTACGTTCGTAATCACGCACTATTTACGTATTTTGACGTGCGTAATCTCATACAGATAACATACTCGTTACGTTCGTAACCTCGCTCTGTTTAAGTACATTTTACCTGCATAATTACGTACTGATTCCGTTCGCGTTACGTAGGTTCACTGATCTGGCTGCTGTATGTTACTAACTGCACGTGTTACACCTTGTACGTACCATGGCTGGTATACTTCAGTGCAGTACTGCATGGTTCTCCAACACGGCAGCTGCGCATTATAACAACCATGAGTTGAATCATTACAATGAATTATAACGAATAATAAGCTGTTTAAGGGTAGCCGCTGAATTGTCCGTTTCATCAATGTAACTTCCATCTTACTTTGCAGTTATTGCTCTAAATTTTATGTACAATAACTCAATACACGAGTACATTGCAATTGAATTGATTGCTTGCATTTTACAATACTCGTGTGTTCCAACATCGCGCAGACTGCTACGGTTAGATTACTAACTTCAATTTCTAAGTTTCTTGTAAATATTAATATTACCGATAATATTTATTATTTTAATATTGCTAACAGCGTTCGTTGTGGCATGATGTTTTCATATACAGGGATGATGAAGCATGTGTAGGAAGCTGAAGCCGTAATCGCATGTCTTAATTAAGAACATCGTATTTCTTCAGGACTAATTTATTGCAATTTAAGGAGACTGTGCTTATGTAATGTACGCCTAAGAAGATATCCTGTCTATTATTCATATTTTATTGTTATTATTGTATTTGTAATATAATTACTGATAATATGTGTAATATGCTAATGAGCAAACAATTCATAGTAAATTAGTTTCCTGTTAGTTATGTCCCATGTAGAGTCGGTCCAACAGTAAACATTCTGATCACCTTCAATGAGTTTAATATCCTGTTGGTTCCTATCATATCATGTATTGTATCATATCATATATCATATCATGTATTGTATCATATCATATATCATATCATGCATTGTATCATATCATAGTGATGTCGGCGCTGAAGAATAGGCCTGATGTGGCATGTCGCCGATTCTTATACTTTTCGTGCCACAGGAGATCTAAAAAAAAGGTCCTTGAGATCGTGAGGTACAAATTTTAATTAAAAATTGGAGGTTATTCATTATTTACCTCGACAAAATAATGTATTCAACTGTATTTGCGTAAACTTATTCGTGCATTTCATGGAAATTAGGAAATGACCCAGGTTCAGAAAACAGAATGGTCTATCAAATATTGGAGTGAAGATATGAAGCTATTTCGAAAAAGTACTATAAGCAACGTACAATCATAGTAATGTACTATTGTAAATTAAACGCAGTTTAAATCTCAAACCTTTTATAATAAAAACAAAAGTTTTATCCTCATTTGTTATCTAAAGCTGCGCCGTCACCTTAGTTCCATAATTACCTCTTATCTTACCACACCGGATGCCTGCCGTCTATAGTTGGATGGCCGCGCATACGCCGACCATGCTTTGCTTAATTTATTTTAAGCCTAACTATTAGTTTCACTAGTTAACTGTTTTAAGTGGAGTCGCATCGACTGCAGAAACAGATAAGGGAAACCCGAACATGATACGAGAGCTCGCGACTTGCACGACGTGGCACTTAGTGAACAGCGTTGTACAGCTGTTCCCTCTAACGCCACCCACGCTATAAAGTTTTGTTAGTGTACGCTATAACGTTCATCACACACAGTAACGTTTTGAGCTTACGTTAAACGCACTTGCAAAACTAGCAAAAGATAAATTCAAGATCAATGAGAAGAATTATACCGTTGTTGATGCAAACAATATTAAAGTGTGAAGCTGTTGCATGGTAGTTCAACTAGTGTGATCACATTTAACTTACTGCAGAGAATATATAGCTGTAGTCTTACTATTAACATCTGATAATACGAGCAAAGTCTGTAAAATGCGTTTGGATTAGAGGCAAGAAACTTTTTTTGAAATATATATTTTTAATTATTGAGTAAAAATACAAATTTGTTCGAATTATAATCATTATCTATATTATGCTTGTCTAGAAATTTGTGCGATTTGGATACGAGAATAATAGCGGAATCATTTGCTTATAAGTCCCAGCCCATTTATCTGACTTCGATCATATCTATGGTGAGTAAATAGTTAATATGAATAGAAATAAAGATTATCTTAAAAATAGGTGCGATGAGCAAGAATTCAAGCACATGTACTTGCATACTAGCAGGTAGACAGAAGTGCTGGTAGGTAGTACATGTGCAGGTAGACATATGGTAGATAGAATTGCTGGTAGATGCCACCCGTCATTCGCTATCGTCGTCTGTCTCGTCGTGTTGACAGTAGACGGGTTATGTACCGTAACTGGTAGACAGAAGTGCTGGTAGATACCACCGGTCACTCGCTGTCGTCGTCTGTCTCGTCGTCGTGTTGACAGTAGACGGGGTAGTACCGTAACTGGTAGACAGAAGGGCTGGTAGATACCACCCGCAACCAGTCCCGTAGTCCACGTTTCTTGAAGTACTTCTTGGTCAGGTACTTCAGGTACCTACGGGATCAGAACATGTTTCTGGGAATGCTAAGGGTATATATAACTAATATAAGGTTGTAGTGATTCAAGAGTATTACTATATATTTATAATCTTTAAATTTGTAAAAGAGTATTTGTTATAATCTATCCTGCGTCAACCCCTGATTACCCTGTTTTTCTCGGCCTTAAAAGGTATTTCCTGTGGTGGGATTTTTTATCTTTGCGAGGTATAAATGAGTTATATGGTAGAGACGATAAAAGAATTCGTTTCCTGTACTCACGGAATTTTATCCATATAAATGTGATGTCGCTAATTTTACAGGAAAGTACGTAAAAACATTTTTGGTAAAATCAAGTTAGAAATAGTTTGGTAATAAATTTATTATAGAATGCCTCATAGTATTGTGACAGTGAGATTTTCTATCCACCTAAAAAATAGATTGAATAAAGGTAGCACCATTTCTCCGTGTTAATAGGTGTAAATTTAATGCACTTTTCTTCGCTTCATGGTAGTTGGGCACTTTTCAATTGAAGATAAGACACCTGAATTAACTTCCATCAATGCATTATTCACGCATATTACATTTATAGCGAAAAATTAAATATGAACGAAGCGAATTCTTTCATGTAATTTCAACTTTGGATTGGATTTGGGTCGAAGTGACCGCGAAAAAAACTTGCACGAGTTAGGCCTTCATATCGGCTAAATTCCAAGCGTCACATATTCGTTATTTGTTAGAAGGATGAAGAGAGAAATGAGGTCAGGTAGAGAGGATATTGTAGCAAAGGCTAAGGGTGGGAAATATTGTGTTATGAGTAAGATGAAAACAAGGGAAAGAAGTTCCGGAAGATAGTTATTCGGTCTATTATATATCGCTATGTCCCACTTATTGCACTGGAGTTTCAAGGTTCATTTTAAATATTGGTATCTCTCAGGCCCCGATTAATTATTGTGTCCTATTGCATTATTATTGCTATAATTATTATTATTTTATCATTGCTCGAGTCTGTATCCTCCTCTGGCTTCCATTCTCACCAACCTCCTCCTATCCCTCATCCTCCATGGACTCTACAAATATCGCTTTCCACTCTCAGTCATAGATAGCAGCAGTCACCCCTGTTGACAGACCCACTATCATTACAATCTATTCGTCTCCTGTTTGATCATACATCACACCATCACCCTCACCTCTCTCATCATTTCCAGTCTCTCCCTCTCATATGCATCACACTACATCATCAGATGCTCCACAGTTTCTCTCTCACCTTTGTCACACATAAAACAAATATCATCTCTTCGTTCATTCTACCTGTACGTACGTCCGTGCATTCACACTCAAAGCATTCGCTCCTACGCAGAACATTAGGTCCCTACCTCTACTGTCATCATATTTGCACTAATTAGTCCTATTCGCCATCATTCCATGCAATAACGTCCATTCCATACATTATACCAGGCACCACCACACTCTTCCATACTTCTCTTAACACATTATATTTACTTACTTACTTATATAATATACTTATATAATACAGTGAAGAATGCGTCAAATAAAGCGCAATTGCAAGATGATCTTGACAGCTTAGTTAACTGGGCTGATACGTGGCAGCTGCGGTTTAATGCTGACAAGTGTAAAGTACTTCACCTCGGGAAGAACAATGAACAGCAAGATTACAGTATGAGAAGACATGGTACAGATTTGAAATGCCTAGCTCCTTATCGAACCCGGTGGAAGTCTAGTAGCTTCTTCAAAGTATCGCCAGTCATGAAAAGATCCGGTCAAATGACACGAGTTTAGATCTATGAACAAGGCACGAAATGGAAAAGAATCGGCGACAGGCCACATCAGGCCTACACTTCAGAGCCGACATCACTATGTTATGTTATGTTATGTTACTTGCCCTCACTCTTACTGCACTGCCCAGTACCCAGAGGTGGGCAGGAGCGCGCTACATGTAGCGGCCGTTACAGTTTCAGTAGCGGTAGCGGCGCTACATTTAAGCAATTGTAGCGGTAGCGGTAGCGCCCGCTACATATTTAAGTAGCGATACGAGGTTTTGCCTCTACAGCGCTACCGCTACATTTATAGATAAAGCCTTTTAATTTTCTTAATAGTATTAAATATTATTTAAAAACCAGCATGATACATACTTAATATAAATTACAGAATAGAACTGTACGAAAGATTTCGGTGTAATGTTGTCAACCTCAGTCTGTTACTAGTGTCAATATGTTAGTTGTTACTTGTTAAGTTGTTACCAGTTACCATGCACTTACAGGTATTTTTCATGTTTCAGTTTGCTTACAGTTAATTTTACACAGTTATTTTTATGTTTCACCTTCCCTACATGTATGTCTACTTTAATCTACCAATCTCAAAAATAATCCACATATACAGGGTGACCCAAAAAATTTGCTAAAGGTAAAGGCTTATAACTCAAAAAGTATTAAACGTAGAAACATTAAATAAAAAAAAACACATCAAAGAGTATAACTTCAAGTTTTATTCAGATTACAACCATTGTTCAAAATGACCTTGCTGTTGAATACGCAGCTTAATACGTTTTTCAAAATGTATGGTTACTGCAGACAAGGTATCAGGTCAATAAGTGTGGGAGCTTTACGAATTGCTATCTTAATATTGTCAATGCTGCTTGGTCTTGTACTGAATACTTTTTCCTTCACGTAACTCCGTAGGAAGAAATCCAAAGGCGATTCATTAATTCTTTCTTCAATCTTGGCAATGTTTTCTTCTGATCTTGCAGTTCTTTGCCGTCCAGAATGACCTTTATTTTGATTCAGGATCGTTCCTTTATCTTTCCACTGACGTATCCACTTCTTGATTGTTTTGAGACTAACTTCTTGTCTGTATTTTGTGGAATAACCTCTCTTTATTTTGGTTGGTGAAGGTTTCAGGTAAAATTGTTCGACAATGAATACTCGTTGCTCGGAATTTAGCTGCATTGCATGGAAATCATGATCTTAAAAAAATAGTGAGTTTTAAATATGTAATATATAGAGAACTTTGGTAAATGGATATCAAATAAAACTTGAAGTTATACTCTTTCGTGTGGTTTTTATTTCATCTTTCTACGTTTAATACTTTTCGAGTTATAAGCCTAGCTTTACTTATAGCAATTTTTTTTATATGTACGTATATGTGGATAAATTTTGAGATTGGTAGATTAAATTAGACATCCATGTAGGGAAGGTAAAACATAAAAAATAACTGTAACTTTTATTTACTGTATCTAACCCGTACTAGTTCGGTTAGGTTAATTGCAATAAAGTTGCATTGATATGTTTTGAAAATGTTTTATTATCATTAAATGTTAATGAGTAAATCCCAACAGCAGAACAATGAATATTTAAAGATTTCCAATAATTTTGGCTATGGTAGCGGCTAATGTAGCGGCGCTACATTTTACTGTAGCGGTAGCGGTAGCACTCGCTACAATCTAGTGGATGTGGTGGTAGCGCCCGCTACATTTAGAGCATGTAGCGGTAGCGGTAGCGGCTCTACATTTCAAAGTAGCGCTGTCCAGCTCTGCCAGTACCTATTCCTAACCACTGATTTGCTTTACTAAGACTCAACGCTTTAGTTCTCTCATATCCTTGTTGGTCAACACTCATTCCCAGTTATCTGTACTCATTTGTCATCCCAATCACATTTCCTCCCAGCTGCCACACTCTACCCACATCCTCAGCTGTTTCATTCACCACTAGCACCTGACTTTTCCCAAGGCTAAAGCGCACATTAAAATCCTTGCCGTACTCAGTTATACAGTCAAGCATACTCTGAAGTTTAACCACATTATTACTGCATCATCAACATGAACGAAATTGAAGTGTTAAAACTACGTGTCAAATCAAAAATGCTAAATCCCCTAAATTACACAAAATTCGGGAATTTGGTAGGATGAAAACAGGGCAGAACCAAGGCATAAAATTTCAGTGTTCGATACAAAAATTTACTTGCACCACACAAGTGTTTTTATAACTACTGAGCAAATATTTAGTTATCCGAGACAAAAAAATGGGTAGACTATAATTTTCGTTTCGATGAAATAAAACATTTTATTTTACATCTGGAAAAGAGAAATTCAATCAATTCGATAAATTCAATCAACTGACTAACCTTTTTGAGTACTTATAATCGTAGGCCGTAATGGTGACATTGTCGTCCAGAGTCTTTATGGTCACGTGATCGTTAAGGTTCTTGACGCAGCCGTTCACCTTGAAACGCTCCTCCAAGAACTTTACCTGCGCAAATTCAACATCCTTCAATTCAACTCTACTGCAACAAGCGAAATTAAGAAGTAATCACAATTAAAAAAAATCAGATTCTGACAAATTAATGTTTTGGAGTCGAGCACATGAGCCGAGTATGGAAATACTTTATTTGAATCTAATTAAAGGTAGTATATAATTACTTACATAATCTTTAACGTCTAAGATGCCGTCTCCAGCGGGCAGTCGACAATCCACTTTGAAATCTAACGTATTTTGTTTGATCTTGCTCTTCCTCTTGGCGTTCGAAGCTCCTGTTGCTTTATGTTTTACAGATAAATGTTTGTTAAGCTTGTCCCCTATATTTTCCAGTGCTGATTTCGACTTCTTTGACGCAACAACTGTTGGAATTATTTCATTGTTTCTCTGCTCAATCTTTAATTCTTTTTTACGCCCTCTAACTTTTCCAACTTGATTCACTTGGTCTTCTTTGGTTGCGGTCAGCTGAATTTTTTTCATTGCCTCTTCCTTAATGGGTGGCGATTTCTTATTCTTCTTTTTCTTATTAGCTCTGGATGTTTGAGTAAGTTTTTCACCTGTATCACTCGGAGGCGTCTCTCGGTTGCATGTTTTTCTAGATATTCTAGTATTTTCACTTACTTCAGCTACAAGGATGTGATTTGGATGTAATTTTTCACAATCAATAGAATTTGAACCTTGTTTTAACTTTTTGCTGTCCTTGGAAGATTTTGCTGGAATTTTTGCTGGTTTTTCGTCGTGCAAATATTTCTTATCCTCTTTTTGCATCGAGGTAATTTCTCCAGTGAGAAAGCTTTTCAACAATGGATTATTGTAGTTCTTCGTTGCGTTCGTTATATTGTTTATAAAACATGCTGCCGTCTCTTCCAATTCATCCAGTACTGACGTTTTCATTTCTTGCCGGTGATCTTTCCGAAAAAAGCTGCTTCCTTCATTGTTGAAAGGTGCCTGCAACACATTATTATTATTTCCACGAATGAAAATTAGCATTAAAATGTCATTACTGTTTTTTTCTGGGTGAACCCACTGTTAGCATAGAGAACGATACCCTTAAATGTAACTGTGACGTCACATCGTACACACAGCTGCTAACGCAATAAACGAAGGTTAACCAACAGTGAAATAATCTCCTCTAAAAGCAAATGTGAGCATGGATTATAGTCGAGAAGAATGCTATGTATAAAGATTAAATGAAATTGATATGAAAATTTCTACTCTATAGAGCATTGTTGAGTTAATGGGGATTTCCTGTTAGGCCGTTTGCCAAATTCCAAGTGAAACATTTTAGGCGTGTCTGTTTCATTGAGCTTTTTATTCAACTAGAAAATAATTCATGTATTCATTGCTTTGCAGTTTGCATTGATATATGTTACGAGTAAAAATGACTAAAAGATTATTAATAAAATTAATACTGATATTCATTCAGAAATTCAGAATTAAAGATTAAAAGAGTCTGCCGTCTGGTAACAAGATAGGCCTAACAAAGATTGTTAAGAGAATTAATACCAATTTGGCCTACCTATTCATGCATTAAAGATTGATTGAGTCAGGTAACAAGATTATTAATAAAAGTAATGATGGTTATTGATCATTGATGTAGGGTAAACGCACTATATTCCGACAAATAAAGGATGTAGCCGTAGGTAGCAAAAAATGAATGGCTATAAAAAAATCACCGTATGCGCAACTCGAGTTCTGTTTGCTTTACGTCTACATAGTGGCAAACCAGAGATTTTTTAGAATCAGTTCATTTTTAATTTCCTAATTTACTCAAGATTTAAACAAATTTTTTATGTATGGTAATGCTGGTAGGCCACTGTGCAGAGAGTGGATGAATATTGCAAGATCTTTGGCGACGCTTCAGTAGCCAAATTTTCGCCTTCAGAAGATCTTGCCGACAAATTTAGATTGAAATTCTTGCATTTAATATATTTCTCAGTCTTCGGCCAACTATTTAGAAAAAAAAGTAAGGTTTCCGGTACGTTGGATGGATTAGTTCCTACAATGCAGCAAAGCTTGTCCGGAAATCAGTTGTGATGAGTTCCCGCAAAAAAATGTAAACAACGTTTTTTCGATTGCATAGTTTCAGTCACATTAGAGCGGTCAGACTGCTTTATTACGTGTTCACTAGACACTTGCTGTACAATCGGACTGTTTTTAGGGTAAAATTAGTTATTTGGGGTAACACGTGCATGCAACCTTTAAATAAGTTCGTGGCTTGTAAATAGTTCGTCATTACTCAGCGTAAATGGCTTTTCATTAAAAATTACCCGGCGACGCATCTTTAAAATGGCCGGCGACGCTTTGGGATTAAAAATCCATATATTGGCGACGCTGCATCCACCCTCTGCATAGTGGCTGGTAGGGTAAACGCAGTATATTCCGAAATCGTAGGTAATTCCGTCACTTCTCTAGTTTTTCCTTTATATTAAGCTTTGTTTTAGTTCCATGCGTTCATTGATGGTTGAAATGGTGACGAGATGTCGGCATTACGTATCAGTTAAATTTGAAGCGCTGACGCAATACGACTCACCACGTGTTGAATATTGCCACACACAGTGATGGAATATAGGGATTTGGTAGGCATCCATTCTAAAGGCTTTTTAATAAATATGGCAACATTTTGTGACGTTTCATTGTTGCTGACGCGTAGTGAAGTGTTTTGAGAGTCACGTGAAGGCAACAGAACTTACGTAATGCATACGGTTTTTTTATAGTTTTTCATTTCTCGATGCGTCCTTAATGTGTCGGAATATACCGCGTTTACCCTATGAGTGGTAGCTATCCACGATACTTTACTGGTCTACTTATAGAACTCAAAAATGAACTTGAGGGAGAGTCTAAAAAACTCTCTGCTTTGCCACTATGTAAATAAATACGTCTCTCTCAAAACACTGCAATATGCGCCAGCAACAATGAAACTTCACAAACTGTTGCCATATTTATTTAAAAGCCTTTAGAATGCAAACCTACCAAATCCATATATTCTGATGCTGTGTGTGACTAAATTTGGCATTTTGTGAGACTAATTCCGGCCGCACTTCAAACTCTACTAATTCGTAATTCCAACCCTCTTGTGTTCGAATTCCAAGCGCTGTGTGTGTGCTGTATTGGAATACGACACAGCTAGGAATTAGAACACTATTGAATATTGAACACTACTTAATTAGGCTTTTAGCTTAAATTCTTTCATTGCCTCTTCCTTAATGGGTGGCGATTTCTTATTCTTCTTTTTCTTATTAGCTCTGGATGTTTAAGTTTTCACCTGCATCCCTCCACAGTCCACACCAGCTTTTAATTAAGAAAATTTTAATTTTTGCCCACAGCTCAGAACAAGCTGTGTGTGTCTAATTCTAAGCTGTGTTGGATTCAGTTGGAATTAGTTTTTATGTGTCTAAAACCGTCTCTTAACTTAATCATCTATTAATTTATTTACCACTTGAAATCAGCAAATACAAGTATACATAAAGGATTCCTAATATATTCACAGACTTGTTTAAAAGTCTCAAACCATGATATTCTTTCTACACAAACAGTTTATCACTATTTGCTGGAGCAAGGTCTACTATTAACTTTGACATGTTTTTTGATGTTCTCACTGGGTGACATGCACTGTCTCTCTTTGGATCTTAACATTTTCCCACCAGACAGCCCAGACCTAGTGTTTTGGCAATAGTATGGCGAGCAATAGTATGACGTCACTATTTCAACCATCAACAAATGCGTGGAACTAAGACAAAGCTTAATATAAAGGAAAAAGTTGAGAAGTATCGTAATTACGTACCCACAATGTCCGAATATACCGCGTTTACTCTAAGCACAACGGTTCAAGTTCAAGTCACCTTGTCAATGGTCCAAGTCAGGCATGGAATATATATCTACTTGACGAGCCGCAATTGAATTTTTTGAGATGTTCTTTTATAGATTTACCTGCCGTCATTCCATTTCTTCGAGCTGTGAATTCCATATCTAGGCTATGAAAAGCCATTTACAAGGCGTGTTAATGCAGTCTGATATGACCGCAACTATGCGCGATCTTCAATAAAACATTTAGGTTGACTTGTTTACATCAGAATTATTATGATACCATTCTGCAAGATATTTTGGCAATAACATTTAAAGTAATGCTGATTGGAGAAGTGGAAAATTTTATGGAATGACATGTTTGCAAAGTGCAAACTGCAATTTTTTCAATTAAACAAAAAATTTACGACATTCGAGCCACAAGATTTCATACCTACCAAAATTATACGATGTTAGAGCCACAATATTTATGAAAAATATAAGACATGTTTGTGATGATGAGCTGCTTCTTGAACTTTCTAGATGAATCATCTATCAAATTATTCATAAAACAGCACAATTGTGCCATAAGATTCTAATTTGTAATTTCCAAATGTTCATTGAAGTACTAATTAATGAAGTTCCTCAACACACATTTGTAATTTCCAAATTACAAATTACACACATTTGTAATTTCCAAATGTGTGTTCTTTCAAATTGTAATTTTCCAAAAATTCTTTAAAGGCACAAGATTTTATAAGTCAAAAATTTTCAATCTAGGATCTAAGTTGAATTCATTCATTATTGAACTAAAGTTAAAAAACTTAACTTTAGTGTCCTATGGACTACGTATCTACCGGTACCTAGTTTATGAAACTTGAAATTAATTAAAATCTGAGTAGATTATTTAGTCTACTAAAATTGTAAAAAGAACTAAATGTTCATGCTTTGAAATTTCATTTGACTTTCTGTAGCCAAATGTTTAATGTTTTGAAATATTTCAGGTCAAGTGACCTGATGGATACAGGAGGCAGTCAAGGCGGCATGCAGCCTGGCGGCTCAGACAACAACGGGGAAATCATCGGGGGCCCTCGGACCCCCCAGCAGATGATGGCCCAAAAGCGGATGCAACAGACACAAGCTCAAGTTGATTCAGTGAGTCTTGTTCCAAATATAGGGCCTATTTTTAAAGTTTTTGGATTTAATGACATATTATATTAAACTCAAAATTTAGGATGTGATGCAAAAAGTAATGAATTCATGCTTGTAAAATTTAGTTAGAAAAGCTCTGAAGCATTATTAGTTTTGGCATGTAAGCAATCCATTCAATATTACAGTTCAGTAGCATGAAAAATTATAAATTGGGCTTGGTTGTTTGTTTTATCAATGAATATTTGTGGATGAAAATGGAGGTTTTCTAACTTAGATGTTCAAGCACTCAAAATTCAACAAAGTCCTTTACAGTATTTTTCTATTTTGACTTGTTTACCATATGTTTTCATATAAAATGATTGAAACAACTAATTTATGTGTTAGTAATTTCTGCAGTTATAACCAGGTTTCTCATCTGCATTAATATGAAAACCTTTTTGCAATATGTACTTCTCTCTAGAATAAATTTCAAAACCATGTGAATGTGATAACTTTGCATTGGTAACATTCTGTGACTACATGACTCAGGTGGTTGGTATTATGAGAGTCAATGTGGAGAAGGTGCTTGAGCGTGACCAGAAGCTCTCAGAGCTCGACTCCAGAGCAGGTAACCTCTGAAGCCTCCCAACATGTTTTGGCTATTGAATAAAAAACATCTTATGAATAATCCTTTTTCCCTAATAATATTAAAGCAAAAGGTGCTCCTGTACCATTGTTATTTCTTCATTCCTGATTCCTCTGAGTTAGAAATTTGTCTTATCTACAGAGTAATTTTCCGTTCTTCTTATCCCCTATTGCTCACCATGCTTGTGGTATTTGTATCAATGTCCATGTTTACATTTTTTTAATGAAAGCAGTTTTCCTGGGGTATTTATCATGCTTGTCTGGCTAATCCCTCAAGAAACTAACTTCGATTGTCCCTTGTGATTTATTAGGAACATTTCTTATGAACAATATGATTTGATAACAATGTTTGCATATAATCAATAACTAATAAGTGCAATGCTGCTACTCATGAACTTTGCCATGAATCCTTGATGCTGAAATTATCAAGATAATTTGTTTCTCCATGAAATTATTCATTTCACATAAATCTAAAGCATGTACCTGTAGAAAAAAAAGCTTCAATAATGCGGTCTTGATGCCCTGTTTAACTACAGTATTTAACTAGTTTATGGCCTGCCAATTGTGGGGCCCATGACCTAAACCCATAAACTGGATTTTATTTTGTGATCTTTTTGTGGGAATTTTGCACTCCATGTTGGGATGTCATTGCCTGGTTGACAATCCACTCCAATCACTCTATGCTTGCTACCTCGTTGGTTCATTTAACTCCTTACTCTTCGCTTCATGTTGGTTAAAGTAGTGTTATTGTCAGTGCCTACAAGTCTAATAATTATGGGACATGTCAATGGTGTGATTTGTTTGCAGTTTGTTGGCTGGTTGCTTTTTTTCACTATTTTCATTGATAATTCTGCTGAATGAAAACCATTGTTGATCCCACAATGTTGTTTGGAAATTAGTTTGGTTCTCAAGAATATCATTGTATTTTCCTGGGTGTTAGTATAGTAACCCTACTCTCTTATGAGAGGAGGTTTATATACTTCTGAGTATATTTTCATATTTTCCTGCTCATTTGGAACAATTTTCTCTTTAAATTTCCAGGGTAACTATTGTCTTCTTGCCTCACAAACTACCTTCCCTTTGTGCCTAACATTCGTAATTTCACTCTCAGATCTGTCAATCTTAGTCATGGTTATGGTTTTCAGTGTCCTCAAGTTGGCCTTCTATTGTTCTATCTTCCTTGTAATAAAAAAGTGATGGTCTCTATGTCTCATACACTCATTTTATATGCAGCAATAAATTCAGATTTTTCCTTTTGCTGGTTGTTCACTCCTTTCTGCTCAATCTAGCCTTCTGTTCTGCTCAATCTGGCCTGTCTGGCTCAAGCTGTTTCTTTGTTGCCAAATCTTGCTGTCTCCAAGAGAAAGTATCACGGTGTTAAGTCTTATTTTCCTCGGTCCATGAACCTGCTGTCATTTTGTCATATTGATGGTGTCTGCATAGTGGTTTTTCTTCACATTCATTTATAGACACTCAAATGTTTGTTTATTGTCTCTACAAACACTTGGATACCGCACTTCCAGGTGTTAGCATCATGATGTTCGTGTTGATGCTTGTCATTTGATGATATTGTGGCGCCATTTGTCTCCGCATTCTTAACATTTTTACCTTTCTTCATCTGATGTTTTCTAATCCAAGGGAAACATCTGTTATGAGGTTGATAACAAAAGCTGGTGATTATCAACAGATCATTTGAGGTGAGCTTACAATTTATGGTTCGGGGCCAGTACTTTCAAAAAAAGTTTTAGAGGTCGTAAGTTCATCAGCCGATCATTGACGTTTTTTCAAGCAAAATCCACCAATCATAGACAAGAAAATAGAGCGTAAGTACTTACGTTAACTTAGCAAATTTTGAAAGTATGGCCCCTGGAATTCACTTGTTCTTGCTCAAGGGACTGGGGCCTCAGCTATATACCAGCGCTGCTGCATTTTTGGCTCTACAAAGAGCATCTCCACCCCAATCCTGGATGTCGTAAGAGACGATGGCATCTATAGTGGCTACTTTTATCACTTGCAGGTTGTTGACATAATGCGGACCAATGTAGAGAAGGTTCTTGAACGAGACCAGAAGCTCTCCCAGCTAGATGACCGAGCAGGTACATGTCGCGCTAGCTCCTCGTTTCATTCTTTGTCGCTTCTCTGGTAGATTGGTTTCTGCTGTTCATTATTCGTATCATTTATTAACGTTTGTGTACTAATTTTTGTGAGTTTTTTGTTTTATCTTGAAATCGTGCTTGTTGAATTAATTTTGCCCTCCATTGTTCATGGTTTCATTTTGGCTTCAAAAAATATTTATTTTGCAATAATTTTGGTCACTTGTTCCTGGTAACTGTTTCCCTCATCTCTATTTTCTTTAATTGTACAACTAAAATTATATTATTGTAACTACATAGTTGTTGACTTTTTAAACTTAACTGCTAATCTTGTATTCACCTCTGTTCATGATGCAAACTCTTGATTTTTTGTTTTAATAAGTTACATTTTCTTACACTACTGCATTTTATGCTATTTTTTATTGTATTCATGAAAAATGAAGCTTATCTCATATTCTTCTTTGAACTATTTGGCTTGCTTCCCCATTTTTTCCTTTATTGTTATTATTCTTTCTTCAATGGTATTTCTTAAATTTTATTCTACTAAATGTTACAAAATAATATCCGTGTGTGTTGTATGTTATTTGCCTATAACAATTGCAGTAATTAAAAAAGATTCCATTTACAAATGTGCATCAATCTCTATTGTATTAACAAAATAACATGTTCACTTTTTTCTTGAATAAGTTAGATTCGAAATAATCTAGGTGAATAACACTTGGTGATTAATCTAAGTAAGTCCAGAAGCTTCAGCTTCTGCCTTAGTTTGTGTGACATATTTTTGACGGGACTCCGTTTAGTTTTATTAATTGCTTAGTTTTATTAATATTTATTTAGTCTTTATTAATTGCCAGATGACTGGTGCATTAACAGTGATGACTGCTACACTGTGATGACTGTTACACTGTGATGACTGCTACACTGTGATGACTGCTACACTGTGATGACTGCTACACTGTGATGACTGCTACACTATCTGAGATGACTAGTACTCTTTAACAGCTCTCTTGCAGCCCTATCATATAACACGCATTGAACATTTATTCATTTCTGCTCTAATGTATTGATGTTTGTATCTAATGATGTAAGTACTTCCTAACATAACGTGTACTGGTGCTTCCTGTACTGATGTGTACTGATGCTTCCTGTACTGATGTGTACTGGACTACTGGTGCTTCATGTAGTACTGATGTGTATTGGTACTTCCTGTACTGATGTTCACATGTAATGTTTGATGTTGTTGACGTGTTCTCCCTGCTGCTGTGAACAGTCTTGCTTCACTAACAACTCAGCATATTAAGCGTCAGGTATTTGTATGCATGCTCTTCTTTGTCCTTTGTGCTTCTCCATAAACATATTATGGTATTGCCTAGCCTTATTTCGAATTATCGGAAATCTTATGAGAGCCATTTTCTTATCATATCCCTTGTATACCTAATTTTGCATTAAGTATAATTATTTTCAATAAATATTTTTGTTAGTGTTTGCATCAGCAGACTACAATAGTTAACTATAAATTTAAAAGCGAAGAAAACACCACAAAAATTTAGCATATCTCTTTTGAAAACGTTTCGGAGACCAGCTCCATCGTCAGTTCGATAAATCTAGAACACAGATAAATGCAGAAAATTAGTTTGGAGTTAATAAAAAAAACACAAACAGAAGTTAAAAACCTAAATATCTAGATTTATCGAACTGACGATGGAGCTGGTCTCCGAAACGTTTTCAAAAGAGATATGCTAAATTTTTGTGGTGTTTTCTTCGCTTTTAAATTTCTAGTGAATCTGCGATTAAAGCAATCTAGTGACTTTTTTACTAGTTAACTATAATTATAGTACGTGGTTCATGTCAGGTGAAATTTTCCCTCATCAGACTAGATTTGCCCTAGCCAGTATTATTAATTCCTAATTAATTGTAGTTTCTCATTAGGTTTTTCTTTCTCATTATTTGAAACAATTTCCATTATTGCCTTCAGCATATTTTTTTGCTTGAATCTTTCCTGCTGAAAAAGGCCTATAATGAACTACATTCCCTACACACTCTTCTCATGTAGTCATGTCTTATTGTAGTTTGTGACCATTGCATGAAATTGCATGCATGAACTGAATATTGCAATGTAGAGAAATTATTACATATTTTCTTCAATTTTGTAGTGTGTTTCTACTATCGCCCAATTGGATTTTAGTGCAATTGATATTAGGTTATGTTTGTTTTTTATAAAGATATTTTTTGCAATGTTGTATGCTCTTGTACCTTCAACTTTAGATTCACTTTTTTATGCGAGTTCTTGATGTAGTTGGTTATGGTCATTTAATATTAAATTTAATTGGTAATGACATAATAATGGAATGCTTGCCATCTGAGGTTTAGAAGCTCCTTAATATTAGAGCAATAATGTACTGTAAATTTAGTGTACCACAAATGCTTGGTTCATCTCATAACTTGGGCATAATTTGGATATTTTTGCTAGTTGAGTATTTCATTTATAAGTTGTTAGTAAATTGTTAATTTGTGAAATGATTAGATTGTGTGATTCAGTTGACAATTCATTATATTACTGGGTGTTCATGATACAAGCCGTAATTTACATTATTAATAAGTTATGATGCAAGGCATTGTATTTTCAACATGGTTGGCTGTGTCGCACCCACAAATCTATATAATTCTTTTGACTTGGATATCCTGTTATATAATATAATAATATTTAAATATACAATAGATAACAGTGTTGACTAATCTATTATATGTTCTTGTTAATAAGTTAATTTACTTATGTTTATTAAAAAAATAGAGAAGTCATGATATCATTGTTAGAGATGTTAATTTATGATAATTAAAAGGCATACCGGTATAATAGAACATTGACGATGTGAATATAAAGACATGCTTATAATAGATTATATTAATTATATAAACATGATTTATTCATGTTTATATACATTTACATGAGATTATTAATCATATAAACATGCCCCACACAGACGCACTCCAGCAGGGCGCTGCTCAGTTCGAGCAGCAGGCGGGCGCTCTCAAGCGCAAGATGTGGTGGAAGAACCTTAAGGTTTGTACTTATTAAAATACTTATTTCTCTACCGTCTGACTTGAGTAACCGGAGCAATATTAGTAGTATATGAATATTACTAATATAATATAACGATATTAGTAATATCAATAACTTGAGTAACCAGAGCAATATTAGTAGTATATTAATATTACTAATATAATATAATAATGTTAGTAATATCAATAACTTGAGTAACCGGAGCAATATTGTCACGCGCCTACTTCCTAAAAAGGATACGTTCTAGTGAGCGCAAAATGACTTGCACTGATGGTTGCCGCCACGTACGACAACTTTAAAATGTTCTCTGTTGCGTACAAACGTCCTCAGGTTGCTACACTCAATAGTTTACGTATAATTTGAGTTGAAAGTTTAACTTTGAAATGTTCTCTGTTGCGTACAAACGTCCTCAGGTTGCTACACTCAATAGTTTACGTATAATTTGAGTTGAAAGTTTAACTTTAAAATGTTCTCTGTTGCGTACAAACGTCCTCAGGTTGCTTCACTCAATAGTTTACGTAGAATTTGAGTTGAAAGATGTGTTAGCGGAGAGTAACATGCGGCGGTAGAGGGTTAATATAAGGAGTGTTTTATGATGTATTGTATATTGTATAATATATTGATTGTATAGTTATTTTATGGTAAGGTTCTTATGTAATAATTATTGTTTATAATAATATTTTTTCATGATATGATTCTTTGATAATGATGTAGTTTTATAATATGATTTGTTTTCTGATAAAATTGTTGTCTATTAAGGATCTTATACTATAATACTTTGCGATAATATAAAGAAAACGTTTATAAGTGTCAGCGTATCTTCAATGAAAACGCGACATAGTTACTCACACATTATGCTGGATACTTGAATATTTTTAGATGGTAGTTATTATTAAATGTTTGCAGTTGTCATGAACTTTGAAGTTCATAAGAGCTTCTTTAATGCATGTTTTCTTACAATTTGTGAAGTGTAACATTCTCACTAATAAAATTTTGGTAAATGCTCATCGAGTATTATTGATGGTCATGGTTTTCTGTTGTGCAGATGATGATAATCATCGGCGTTGTTGTGGTCATCCTGCTGATTATCATTATTGGTGAGCCCTTATTTCGATCGGATATAAGCATAAAAATTACTTGATTGCTTAAGTCGCAAGTTTACCAGGAATTTAAAAGCAAAGAAAACAGCCAGAATATTAACCATTTCTTAAGAATGAAAACGTTTCGGAGTCCAGCTTCATCGCCAGTTCAAAAGTTCAAAACCTATAAGAAAATCAGAATCAATTAGAAAACTAAATTCACATCGAAGATAAAAACATAAATTGACAAAATAAAGACAAATACACATAAGAAGACATGCCTATCTATTTACAATTTCAAGGGGATAGGAGCTGAAGGAAGATAAATATCTTCCGAATGTAAATCTGCAGGTGCTGTTACCGTGTTAGCGGGTGGGACAAACCCGTTGTCCACTTAAGAGTTAAACAGTGGAAGCTATTAATATTGTGTAGACTTTAAATGAAAGAATTTTCTATTAAAAGTATATTTAGGGATAGTACAGCAAAACATAAACAAATGAAACAAGTGAAGAGTGTGGCATTGATCAGTGGGCTTTAACTGGCAGTTTCACTGATGAAGGTTATGAGCACTGTTGGCTGTTCTAGGCCAAAAACTTAGTTTATAGGGAGCACAGGGTAGGACTAGACACTAGAGTGACAGTGACACTGCAAGAAAAATAAATGGAAGATAAATAACCCTAGTGCTAAATAGTGAATTCACAAACAATATATTTCAATATTTTAACCAATGCCAGAATTTAATCTAAAATACTATTTATTATGCATTTAAAACAGTGACCGTCAGCCAAGAAATAATCAATTAATTCACACAAGAAAATTAATCAATTCAATCAATTAGTTCACACCACAAGCATAATCACAGAAACATTAACAGCAGTGAAGTGCATAATGAGCAAGGACACTAACAGTTACACAGAAATTACTATTGATCTGATAAATGACAACCGAAGTAACAAAATATTGTTCCGACTATTGGAGAGCAGACTTACCAAGGCTTTCACTTCCAGGCTAGCACAATACACGGAATGCCAGTGGCTGCTAGTTACTAAATGGCGGAACTGAATTGGGCGCGACTGTCGTTAGTTGTGCAAATAAGTCACTCTGAACTAAAATGGAAATAATCAAATTGAGTTAAACGTTACTGAAAAATAATTAGTTAAAACACAGACTGGTTGAGTGATAAAAGGTCAGATGCCTTCCGGCAACAGTGCTATTGGTGAATAACTTTAAAATCGGCTCGTTCTTCAAGTATAAAGATGCTCTCCCTCTTTTTATGCGTTCGTCCCTAGTATATAGATACAGTTGTGCGCAGTGCGCATCAGCGTACGTCGGTATGACGTCTCGCAATTTTTACACTAGGCTGGCGGAGCATAAGGGCAGAAGCTTTAGAACGGGAACAATACTTGCGCATCCTCCTCATTCAGCTGTGCGCGTCCATGCCGAGCAGTGCAATGTTCCAGTGTCTGATAGTGATTTCAGAGTTCTAGCTTACACGACCGGTGTTACTGACCTACGGATTTTAGAATCCCTGTACATTTTTAAACAGAAACCTGGTTTAAATGCAGCCTTCAGCTCCTATCCCCTTGAAATTGTAAATAGATAGGCCTGTCTCCTTATGTGTATTTGTTTTTGTTTTGTCAATTTATGTTTTTATCTTCGATGTGAATTTAGTTTTCTAATTGATTCTGCTTTTCTTGTAGGTTTTGAACTTTTGAACTGACGATGGAGCTGGACTCCGAAACGTTTTCATTCTTAAGAAATGGTTAATATTCTGGCTGTTTTCTTTGCTTTTAAATTCCTGGTGAGCCCTTTACTTGCTTCTTTTCTTCTTATATTATTCCTCCTTATTTTCTTCTCCATGGACTGAATACGCCTTAGGCTTTTACATAGAGGTTCTTTTGCTTATTTCAATCATTCGATTTTATTTAATGACTAAGGAGAAAAAATAATTATGTTTGAGATATATTTCAGTGAATTTTAAAATCAGAATCTGAATTAAATTAAATAACAAAGTACTAGTTCATTAAAATATCTTAATGATTTTCATGTTTGCCTGAATTGACATATCAACATAAGATTTAATAAACCGTAAGTTGCACCGGAGAAATAAATATTAAAATTAAATAAACTTTCACCGGAGAATTGAATATATATATTATTGGGTTGAATAATTTTTGAGATTTGACAATCCCGCGAGTAATTCCATTTGAGATTCATATGTTTGAACATTCATTTAACTTTGAACTTCGATTTACACCCAGATTGAAAATATAAAGTTTGTTGCCATTTTTCTGATCGTTGATTTTTCAAATAAATTCAAAAACTTTTAATTTTTCATTCCAGTTGCGGCGACGCAAGGAACAAAAACAGAAGCGGCCAGTCCCTGAGCGACATGTTACAACATGTGCAACACATGGTTGTGTTGTGCAACACATGTTTGTGATGTGTAACACATGTGTGTGTTGTGTAACACATGTTTGTGTTGTGCAACACATGTTTGTGTTGTGCAACACATTTTTGTGTTGTGCAACACATGTTGGTGTTGTGCAACACATGTTTGTTACTTTGTAGCAAGTGTTGGAATAGAGTTTGATGGCAAAGAGATATCGTGCAAGGCCAACAAATGTGTGTTCAGTTGCAACAAATGGATATTTGATGTGCAACACAGATGCGTTTGATGTGCAACACAAATGTATGTTTGATGTGCTGCACAAATGCAATTTGATATGCAACACAAATGCCGTTTTGTGTGCAACACAAATGTAACGCTCTGATGCTATTGAAGGAGTTTGTGCTGCAACAAACATTTGTTATATTACATGTTAATGGAGGTTGGTGTTGGCACAATTCATCTCGTGTATGAGGAAATGAAATACATGTATGAGCTCGACGCTGTCGCGTGTATGCGACATGTGATAGATTGACTTCCCTTATTAATATAAATCCAACTTCTTCCATATACCATGAAGCACTTATTAGAAATCAATGTTCTACGACAATAAAATGTATCACGACTTGGAATTTTTTGTGTATGAAAATTTAGTTATTCATTTAATTTTGTTTATATTACAAAATTTAATGGAAGCAATGAAGCAATTTTGCATGATGTTTGAATTTATATGGGATAGTTTATAGCTTCTTAGCCTGGTATTCAACTCCATTAACCAATAGTTATGATCAAATCGATGTAATTATTATAACGAATTCATTATATATTATATATCTATCTCCCATCCGCATATTTGTTGTTATTTCCATACTTTAGGGAATATCATTCCTGTTCAATCTGGACCCAACTGGTCATAAAGAAATTGAAATTTTTCTTGCTGCTGTTGAAATTACTGCTACTGCGTTAGCTTTCCTACGAAATACATGATCGAAATATATTAAATCTGAATAATTGATTATTTTCAGTGAGCCTTTCTTCGCGGAGATGTGGACTCGAGTGATCCTTGCCTTTATTTGTTCTTGTTGTATTCAGTGCATTGCTGTTGCTATTAGCTACTGCTAAATAGTGGCATGCTATTAGTAGTTGTGGACTGACTAACAGAAATAGACTTATTAGTTAGCCGCTGTTACTAGTTTGCTGCAACTAGGTAGTAGACTGCTGCCACTAGGCAGTGAACTGCTGCCACTAGGCATTGGACTGCTGCCACTAGGTAGTGGACTGCTGCCCCTAGGTAGTGGACTGCTGCCACTAGGTAGTGGACTGTTGCCACTAGGTAGTGGACTGCTGCCACTAGGTAGTGGACTGCTGCCAATAGGCAGTGGACTGTTGCTAGTATCAGTTCGTATTCCCCCATGCCTTGCTTGATAATATTCTTTTTCGCATTCATCTTTACATACATCGCCGTACCTCCTGCTAGGTTATATTTACCCACGTTTCCTGAGCCACGTTATAATTGTCTGCGGTGCGTTTACTAACCTTATCTCAATCTGTTATCTATCAAATTGTCATTCACACTTCCATATGTTACACCCCATGTGCCTAGCTTTCATTCACCCTTTGGTTGAACTAGTACACATATTAAACATATTATAATACAGAATAATATTATACATTGGATAAGTTGCATCACGCCTCGAAATCCAACCCACCCCCACCATCGCCTAATTATAACCAAAATGGCACTTCTTCGTTGTTTTACTGAATGCAAAAATACGCTCCCCATGTTATATTATTTTAGCGTCTTGTGCTGTTTACGGAGTTGAGTTAACGAACTATAAACCATTTATCAAGTATTTCTTAGTTACTTAATTAGTGACGGCAATTATGAATGTTAGTGATCTGATCTGTTAGTGGCAGGTTCTACATGCTGTTTTTTAACCTGTTAATTACTAGTAGTGCGAAGCCAATTATCAAAAATCGAACTATCAATTATCTGTTAGGTCCAGCCGAGGTAGATTTCTTGCCGAGGAACTTTTTGGTAAAAATCCTTCCGCTTGCAACCTATTCTTTATAATAGAAATAATCGTTCGCAAGTTATGATTCATCCTGAGTGTTTATGGCGACTGCCGCGAAAATTTCTAAATACATCAATGCCTAAGTTTTTTACATACTATCTAATTCAGTTACGGTGATTTTATTTCAGCCATAAAAGCAGACTTTCGATAAATTCATCTTCAAAAAGCCACGGGGGAATTTTTTAACGAACCCTTAACTCTGGGCAACTTTTGAGCAACTGATTATTATAGAAATTTTTATGCTTTTCGTGGTGTTTTATCGTATGGCAAGTTAATCCCGGTTTTCAGGACTGCCATGGATGGTCCGTTTACTTAGTATTGCTTTAATCATTTACATTACTCGTATTATTTATTATTATCAAAGTCCATATTCCCAATTTTGTTTCTGTACGCCATTTAATTCTGTACCGAAAATCCATTTACTATTTTTTTAATTTTAAATTATTATTCTCTAAAAGTATGATAGTTAAATATTCTATTGACCTTAGGCCGCACAAAATTTTTTCCATTTCTGCCTCTGGAAAAACTTTTCCTACATGAAACCCAATTATACGTTCGTGATTATGCGCCTGCACTTCGTAAATATCACATAATATGTGTTTTTATGTAGCGTTGATCAAGATTAAGTCATACCGGACTAAATTTAGGTAACAAGAAAGTGGACAAGTTTTTGCTGCACTATATACTGAAATTTAAACATATTTTGATCATATGCTTGATCTGCTACTCTAATTTCACTATTTACGTTTAATCATTGTTGAGTTTACCCTTTTAAAATGGAATAATATTTTGTTCATTTTATCATAAGAGCGTCGGGATTACTTACAGCACCGTGGTAAATTATTAACTTGCGTATGAAACATTAATTTGCAGTTTAATTAATAAGCATTAAATTCTAATTATTTAAGAAAGCCTGGCACTTTATTTTTTTAATCTCGCATCAAGAGATGGTCTTCCGTACACAATTTCTACGTGCATTTTAAGCTCCTAAACATAACCATGATTCGTGCAGGGAGTTGGGGGTTCGAAACCCGAAATGACGTGTGACAAATTTCTAAGCAATTTACAAGATGGCTGAGTGATTAAAAATCGGGTGCTGGCCAATATGGCCAAAGCTAAATTATTAATATAATTTATCCGGATCAAAGCACCACAATGTTATTAGTATAATAATAATAATATTATTATTATCAACTTAAGCCACGTCTGTGTCAAATATAACCCATATCAAGCTTATGTCGTACTCATTGCCCTGTCACTGGGGTCTGCTCTGTCACTGGGGTCTACCCTGTCGCTGGGGTCTACCCTGTCACTGGGGTCTACCCTGTCACTGGGGTCTACCCTGTCACTGGGGTCTGCCCTGTCACTGGGGTCTGCCCTGTCGCTGGGGTCTACCCTGTCACTGGGGTCTNAATACACAATTATTATATATAGTTAGGGGGAGAATGTGCATCAATACAGCATCATGTAATACACAATTATTATATATAGTTAGGGGGAGAATGTGCATCAATACAGCATCATGTAATACACAATTATTATATATAGTTAGGGGGAGAATGTGCATCAATACAGCATCATGTAATACACAATTATTATATATAGTTAGGGGGAGAATGTGCATCAATACAGCATCATGTAATACACAATTATTATATATAGTTAGGGGGAGAATGTGCATCAATACAGCATCATGTAATACACAATTATTATATATAGTTAGGGGGAGAATGTGCATCAATACAGCATCATGTAATACACAATTATTATATATAGTTAGGGGGAGAATGTGCATCAATACAGCATCATGTAATACACAATTATTATATATAGTTAGGGGGAGAATGTGCATCAATACAGCATCATGTAATACACAATTATTATATATAGTTAGGGGGAGAATGTGCATCAATACAGCATCATGTAATACACAATTATTATATATAGTTAGGGGGAGAATGTGCATCAATACAGCATCATGTAATACACAATTATTATATATAGTTAGGGGGAGAATGTGCATCAATACAGCATCATGTAATACACAATTATTATATATATAGTTAGGGGGAGAATGTGCATTAATGGAGCATCATAAAATACACAATTATTATATATAGTTAGGGGGAGAATGTGCATTAATGGAGCATCATAAAATATACAATTATTATATATTGTTAGGGGAAGAATGTGCAGTAATGGAGCATCATATAATATACAATTAATAATTACAGTTATAAATTATATATACGATATTCCGTATATCTGAAAAAGTATTTAATATTCTAATACAACACAGTTGATATTAGTATTGATGCAGGATTTGCTCGTTGCAGCAGCACATGTAATATAATATTTTGATTTTTTCGTTTATATGGCAGTCCGTGCGTCTGGAAAAGTATTTAGTACTTAGAAAATACACGACAAATCAGTAAGTTTCGTGTGCCGGGGAAGAGTATTTATTTCCATGAGCAATATCCTGCAAAATTGTACAAACGTACGCTAATTCGTACTCCTGGAACAGTATTTACTTTAATGTAGCTAACAATGCGTCAGCAAATATGCACATACGTACGCCATTTCGTACACCAAGAAAAGTATTTACTCTATGCACAATACGCCTCAAATCTGTACATTCGTACGCCTCTCTGTACACCCTGTAGAGTGTGCTCTTCTCTCGGGCAGAGTAAAACTGTCGCTATGCAGAGAAACAAGTTTTTTTAATTGTAATCAATTTATGGTGGCAAAAATTAATGATCCTTTAATTGTGAGGAGAGTGAAAACAGGGCAAAAACTTTCCGACTATCGTATTTAGGCGCATATGTTTAGGTATTCTTAAATATATATTTTTCAGTGTATTGTTTTGAGTCGATAGTGAGCCAGATGGGCAAGTTATGGTGTGTGTGCGAAGACACAATAACGAGACTAAAGACAATACCATAGTATTTTCTTACAAGAAAGTATTGTGCAATAGAATAAAATAGGTTGCATACTGTATTTGAAATAAGCTATCAGAATAATATTGCATTGTAGGAGACTATACACGGAGTATGGTGGCTGAAGGAATTATTGCATTTGGAAAAGTATATATAGTATATGGAAGAAATATATTTTGTATTTGTATGAAGTATATATTGTATTTGAAGCAGTATTGTATTTGGAGGAAGTAGACGAGGGGTATGGGCACCGCTAAGTGACATGCCAAGGGCAGCGCTTAGCGCCCTACATTCTTAATGGTCTTTGTCTGCTTACCGTCCATTAGCGCCTGACCTCTATTAGCGCCTGACCCCCATTAGCGCCTGACCCCCATTAGCGCCTGACCCCCATTAGCGCCTAATCTCCATTAGCGCCTAATCTCCATTAGCGCCTAACCTCCATTAGCGCCTGACCTCTATTAGCGCCTGACCTCCATTAGCGCCTGACCTCCATTAGCGCCTAATCTCCATTAGCGCCTAACCTCCATTAGCGCCTGACCTCCATTAGCGCCTAAATACAATTAAACCATTACAATTAAACCATTACAAATAAACCATTACAATTAAACCATTATAATTAAACCAGTACAATTAAACCAGTACAATTAAACCATTATAATTAAACCATTACAATACCCGTAGGCCGCCAGTAAATGCTTGCATGCTTTATTGGTGTTTTGTTCATCATTGGATCTTAAGAAAACGATTAAATGGAAACCGTTTGTAATATTAACTTCTAATTGAAACTGTTTGTAAGATTGACTTTTAATTGAAACGGTTTGAGAGATTAATTACAAATTCAAACCTATTACAAGATTAATTTTCAATTGACTTCGTTTATCTGATTAAATTTCACTTGACATCGTTTCGCATAGAACGAATCTTTAGGTTCAACATCGCTGCAATCATCGGCACCTTAGGCGAGCGGATTTATTTCAAATGCGTTTAAAATAAAGTAGTTTTTCGCGAATATTATAACGAAAATCTCAAACTGTGCAGCTTGCAACACACTCGACCTATTTAATTTAAAGCATTTAAATCAAATTATATATGTCGAAATCTATTACCTTCATCTTCTATTTTTCCAATTGTTTCAATTTTAACGGCAATTTTTTTTGAGAAACTTGCAGTCTGGCACAATACTAACTGCCCACGACCAACAGCCTTGGGCAGTTCCTCTGTCATGGCTGGTTGCCGTTACAATTTACGAACGCGTAAACAAGCGGCAATGAATCGTAAAGATTCGTAACGGCATCGCTAAATGCTTTAAATACACCGTGACATCAATCCTGCTAGACACCCCCGCCTCGTTGAGACCCAGCCAACCTACCCACACAGCTGAAGTCTACGGAATGTTCACATGCGTGTAAACAAGATATTTATACGTGAAAAATGATTGTATGAGGAATGTATCGAGATCGATCGGAACTAAATTACTTTAATCGTGTTTTTCAACATTAAACATTGCAGTCGTAGCGCCATGGTTCGTGCCCAATGTTGTGGTTGTGCGTCACGCATATGACGCATATTTAATTATTTATGCTATGCGGTGAAATGATCGATGCACAGCTGCAGTTGAAATGCATAATTTCCAGTTCGGCCCAACATGCGGCGTCCGTCCTGCTTCCGGCTCCACAGGACATGCTTCGATTTTGATGAAATATCTTCGGTTACTTATTCCGGTACTGGTCCAGTTATTGATTACATTTACGCGTGGTCTGTTTAAACTGCAACACATTGTGAACTGTCTCATACACAGACAAATGATATGACATGTGCGTCTGGTAGTTAAGATACTCGTGGTCTGTGTAAACCATAACTCTCTCCTACATAAATAATGCGTGTCTAGCAGATTAGACCACGTAGAAATGTTTTGTCATAACCGGTAAAGATTAACTCTTTGAGAAATAAGTTACATGTAGTACCTATCAGAGAAACGTGTGATCTGAACGAAAAAATTATACACTATTTGATTAATTTATTATTAACATATACATCTAGAACAAACTATAGATAAATGGTAGGTTCTCGTGTGTGGTTTGTCTAAACTAATAATGGTTCACTGTTAGATACGTTGATTATACCTGGTCCTGGTACAGTGTTATTAATGGTTAGTCTGAGCCCGTGTCGGTTCAATGTCTGAATTGTAGCTGAAAACTACTTAGGTATTGCCGTATTGGTAGGTATATTACCATTAACACTACCATTTATTACTAGGTATATTACCATTTGGCTATTAATGAATCTAATTGCTTTGCGTGTTGTAAGCTTCAACTGATATCATAGTACTACAGTATGTACTGCAAAATCGTCTCAATTATTAATTAACCATTACTGTTCGTCTGTTATAGTTTTTATATGAATCATTAGTAGGGATAATTCCGCTAGGTGAATTATCAACAATTTTCATGAATGAAAACACGTTTTCGCTTTCCTAACAGCCTCTCTTCTAATTCATTAACTATTTTTAACCTATACGAAACCACGTAGTCTAGAGTGCACGTACTATTGCAAAAAAAAACTTTTTCCACTTTTCATCATTCAAGAAAGTAGTGAGTATTGCGCCTTAATATGATTAACATATGCACTATTTGATACTTTACATAGAGCATTGAATAAACATATTTAGCTTGTTAAATCCTTACCCGTAAACTGGCCATGCTGGTTCTTTCTGTGGGGTTTCGCACACCATTTTTCTGTACTTCTCTTTTCTTTGATAATATTTCAATAAATTCACTGTTGATGCCTACAAATTTGCACTTCTGCCACAATTTATTCTTTCTTGTTCATTCACTTATATTCGCAAGTTATGTTTCTGACTGAAGAACGCGTATTTTTAATTATGAACTTATTGCCTTTTTTTAATTATGCCTGTACTAGGTAGTTTTTATCTTATCACAACAAAGCAAGGTTGTCATGAAAGACATATTTGTCTATTACCTTTCATTTATTTTTTTTTCGAAAATAAATTTAAGGAATTTTAGAAACTACTGCAAATCACCAATCCAATTTTAAATCACGATTTAAATATGAAAGAAAATAATTCACGTCTGAAAATTTGTAAAAGTTCCTTCTTTAAGCTCCGAGTTTAAAATAATAATTTTTAAAATTAAACATTTATTGAGTGAAAATGTTTACCGCGACGACGCTCGACATCCTCGTCCCGGCCCGGCACCTGAAATAAGTCGACACGACAGAGCTGCGGCGGCAACACCTCGCGTCGCTTCTCCTCCCTCTCCCTCCTCGATGTCGCGTGCTGCTCTGCCGGCACCGTTTATTTTAGCTTCCTACTCTATTTGTTTCGTCTCGATACGTCAGTGTCGCCAGCCAAATGTGTGAGTCATGAACGTTTACCACGCTGCACCGTCATATATCCTACATGATTCATTGTCATTCATTCATTACAATTTTTCATAAACGCAACGTAAGTGACACCGGAGTGAAAGACATTTGTTTCCTTAGAAAATCCTAAAATTAATAAATTTGAGTTCGGATAGTTTTCAAATATTTATAGGTATGTACAAACTATTAATTAAGCAAAAATTTGTAAAACTTCCCGAAGAAAAACTAGGAGCAAACATATGAAAGGATCAGTTTATGGTTGATGCAATCTCGGCAGAGAAAAATATGAGTGGCATTAATATGTGAGAAAATATGGGTTATTTCATGAAGTTGAAATCGCTTCACTAATTATTTCAATTTAATTTTCATGCATGCTTTATCGGAAGACAAACTTGAGTGTGGTTGTTGTTACATCTTCACATATGCTAAAAAATATTCTGAAGCAATGCAAGAGGTTTAAAAAGACAGATGAGTGTATATATGTAGATCCGAGGGCAAAAATTATTCCATACTCAGTTCAGCTTCTCAACAACTAATAAATGAGTGTGCTATTTAGCTGAACACTATTTCGATCTAAGCCAGACTTAGAGGAAAGCCCGGTAGTCAGCATTAAATCGATTAAATTGATTCGCATAATGACGCACCGGATGTGAGTCATAAGGGCTGCTGTATACAGCAACCGTTCGTCGTCCACAGCTACCTAAGTTCTCTAACAAAGAATTTGTGATTGGTTTAATGTTAATGGATTAATTAAACATCATGCGTACTCTTTCGTATTTTTAATAATAAAAGCAAAGCTTGTAGGGCAAAAATGGTCCAATGCACAGCATGGGAGTGTCGATAACGAGATGCGAACGAAATTACTAATTTTCTGTACTAAGATGTCTGTACGAATGTTCTTCACGTTATTAATGATGCTTTCACTCGTACAGAATAAATATTCAAATTTGGGCACAAAAAATTTCAATGGGTTTTAATATGAATAATAATAACTATTTGCGAATAGTATTCGATTGTCCTTGGAGTTTCTGCGTACTTGCTCTATAATGGCAGAAGAAGAATACAAGGGATTTTTAAAGCCGCAACGTGACGATACAAAATTTCATATTGAGTTCGTCCTTATCTGTGAATTTCTGAGAAAACGAGCGCGTCGTAAGCAGATGCAACTTCTTTGTTGAATTTTCGCAAAATAGAAGTAATACTTTTAAAACGATTTATCAACTTTTTATTCAGGTCAATTCACCTAAAGAAATTGATAGCTGTAAGAATCATGTAAAATGATTTTTAATTCTTATTTTTTCACAGTTTATTCCTCGTACAGAAAATAAATTTAGATAAACTTAACCATGAGCTCTCCCTTCGTATTGGAACTGTTGACATGGTGACGTCAGGAATAACTGTTGTAAACAAGATGGCAAAGCTTTCGAGTGACGAACTAGCTCTTTTTCCGTTAAAAAATATCGATTCAGTGGTAAAATTATTCAAAATTCATATCGAAAAGAACCATGAACCGAATTTAGCCATACTATCTATCATTCTGGGTTACATTGAAAACACACTGACGTGTTCTCGAGTCGCAGAATCTAGCGATTCAGTGCCACATGTAACTGCATGTGACAAGGAAGTTCACTGGCAAGAAAATAATTCCACTAAAATACCAGCTGTTGAATACACATTTGTTGAAGCTTTATATCAGAGATTTTTATCTATAATAAAAGCTCACGTCGATGTTGCCTCATTCGGTAACCCCAAGTATGCCTCAAGAGAGCTGGTCAAGAGAGTCTCTGATGTTGTTTGGTGCACACTTAGCAGCAGTTATTACAAAGACAGAGCTCATCTACAGTCTATATACAGTTATATGACAGGTCAGTATCATGTTTAAAAATATAATTGTAGCTTTATCATTTCATTCATTTGCATCCTTGGGAATTTGGGAAATGAATGCAGACTACCTTAGGTAGTCTACCTATTAGGTTATTGCCCAAATGCTGACAGCAAATGTGCAATACTGGGAAATATGCCATCTTCAGCCAATCTGAAATATCAGGAATAACCTCCTTATATATCTGTATTCTGTAATAATAAATTCATGGACTTTTTAAAAAAATTGCTGCCTAAGATAGGAATAGTACCTCTTTCAGTCTTTCTTAATTGTTACCAAAAAAATTAGGTGATGACCTGATGTGTCTGTTCAATTTCCTTAAAAAAAGCTGTAAGCTTTGCACCAGAGTGGAAATCTAAGATTAGAGGTTCACTTAAAAAAAAGCGTTCCGCCTTGAAAAAAAAAAACGTTCCAGGCAAGTGGCAACTAGAAACAGGTTTGCAGGTCGTCAGAAATCGGCCTCGGCATGAACGTTACGTCAGGCAACACAGAGAAAATCCCAATATTGTTAATTGTGATGATGATGATGGAGTGAAAGTGGAAGTGTGCTGGACGTTCCAGATTTTTGGGTCCTGCTTTCCAATTTGCTATGTTTACCAGTTAATATATTACCTCTCTGGATTTCCACACTGCTTTGCACATCAAGACTTTTCTATCCTGGTTGCTATTTTCCATGATAACCAAATAATTTAACATTACAACATTAGGTCAAATTAAGGTCATTAGCTTTGGTAAATTTTTATATCATTTTGCCTACAACTCCTACTACTTGCCATACTCAGTATACAATTATAAGTCTAATGCATCATTGCATCACTTGTTATGCACATAATCTCACAGTCCCCAATTTACTTTGTAGACACACAAACAACATATCTTTTTTGACAGCATGTAATCTTATAGCTCTTGTGTTTCATAAAACATCTACTTGTAAAATCTCTTAATCCCATTTGAACCCACACTCAGGATGATGTGTGTTTTCGGTGAATTTTCCCGCGCATTTTCACTTTTTTTAAGCTATTGCTGTGCACAGTTGGAGTATCCGACAAGGCAGACAACCGGAAGAGTCAGAAGTAACCCGGACATGTCTTACATTTTATTATTGTCAGTTCGACTCGCGTAGTCAATATACTTGCGTATATTGTCGACTAAAATAGTAGAACTATTTTAGCTTTCTAAAGTATGGCGCACGGCGCATTTTTTACCAACGTAATACGGCGCACCGCGCAGGTCGTTAAAATGACAAAGTAAATTCCTGCGCACCTGGCACATCTTCCTGACCATGGATTTGAACTTGTATTTATTCTTTAATTTTACTATCATGTTATTGTGAATACCATATGCCATCTATTTTGATCATAACTTGGCATCAAAGTTTTTTTGCTATTATGAAATGTCATTCTTGTTACAATTAGCAACAAATTGGTAAATTTGTTAGTATTGATCTTTTCTTGTGTCTTCTAACATAAAAATTATTTGCAGGAGCTAAGCTTGACAGTTCAGGCACAACCCTAGCCGTGGTAGCAGCATGTCAAGCTCTTGGGTACAATGATGTGCATTTGGCCCTGTCAGAAGACCACACCTGGGTTGTCTGTGGAGCAAATCAACAAACCAGCGTTGAAGTCACCTGGCATGGTAAACCTAATTTATTTAACCATTGCAATTATTACATGGTGGCAACAATGTTATTGTATACTATAAATATAGAGTTATTAACTGTAAATTTAGATGAACTAGAAAATTCTGTTTCAAATTTTGATTTATGCTCATCTTACTTATGGATACTATGGTATGAATGTTTAAAACTATTTGGTATTAAATATTTAAACAAATTTGGAAGGATACTTGTGTAAAATATGCAAAGTTTTCATTACTTGAAGACAAATCATTTTGTGTCAGTTCTCTTATGTTTATTATCAAATACTCATTCCTTGATTGTTGAGCATGACAAGGAAATGTTTGGAATGGTTGAAGGCAAATGATTTGTGATGAGCCGAATCTTGATAATATAGCCTCAAATACTAACCTTACAGTCCGAGGGGTTTTTTTGGTAAAGTTTCTAAGTTATTCAATGTGTATGACTCTAATGGTGTGAAAAATGATTGCAAAATATCATTTATAGGCTAAATCACATGCAGATATGCATTCAATGGTCCTGCTAGAAATTGGTTAGATAACAGCAGGTATCTAGTGTGTTATGAATCAGCACTACTTATTGTTTCTGTAGTTTGTTAGAAAGTCTGACCTGTTGCAAGCATGTGTTGCTTGATGTAATGCCTCACTGCTTGCACCTCTGTGAGCTATTAATGTGTTATTCCACAGGTGGCTTGTATGATCTAAAACAAGAACATTTGTTTCAGATAATATTTATCCCTGTGAAGTGGAGTACCACCAGACAATTGAGACGTCTTCAGAAACTGTCCCTCTACTTTTTATGCCTAACAATCAAATTTCATCCAATAATTATTTTTGATACTATTTATTCATGCCAAACATTCTGCTTTCACTTTCAGTTTAAACTCATATGCTGGTTAACACCTATTGAGATAATTGTTTCGTCCAATTTGATTTCTGTTACTTTATATTCATTTCATAGCATTCCTGTGATAATAATTTTTTTATTCTGACATTTATGTTAATATAAATATAATGTGTTCTAGAAACAATTATTATTGATACAATGTTTCTTTCAAGGTAAAGGCAATGAAGACAAGAGAGGCATACCAGTCACATTCAATGTCTATGACAAATCGTGGTTGTACGTCAACGGTCGACCAGTGATTTGCGACAGATATATGGAGGTGAGATTATTGCTTAATGTACATCAAATAACAATTTGTATATTCTTAAGTGATGAAGCAACTCAAAATTATATACATATATATTTGGAAATGTATATATTTGTGAGAATTGGATATTTACGTGAAATAAGTAAAAGTATACTGATACTTCATCAATTGATGGATCAGTTCATTACCTTTCTAGGTCTTCATTTTAATTATTATTGACGTTCTCACTTCCTATAATTTGATATGATTTACTTGGGTCCATGCTTCTTTAAATGAACACGTCTAAATCCTATCTTGTTCTGTGTGTAGGTTACACGATTGTATTGTGAATAAAATAGGTATATTAGTGGGAGTGTTTCTCAAGACGATAGGATTGTTGGTACTTTCTTAAATTTAGTTACAACTAAATTTGCGTGATGGTCTGAAATTGCCTACTGGCTTTATATGTTCAATAAATTGAATTGTGTGCATAACATGCTTGCTGATCAATGTATCTTGTTGTTGATTTTATTTTGAATTTATTTAAACCATTGCAGGTGATTTTTCTACATTTTTACTTCATGCCATTTCATTTACATTTCTCGCAGCTTCATCTACATTTCTATGTTATTCTTCTGTATTTGTTATTCTTAGCTCAAAATTTGGCTGTGCTTCTTCAAGGTATTTTTAGGTATCCACTTGTTTCTTTTCCCATTCTTGTTGACTGATGCCACTCAGTTCATTATTTATTAATATGGTATGTTTTGTTGCCAGGTGGCCAGCATGATCTCAAGCATGAACCCTGGTATCAGCGCCAGCACTGACAGCGAAGAGGTGCTTATATTGCAGCAGGCGCTGCTCTGGCTCATGTATGATGCCAATCACATAGCCAAGTACCCCATGGCTATTGGTAAGACTGCTTATTTAAATCCATAGTGCTCATATGAAGGCTTTTGAAAGTCGTTGCAGATCTGTTGTGAAAAAATTGTTTCATTTTCACCAGCTGATGAACTCCCTATTTGACTTCACATTTATTGTTTGCTTGTCCATTGTTGAAGTTATTAATTAACAAATTTTTTTTTCATAATTTCCAGTCATACAATTGCTAAGTTTCACACTACAGTAACCTTGATTCCTATGCAGCCAATTTGGGGGACTTGGAAGAGACAGCACCGAGCTTAGGTCGTCCATCGCCCATCAGCCTGTACCAGGAAGCCATCGTCAGCAACGTGACTCACTACAGCAACCACCACGTGTACCCCTACACGTGTCTGGCGGGCTACTGCTACAGGAACGCTCTCTACAAGCAGGCACTGCAGGCATGGGCCAAGGCTGCAGCTGTCATCAAACAGTGAGTCTTGTCTTACCCTCTTGTGAGTCCAAATCTTAATCACTGAGTAAAAAATAGAGAATTTTCTCAGTAATTCAGGCGTTGCATTAAGTGCCGTGTACCATTGTCCAAGTTATGCTCTATGTAATGTTATGCCTTTGTCCAACAGTCATAGCTTTGAAATTTATTACCGTTAATTTCGGTAACTTAGACCACTTTTTTTTATAAATGATGCCATTTTTTTACTAGCTAAATTAAACCTGAATTGAAACATGCAAAATACAGGTCTATACTCTAGCTCTACTCACCATAAATTGCTGGCTCCTGCCTCTCATAGTCTTTATGTAATTTGAAAAAAAAGTGATGATCTTTGTTACCCCAGCTCTTGGGGTAACTTAGACCGGGTGGTAAAATCAATTATATTTTTTGGTAAAATAACTCCAAATAACTCTAGGTTTTGGTGCATTGTAGTAGAACTTTTCTAGTTAAATATGCAAATGACAAACTTGAGGAAAGTGTCATAGTTTGCAGATGGGGGGCGCCGCCCCATAATGGGGAAAATGGGACTACCTAATGGCAGCCCTGACGGGGTAAATATTGACTTGCTTGGAAATTAAGTTACAATTACCATATATAAGACTGTAGAGTCTGAAACATAAAGAAAAAACATAAATTGGCTGTCAAACATAAAATATGTTATATATGGTACGTAATTTTATATTAACTTCCAAGCCGGTCTATGTTACCCTGTCAGGGCTGACATTAGGTGGTCTAAGTTACCCCATTTGGGGGCCTCGCCCCCCATTTGCAAACTATGACACTTTCCTAAAATTTGTCATTTGCATATGTAACTAGAAGAGTTCTACTACAATGCATCAAAACCTGGAGTTATTTAACCAAAAAATAAAAAAATTGGAGGGGGTACTCTGACAGGCTTTAAATAATAGCTTTTTTTCGTGGGTCACATTTTTAATTTTTTAACCTATTAGATATGCAAACTTTTTAAATCTTTCTATTGTGTTATGTAGCCTCAGTATTAGGCCTTTAATGCCCATTGACAAAATTTTTCTATGTCAAATAGTTTTTGAGTTTTGGGGGTTTTTGTTAAAAAAAAACGAAAAGTGGTCTTAGTTACCCTATTTTACGGTACACTGATTCCAGTCCATGTGACTTGGTTTCAATGTGTTTTGACTGAACAAAACGCTACAGCTACTCTTTCATGGTTTCCTCCTTTCTACTACGTACGTTTCCTACGGCTTGCGTTCTACTTCCTTGTAATTTGCTGTGTTATTTATCAGACTAATTCTTATAATGTGTTCCTGCTTGTTTAAGCATCATTGCCAGTTTTCCGAGCAATATGAAAAATATTATTTCTGAAGTCTTTAAATTTTTGTTTTTGTATTCCTTGAATTGAATAATAGCATCTAAATTGAAATTTTGTTTTCGACATGTAAATCGTTTTTTTTAGAAGTACTGTAGAATGTAGTTATTAATTGTGGAAGTCGTTAGAGCACTTTGTTCAGGTTCATGTGTATTTAAATAATCAGGATCTGATTCATATATTATCAGCAAACAGTAATTCAATTTTATTTTTGTAGCTATAACTACTCCCGAGATGATGAAGAGATTTACAAAGAATTCCTGGACATCGCAAATGAACTCATCCCCCACATCATGCGGGTTGTGAGCTCAGGCATTGAGGCACACTCTATATTGAAGGTGAGTAACCGTGTATTTATCTATTCAGTTCTTGGTGCCTATGCCCAGCATCAGGTACAGAAGCTCTCTACATTGAGGGTTATTAGTTCAATTTATCTTTGTGCATCTGTAGAAGCATGCGGGTAGTGAGCTCAGGCATTGAGGCACACTCTATATTGAAGGTGAGTAATTAATCTAAAAGCAAAGAAAACGCCATGAAAATTTACCATATCGATATTGAAAACGTTTCAGAGTCCAGCTCTATCATCATGGAGCTGGACTCCAATGAGATGATGGAGCTGGACTCCAATGATGATGATGGAGCTGGACTCCGAAATGTTTTCAATATCAATATGGTGAATTTTCTTGGCATTTTCTTTGCTTTTAGATTCCTTGTGAACTTGCGATATAAGCAGTCTGATAATATAAGTACTTATATACGATCTAAATGAAGGTGAGTAACCGTGTATTTATCTAATTAGTTCTTGGTACCAATGCCAAGCATCAGGTACAGAAGCTCTCTACATTGAGGGTTATTAGTTCAATTTATCTATGTGCCCATGTGCATCTGTAGAAGCGAGACTACGGTATCTTGATACCGTAGTTTAATTCAAGGTATAAATTGTATACCTTGAATTGTATACCTTACCTCTGTATTGAAAGTTATCAGGTTTGAACAATTTATTCTTCTATAATTATGAGAGCAAAAAAACGTGTTTCTGCCTAGATTTATGTAGTGAGAATTTAACAAGTTCTTTGATGAAGCTCTAAGTTTTAGATATCGTTCTGTGTTTCAGATTAAATTTCTTCTTCATTAGTGTTTCAAGTATTTCTACTTTCAAGGCGAAATTTTTCAAAAATATCTCCTTTAAATTGACAAAATGCCCAATGAGAGGCTTGATGTCTCTTCAATTTAACACAAATTATGTTCAAGTCCTGCATAAAAGTTGTGATTGGGCTTTTGGGGCTTTTCTTATTTTGGGACTTTACAATTGTGTTACATTCAAATTCAAAATTTCAAAAAATTGGAGGCTTTTCTTATTTTTATACATTCTAGTTCCTTTTCAAACTGCATCATTGTTATCTGAAAATTTTTTCCCGTCAACCTCTGTGGTTTTTGCTCTTGTTTCATATAGTAGCAGGCTAGACAGCAGTGATAATATGATGTTAATACAAGAAGTATGAATGAATGTAAAGCAGCATTTATCTGTGATTGCTTGCAAACTCGAGTGTTTCCATGCCTGATAATGTGTGAAAGTTAAGGAATGTATTTACGTGTTATTGCTTGCAGGACCCCGAGTGCTTTGCGCTGCTGCTGCAGTTCTACGATGGCATCTGCCTGTGGGAGGAGGGCTCAGCAACACCTGTGCTGCACATCGGCTGGGCCAAGTGCCTGGTCAACACCATGGCTAAGTTTGACGCAGAGGTCCGCAGCAGACTCAAGATAACCTGCGGCCACGACGACAGCGGTACGTCATCAAGCTTCTGGTGGTGTCCATTTGTTGGCTGTGTTTCTTTTTTTTTGCCCTCTAGCATTTCTGAAGTTCGTAGACTGGGATAATATATATTACGCTCATCATTATGTATTTTCAGTAGAATTTGACCTAAGTTTGGAAAATGTATGAATTTCGTTTTTTAATATGAATTTTGTACTTGAGCAGGTGATGAGAATGGAACTGACGATGAAGAGCACTGCAAGGGGCGGCGGCATTCACCTGCTCATCCTCAGCAGGATCAGAACGGCAACACTCAGGTTCTTGTGCTGCTCTAATTGTGAACTAATATTTGATGATAGGCAACGTCATTCACTTCTATCTTGCCAAGCATAATCGTCCTTTCTTTTTGAGTTTTCTCTCATTTTTTCTACTCTACCGCTTGTTAATGTTTAAAATTTATCCTTCACAGCTCACGCCAAGCAGCTATTCGAATTTGCAGTTATTCAAATGTGCAATTATTTAAACTTAGAAATTGAATAAGGCTCGTGTAGGCAACAGCAAGCTTCTTTGAATCATCTTTCCATGTAAATAATTTTGATGTCATAATCCGAATATTTCAGTATTGCTCCCCTCTCAATACCTATGGTCTACTACTAGGTTATAAGCTACTGCAATTCAGTATTGATCTGCCTCGTGCATCTGCTAATGTATTGTATGTATGTTATGGTACTGTATATTGTGCTAACATGTATTGATTACATTATGGTAATATACATTCTTAACACAACAGTCTGGCCTCGCTGTGGCGCCTCATGTGGAGCTCAACTCTGCCAAGATGCGCGGCCTGCGACATCTCCTGCTGGCCGACAAACTCAACTCTCAGGCTGTGTCTCTCCAGCTCACTGCTCAGTCCCAGGTGAGTGGTGGTAACCTCTGCTCAGTCCCAGGTGAGTGGTGGTCTCCCCTGCTAACTCCTAGGTGAGTGGTGTCATCTTCTGCTCAGTCGCAAGTGAGTGGTGGTCTCCCCTGCTCACTCCTAGGTGAGTGGTGTCATCTTCTGCTCAGTCGCAAGTGAGTGGTGGTCTCCCCTGCTCACTCCTAGGTGAGTGGTGGCATCCTCTGCTCAGTCGCAAGTGAGTTGATTCCTCTGCTCAGTTGCAAGTGTGATTATTACTATTTAAAAAAGAAATTACTGTCTTTAACTTACGAGCGTTCGTGGTAAAATTCTAGCATTTCACGAGTTTAGGAGATGATTTTGTCCACAGTTATAGCACTGCAGACGCTCCTTCTTGATAGTTGATCACTTGCAGCGAAGTTCAAATCAGTGAGTGTTCTTAATTTGTTCATGTTGTTATAGGTTAAAGTGCGACAGAAGCGCTCGAGTGCAGCTGCAACGTCGCAAGGCCCAGCTGAACTTGAGAACTCCAGCAACAGACCGAAGCGAGGAAGACGAGACTAGTTGGAGGTTCTGTGATACGCCCTGCTGTGCTGTGAGTGCTGTGATCACGCACCTAGAGTCGTGCTGTGGGTGCAGTGGTTTCGTCCACGCACATAGTGGCTTCGTCTAGGCCCTCAATCAGTGGCGGGTCAATTTCACTAATGCTGTGCTAAAACAAGAGGTGCAGCGGTGGTGTGATTGGTACAGATACAATATGGTCACTGGAAAGACGATGTGATTGTTATAGACACGATGTGATTGGTGGAGGGACTATTTTCTCAATCAACCTTTGATGTGTTGAGAGCGCCAACCTGACATGAGCTGCAGAGTTACGACTGTGGTTGGTAGGAAATGTACTCATCGGTTCGTTTAGGTTTTGTTGAAAGCGCTGTCGCGTTCTACCTGGACATAATTCCGCAACTAGTTTGTTCACAAGAGATTCTCAACAAATATGAGGCAGTTACTAGCAACAATTCTGAGGTGACGGTAATCCTTTAGTTACCCTTAAAGTGCCTTTTTTTATTTTGCTACTTCCGTTTTGTTCAACTTTTTTTACTTCTCCGAGCTTTTTTGATCAAGAAATGCGATAGTTTCGACAAATGGGAAAGCAGTGACAATTCTGTTTGAAATCCAGCAATTGGGGGGGGAAATTCTTATCTGAAAAATAGTTGTCCGAGTACTGCTGATATTCACATGCCCGTGCCAGATTGTTTTTTCTCATCATCTTTCATTGACTTCCGAAACACACCACCCTTCTCAAGCCTTTCATTATTTCAATATTAATTTATAAGTCCTTTCTGTAAATGTTGGAGTTTTATCCAGGTGAAGAACGGTACAAATCTACCTATAACCGACGCAACAGTTCCACACAATGAACATTGCTGCGAGATTTTGATGCCGTTGCCATAATGGCTGCTACCGGTGCCAGTTGTATCCCGGCGTCGAATCCCTTGTGTGCGAAACGATATTTTGGTCGGAATCCATGTAATCCAGTTTACTTTCAAGTGGGTACTCTTGTTTAATATTAGCCCAATTTAGTAGCGTTTTTTCACATTCAGACTTTGAATCTTCCATTTATGGAGGAGTGAGCACTCGTATTTCATCAACACTAAGTAGCAATTGTAATTTTAACGTTTCAGAAATTCTCAATTGATGCTGGTAACGTAACATGTCCATCATGATCACTAACATGCCATCACACTTTGTACTTTAGGTCCTTGATATTTTCCATTTATTTGCCTCAAACACCTCTTGCTGCTGTTAGCATTTGTATGCCTGAACTCTTCTTCATTTTCAAATTAATCTCTTCATTGTCATGTCTCCTTTCCTGGCACGCTTTCCTCATTTTTTTCGCCGTTCAAGTAGACCAGGTTGCAATTCGAGAACCACTTGAAAATTAGACCTTCGGCACGAAATACATCACGTCTTTATTTACCGCTTTAGAAAATACTGTCACTACTAGTATTCCACCTTGCATACCCACGCCATCTGTGCACCAGCAAGGGAACCTGTAACATCCTTCACATTCGTTCTAGCTGCATCAACCTGAAACTGTCGCTCGTATTCATGAGCTTTTTTTTGCTCGCTCATTGTTGACTGCACTGTGCCGCTCGTTCTTGTTTGCGGTAGGAAATTTTTTGTGATACATCGATTTTGTTAGTACCTTCATTGCCCATGTTTTACTCCAATGATTTCTCATTTCTTTCTGTCGAGAAATTTTCAGTGCTGTGAATTTTTTGTGCAGTATCATAAAATTATTACCATGGTACTGCACCTATATCAGTAGCTTTCTACACTATGTCTTCTGGTAGGGTTCAGCAATCTCTTATTTAAATTTAAATCAGATTTTTTAAAAAACTGTTAACTGTCGACTTTTTTAAAATTTTGTCAGCTTGCCAATGCTACCATTCTGTTGCTTGTGATGAAAATGTTTGCGTTTGATTTTTTGAGTTTATCGACTGTTTTGTGTCGTTCTATTCTTCCTGTTTTGATGTTGATGCCGATGCAGAACTTTATGTGGATGACAGCATTGCGGGAGTCTCATCACTAGTTCCTTGTGTTACGCACTTCGTAGTGTCACATGTTGGTCATAATTATCCGAACACAAGTACTACTACTACCAAGCTCTCGAATACTTCTATTGCCACAGCTTCTTTACCATCATTGTCATTCATCATAGTTTCAACTCATCATTCTTATTAATTGGCTCATAGTAGAAACAATTACAGCCACTAAAATTCGTTTGTATTTGTGCAACAACTACGTGCTGTTCAGATTAATACAATAACTCTTTCACTACCATAACTCATTCATAAATGATATCGGGCAGCCACTCACGTTGGCGTGCCATGATTGTAAAAGTGTGTGTGTGTGTCTACCAAATATTGAAATTAGCTCTAGTGTACTGGAACAGAAAGAAGTGTGATGTAACCTATAGCTAAGTGTAAGGAAGATTTTTATATACATATATCTATAAAATCATTTACAACTTGTAAACTAATATGATAACATGTAACGTGCGGTTGTTCTGGTCTCTGTGACTGTGATGACCATTAAACTGATTAGGTAGCAACTTGCGGGGACTTTTTATGAAATCTAAGCTTGATATGCCCCTGCAAGTTCGTCCCAATATTATAACACGGATAATTATCAACGTGACTTAACTATACTAAATTAGTTTGATATAATTTTCCCCGATGGAATATATAGTGGAACGCGTTCGATCACAAGGCTTAATTCTTTTTGAAATCCCCGTTTTGTTTGATGATTCATGTGCCGACTCGCCGTTCGCGTTCCATAAAGCCAGACCAGCTACGTAAGAGCTACTTCCTTGGTCTAGGTAATTTTAACGAAATTCGTTGTACCCGAAAGCTGAAAGGTCAACGAGAATCATGTTTGGTCTCTGTTAGTCTGCTTTACTTTGCGCTTTCAGAAGGGGAATAGCCTCGCCTTTCTTTAAAACAAAATTCCTACACCGATTTGTCGATCACTAGCCTCATCCATTACAGTTTTCGGTAATTAAGGCAATGATTGTTAGGCAAATCTCTGATTAAATTTAATATTTCAAAGCTCTAAACCCCCTCGGCTGCTTATTTTGGACACCTAATGCCTATTGAACGAGGTTGCTACGAAGTATCGCTCTACATTTACATGGAACGTTTTAAATTGCTTCTAATGGCTCAGTAGGAGAAAAGGTAAATCTTATAGGAAATGGTGTTAATATCGTGTTTATTATTAATTATTTTGTGCCTATGGTTCATTGCTCGTAAATTAGAATTTTTAACAAAGAAGTTATCAGTGATAAGAAGTTGACTGGGGCGCTGGTCCCTTGTTAACGTGACTGATATCTAGCCAACTTTCTCTGCTAGTCCATTGTTGTTGTTTTTTGCTCTATTTTCTCTGATGACTGTTTTTATTTTGAAATTATGATCTAGATATTGTGAATCTTACTGACTTATACAATAAATTCCATTACTGACTAATAAAATGCCATAGGAAATAATTGCGCGTGAAAAATGAAGGCAATACTTATATAAGCAGTGCTTATTTTTTCAAATGGACTTGGATTGTCTTCAGATAAATGTTGTATAAATGAATGCAGTACCTACCGTGAAAAATTTCCTCGTGGAATGATTTAAATATTTGTGAAGCAAGGTTATCCTTATCCTTGGAACACGCTTATCCAACGAAGCCAATTGAGGGTAAATTCTTGTGGTTTCATTGTTAACTTTCAAACTTCCTCTTTAAACTCACTAAGTGAGGGTAGTTTAACATTTTAACGAAATTCCTGGCTTGCTAGTGAAAAATGTATTTAGTTTCCAGATTTGTCGTGCTGTTGCAAAACCTGATACGTCGGAAATATGAAGTTGAATGGTGGAGGTTTCCAATGAAAAAATTATGTTCAAAGTGCTTTTTTGCAGGTGCGATATTTTTGCCAAGCTCTGGTTGAGCTTAGTGATCAAGACCGACGATGAGCAAAATTTCATGTACATTATATATTTATTAGTAGGAAGTAAATGCTTGATGATATTCATGTTAATGTGTCACTGTAGTTGTTGCGAAGGAGCTTAATATTTGAGGTTTATATTTTATGTTGGAAAGTACCGTTATAGGAACGTATGTTCATGAGTCAAAATCAAGATCATTAATGTCAAGGTTTACTGGAGATAGATTCTAGGTGCCCGATTTACTGTATAATTTGATGTTCTACTTTCTTTGATGTATTCTTTGATGTTGACTCTGACATGTTTATAGGGCCCTTACTGAGTAATATGGATGCTAAAGGCTATCTCTACTTACTTCACTTTTATAGTATGTCGTGCTTCATGCGTTCAACTCTTGGTGCTGGAGAAAATTTTTATTTTTTAAACTTTTATTTCTAAGTTGGGCTAAGTTTTTTCTCAAACGAGAGAGGTGTTCGAAAATGATAGATTAGGTTCTCTGAGGAGCAGATTTTCTCCTAACGAAGCGCCTTCGTAAGTTCCGTCTTTGGACGGAATTATTGCTCTATTTGATCCCAAGTACCCTGTTCGCATATGTTCAATTTGTAGAACATTTGAATTCACTTTATAAAGCTATATAGAATGTATATTGACTTACACTTGAATGTTAAATGAAATACCCGCTCATTGAACTATTCCATTACGTGTTTAATAATGTTTGAATTGTTGCATTGCTTGTATGAATCAAAAATATATATTAACTTCAAAAATATATATTAACTTCTACGGATTTTGTAAAAGGTTCGGCGCCTCTTCATTTATCAAACTAGCCAAAAAAAATGAAATACCGTATTTCTAATTGGACGCTAATACCGCGTCGATGATAATCAAGAATTATTTTTCTTCCCTGCATGGTTCTGAGTTACACGATGTCTAATTTGAATGTAAGTCTAGTTTAAGACATTATGTGGAAGGTTTTGGCCTAAGATCTTGCAGAAATATTACCAGGTTATAAATTTTTTTAAGTTATATCGATGTGGTTGAGGCATGACATTAGATGGAGATATGATGTTGTTTACAATTCTTGATGAAACTGACAGTGCGAGATCGTATAGCTGTGTCTACAATTTACGATGTAGTCTGAGAATAGTTCAATGTCAAACTTTTCGATGTAATGCAATTAAACAGATACTCGGAGGCTGTTATTGTCTACGTAGATCTGGCGAAAATGCAAGTAGACTCTTATATATCGCTTGATAGTAACTGATAACACTGAAGCATAATAATGATTATTGTATCGTGGCTTTAAATTCTTGGTCCAGGGAGTCATAGATGAAAACTTACATATTCATACAATGAAATCATGTTGGTCAAAAAGAGCATATTGGCTTAGAGCAACACTTGATGCCCTAGTTGATTTCTCTTGAAACACGTTGAGCGTAATAATTCTAGTTGATAGTTTCTTATTTTTTTCGCTAATTTAGAGTGAGGTTCTAGTCCTTTGGATGTATATAGTTTTATTCTCGCATGCTTTGCTCGTCTCTTGCGTATGATCCTTTCCTAGTGACAAACCAAAGTATAATTATTTACGAACTGCTTAGCGATTATATTTTGAAACGAAACGAATTTCGTTGTATAATGAATACGACGGAAAATTGTAGCATTCTGATTATCATCTAATTTATATGACGAAATTGTTGAGGAAATATAGGGAAATATCTACGAGAGGAAATGCTTTGGTTTGTCACACTTTTCAAGGTTCCTGAAATTATTTCCTTCTCTTTGTAGTTACGATTTATTTTAAAAATATTCTTGATAGAGGTTGTGATTTATAAGCTCTTCTTGTAACACATTAATCTTTGCAAGTATGATATAAGTTTAATCATAGATTTATTCTCGTTTGCTATGTAGCTTTTGTATGTCACTCTTTTTGTTTTCTGTGTGTCGCATATGCCGTGTTGACTGCCAACGGTCTTAGCACATTTGGCTCCTATTGCTTGCTTTTTTTTGGTTCCCTCACTTGAGGGTTTGGCTTATGCTCTCGAATTGTAGCTTTAAGAATGTGATACTAAATTTTTAGTGCTGGAAATCTTATGATTTTTCCGAAGATAAAAAATTCGAGATTTTGTTTCCACCATTTCCCATAAATTGTCATTAACTCCAGTTGGAGAGTTGATTAAATATTGAATTTGGCTCCACGAACTTTGCAAATGAAGCATAACTGCTGTACTTTTTTTACATGGACACTAGAGATATATCAGTGTGCTTCTTAGTGTGCTTGTCGGACGGGCGAGAACTCCTTGGTCTGCTTGTCGGACGGGCGAGAACTCCTTGGTCTGCTTGTCGGACGGGCGAGAACTCCTTGGTCTGCTTGTCAGGTGGGCGAGAACTCCTTGGTCTTCTTGTCGGACGGGCGAGAACTCCTTGGTCTTCTTGTCGGACGGGCGAGAACTCGTTGGTCTGCTTGTCAGGTGGGCGAGAACTCCTTGGTCTGCTTGTCGGGCGGTCGAGAGAGAAGGAGCTGAAGCCATGTCGAGTGTTCAAGAATTATCGGAAAGACATGGCCGTCGAGAGGTGCTTTGGTTAAGTTGCTTCAAATGATATATTTTGTCGTGTGTGGCGCTAGAAAAGTACTATCTCGAATTCCACAATACTGAAAATGCTAATAATGCCAATGAGGCAACATGTTGCCTCAAATGGCAACATGAGGTCGTGCTGGTAGTTGATGAATAATATCGATCTTATCTCAGATGTAATGTTATCAATTTTAACATACTATGAACTATATCTTCAAGTTCATCATATTTGCAGTTAGGAAAAAAAAACTATCGGCAATTGGTGTGCCGCTTTTCAGCGTCGTTAGTCCACTGCAGCAAGATGTATTTTGTCGCGTCTCATGTTTGGACATGTTGACGTGCCTCTCCTAGAGTTCTGCTTTCACTCGCTTTTCTTAAGTTAGTCTATAGATATTAGAATAGTAATGCAGGAGTGCCTATAAATTTTTATTATAAGAAATTTGTCCCTCATGTTGCTTATCGCTAAGTAATTAGGATTCTATGCCAAATCAGAGTTAACTTCCGACGAAGGGTACAAAATTATTGAAAGGCAAATTGATGCAGTGAGATGCGGAATTGGTACCTGATATTCTTAAGTAGGCCTTAGCGCTCCTTAGCTCGACCTAATCTCTGATTGAGCCATTGATATGTCTTAGTTTGTTGTCAAAATTTGAATCTTCAAAATCATGCTTGCTTGCGCGTTTGTAGAAGTTGTCGCTTTTGTCTGGAAGAGTTATCTCCGTAACGGATCTAATGCTATTGACTTTGGAATCTTCTCACAAACGTACATGTTGCGAACTGACAGAAACGTTTAGACTCAATACACATCTGTGTTTGTGAGCCGTTTTGGAGCTCTACTCTCAATTTGTGTCTGCTCTTCTTGTGATGATTTTCACTATGCACCTCTACTGGGCGGGGTAGATTGACGATCTCGTGAATTGGTTGTCTTAGGATGAATTCGGAGATGAGTTAAAGTAGTAGTGTTAATTACAACTATGTGAATGCTAGTTACGACTGGTGTTGACACTAGTTACTAGTGTTTGCCTGATGAGTCGTCGACCTGTAGACTCTTCAAGTGTAACCCACATCGTGGATACGCTAGAATAACGTACATATTGAACCTAAACCGAGTTCCAATCGCTGGTTCTTTACAGTTGTGTAGTTGAAGAAAAACTTATATATAAATATATATCTTTGACATGCATATTTTGTGTCGAGTTTTTTTCTAGTAGTCGAGTAGGTACCATACTTAATGTTATCTTTCATTGTAATATTACTTCAGTCTCTTAATGGTTTCTTTGTACGTTTCTACACTCATAATATTGCGTTTCGGGTAGATGCGTGTGTGTGTTTCACGGTTTTGACGTTAGGTGCTTTTCACGTTGCTTTAGCGTTCTTTTAACTTCAATCTGTAAACGTTTTAGATTTTCACTCTCACGTTTAATGAATTATTTGAATAGACAAATGATTAGTAAAGAAAATAGATTTATTTTTCTGGCAAATGTGGACTCTGATTAACCTTTTGGTTCTACTCTCGATCGGAGGAACAATTCTGTTAAGTTAAGAAGAGAAGTGTATTTGTTGTTCTTACGGATAGTATACAAATAATTGACTAGCTTTTGAATGTCAAAATCTGAAGAATTATAAAACGTATTCCCTCATGCGGTGTTACTCGAGTCAGAAAATTCAACTTTCGACACGTAAGAGCCGCCCCAATGGTGGTTATCCAACGTCTGGTATATCGGAATGTCCTTGAGGTCGTTCAATGCAAGTACAGCAAGGTCATCTCACCAATTATTATTAAATGATATTATTTTGCGCAAGTTGTGGATTGCCGATAAATGAAGAACTCCAACATTTGGTGGACGGCTTAAGTTTTCGCCCGCTTAGATGCAACACTTGGGGAAAGAATTACACTGGACATATTACTTCGAGACTTGCTATTCCCAACATATTCAATACAACGTCACTATACTCGCGTCAGCAATTTCTTATTAAACTCGCTTTATAATCTACACTAAAATTGTGGCGAAGCAGCGAAAACAATTGCTACATTGACCGTCGAGAGCGAATGGCAAATAAAATTATAAATAAGATTGGATGTACAAACAATTTCTCAACTTATTAAATTGATGTGAGCGCACATACATAATTGTATCACTGCATTTAGAACAAGATAGTTTTGTGCTTGGACACGCTGTAATTTATCATGATGTATATCATGATAAATTATTCTTCGAAATGAAGCTTATAGCAGTTTAGAAGCTCATCTATCATTTGAACTAGAAATTGCTTCAAGTTATGAGGTTTGGTACGTAATTGAGAGAAGCATTTGCTTCCTCAACGTCGTGGAAGGTAAGACTGAGTTAGAGTTCTCGGTCGTGCACTCAGCTCTCTTCCTATACATCAGTTTCCTCTGGCTCATGTTCATGAAATTATATTTACCATCCACAGAGTTGACAGAGAATTTACCCGACAAATTTTTCTTTAGAAATAGAAAAGATGGCCTGATGGTTAAAAATCGACAAGCCAATATCCTAATCAAAGATGACAGCACAAGGTTTTATTTTAATTTCATTGAAGATAACTGCTGCATTGTAAAATTTAAGCAGATTTAATGTTACTTATCAATATAATACTAACGCTGAATGTTTGAAGACAACAATGATGCTTGTTTAAAACTGCGAAAACTATTTAGGGTAGAAACAATGACTAATTTTAGTCCGGGAAAATCGAAATGGTATTAAAATGGTTAACAAATTATATCTCATAGAATATAATCACACAGAAAGGCAGCATACAGTAAATCCAACTCAAGTTAAAAATTTATGGAGTAGCTGTAACATAAAAGCGCTTTTGCAAGTTTACTGTGAATAAATTGAATACTAAATAAACAATGATAATAGTTTGGGAAATGCAATTCAACATGGTGAATTTCACGTCCAGTTAATTTGTCAAGTACGTCTCAGTTGTGCACATTTTCTAAACTATGAAATAAAGCTCATTTATCAGTTTTATGAAACTGACTTGGACACAGTAATCATAATGGTGCAATTAGAATTTTGATATGACCATTCATGACAAAAGTTTGCAGCTACATGAGAACGGTAGTTAGAGAACACTCACTGCTCTCAGAGTGCGTGCATGTGCAGATACGATATCCAGCATCGTCATGTCAGGATACAGAACGCAGTTCAATAACGTAATAAGCAGAACTGAAATAACACAAGGGCATCAGGCATCACTTTTCGATAATACTTGGCGTTATGCGAGTGCATGTCTTGTAAGACGATGATGATTTAACTAGGAAATGAATTTATTATTTCTTACCTGAGAGAGATCGTCCCATCTCCGTACTCACGATCAATTGTAAACGGTGATAAATACTTACCTCCAAGATTCCATGCTAACTAAAAATCTCTCAAAAAATGTCTCCCGACGCTAAATAGTCTTGAAGCGCATTATTTCATTATTACGTTCAATTCCATTATGAATCTTTACCGCTTTCCCCTCCGTTCTTCTTGATGATCACCGGAACCTGGTTGCCAGCAATCGCAGTCATGTCGAGTTCCAGGTCTACTCATGGCAACTCTTAGACTTGTTACCTTTGTTCCCTGCATCCTTATGCTCATCCACAAAAACAGGTCTCCAGCAGTCGCCGTCTTTGACCATCTTCATCTTACGGCTGAAGATTCTCCTCACAGTCGCAGTTTGATCAGAACGTTTCTGCTCGGCTTTCTTTGCCTGTTCCTGCAGCACGCACTCTTGTACGGCGCTCTCTGGCAGGGCGGTCTTACCGCACACCTTCGTCAGACGGCGCTTGATGTCGTCGCATTTGGCGCCACTCGAGGCTAAGTGCATCGCAACTGCTAATTGTTCCTCCGGTGAAAGATCCATTGCGATGACACTCAACTTTAACTTAGCATTGATGGCAATAAATGTTCAGCTTACAATCCAATATATGTCCAACAAGCAAGTTTTCCTATCATGCTCTGCAGAACTTTTCGCGCAAGATGAGACGAATAATGCTGCGGTACAGAGGACTTTGGCTCCTGTGAATAATCGGTACTGCTAATATCTTCATAAGTTTTGGGAAGATAATAAATTACACTAAACAAAACGGCCGAAGAATTTCATCAAGAATCGTCCAAAATGCCAAGCCTCAAATTTATCATGAATGCATAGGGCTCCTTCATTAACACACCTTTCTTGATTTCGGGCCTGAGTCATTTTGATAACTTAAAAGAGAAAACTAAAAACCGTCACAATTTGCCAACAAACATTGGTTAAAGACACCATTGTTATTTCGCACTGATGTATAAGTGAAGATAACACGACTTGGAGCAAAAGCAACATGAAAAGAATTTTTTTACAAATTGCTATGTATCGTCTACGAGTTTAAGATCTTTTTCAAACTTGTTATATGAACAGGAGAATGTTGACCTACTGGCCTGTGGTGCTTTCATTCACCTCAACTACAGAGTCTAAAGGTACTGAGGTGGTCTTAAATAAAATCAAAGCTCTAGTGCTAAGAACAGGTAAATGAAAGCAGTTGTGCTAAATACTTTGTATCTCCAATATTTACAAAGCTGAAAGCATCTGGTGAAGGCTTAGCATCTAAATGTCATACAGTGAGCAATAGAGAACATTTTACGAGTTAGTACTATCAATCACTAGCATGCAGCAAATTATAAAGCATTATTGGCTAGTAGGTAGTCATTAAAACAAGGTCTCATAAACTGAATCCCTTCTGACAATGAGACAGTAAGTATATATCAAGTTCATATAGGCTCATCAGAAGATAATTTTTTTCTGAGAATAACATAAAATGGCGATAAGCTAATAAGAAAATATCCACAGTAAGAACATTAAAGATGGCTCTTGTGAAAAGGATAATATGCCTTGAATAATGTGAGTAATATGTATGTGACCTTTATTCTTAACTAATGATTCTGTAACTAAAGCAGTCAAACTGATACCGTAATTTAAGTGAAAAAATTACATTTTCATTCAAAGCTCAAGCCTTAGCCAATGACTTGAAAGTTAACATTGATAATAATCATTAGCAGGTTCCTGCTTGATAGAACATCAAAGAAATTTTGTTTTTCAAATCAACTTTTATTACTTTTGACAGCACCAGTAAAAAGAAAAAATATTTAAGAAACTTTTCACAAAGAAGTGAAACTTATAATTTCTTGCTCAGCAAGATTGCTGGACGTTCTTCAGGAGTTGGCAGATATGGCTTTAACCCAGCACGTCGTCGTTGAAGTGATATATCACCCTGAATAGATAAAGAAGATTCAATATTCTAATAAGGGATTGAAAGTATATGAGACTGACACAATCTTTGAGAATATCTTCTAGAAAAAGAAATGTGACATTACTTACTTTGAGAGATAAATTTATTCTTAAAGAGTGATTTGGCTTTTTCATTTGAATTAAAAATATGCAAATGAATTTTTATTCAACAGCCAACAATGGCTTTAGCTTCTATCATTAGGTCATACACACTAAACAATTGAAGCTCTAACACTGCAACTCACCCAGAATTTTTTGCAAACTTTGTAGTTCTCAAAGTAGGCTCTACATATTGCGTGATCAAAATTATTTCTGTCCAAACATTGGTGAGTCAAATTATGCTCCTGGAAAAGGAAAGAATAAAAATTTATCAAGATCAATAGATGTTCTGCAGATTTTAAAAGAACTTTCCAAAAGAAAATGAATAGTAACTTAATTACCGGTACTATATAAGCTTTGAACTGCATTGTTCATACTTGATCTGAACTCAAAAATGATGAAAAATTATAATTAGGCAGTCATCAAGGATACCAAACTGATTTACACTAATTATTTTCAATATTTTACTCAAATCTTCTAGCTCCCAAAAGTTGCCCATCACATTAATTATTGTCACTTTAAATTTTAAATTTTTACCATTGCAAAAATCTATTTCAATCTGAAAGAAGAGCTACTGGTGGAAAATTAGCTTTAAAAATAAAAAATGCATCATACTAAAAAATTTAGAGCTCACAAATAAATATTGGAATACCAAAATATCAACCAGAAATTGAACTCTACAAACACTAAAATTCCAATAAAATGAAATCTCACACACCAAGCATCAAATTCTTATTTACAATAGATGAAATTAAAAATATGGACCTGATTTGTGATGGAAAATTGAACTAAAATATTCATTCATCTCCTAAAATGGAAAGTGGATAGAAGCGATCCATACACAAAGTGAAGATACCTATGTATTCTAATTTAAAATGTATAATTGCCTTTTGCTAATTTATACAATGGAAATTTAAAAAAACAGCTCTTTTTGTGATTTTTGAAAATCAACTATGAAGCTTTCTCTTTTACCTACAATTTTTGGAAATAATTGACCAGTATTCCAGAGTGGTTAATAACCTACCAAACCAGGGGTCTCCAAAACTATGGACCGTGGCTAAATTCCATCCAGCCTGCCAACAATGTCTTGTGGAGTTGTGGTCCAACATAATATGTACAAAAATCCAGCGTGGCACTTATTTCTGGTATTGTATGAACTAAAAGCAATAAATGGGCGTGACCAGCCTGTGAAGGTTTCAGAAAGCTGGCTCTTGGCCCTTGGAGAAAAAAGTTTGGAAACCTCTGTTCCAACCATGGATTTTTATCCAAATTATTAATGCAGTTTGCTTGTATGTATTCTATTATGACTTAACATTTAAAAAATGTGCATGTTGCTATTTATATGGTAAAATTTGTGTTTTGGCATAATATGGATAATTAGCATACCAAACGAGTTTGCAGATTAAAAATGGCTTTTTAACACGTTTTTCTTAGCTTAGCTTCGCGTTTGTTTGTTTGTTTGTTTGTTTGTTTGTTTGTTTATTGTTAACATTGACAACAAAAATTAGCCCACTTCTGATTGCTCTAGAGATCTGAAATTTGGCATGCAGGCTATTTTCGCCTAACAATTTCAGATACAATCATAAAAACTAGCAATTAGAGACCTAAATTAGCTTAATTGAGTAAAGTATATATATATATATAGTATGTATATATATATAGTATGACGTGCGGGCGCTGACGCTGCGTATCATCGATACGTACGTGAAGTCAAGTAAATTGGCTCGCAACAACGTTTTTCATGTGTAGCAACGGACTAAAAAGGAGAAAATAAAATACTTAAAAAAAACTTTTTAAAAAATCACGTTTTTCTTGTGGACTAAAAAATAGAAAATAAATTAGGGCTCACCCCAAAAAACGTGGGTCGGGCTGTACATTCACCATCAAATTTCCAAAATTTGTGTGTTGTGTGCTTTTTGCTTTAATCATAAATCTGCCTGACACACGTTTTTTGGGGTGAGCCCTAATTTATTTTCTATTTTTTAGTCCACAAGAAAAACGTGATTTTTTAAAAAGTTTTTTTTAAGTATTTTATTAAAGCTTGGAAAGAGGATTCATAGCACAAACAAAAGCGACAAAAAATCCATGAATTTTGGTTCTAAAATTCCAGTCAAGGCTTATAGAGTAGATACTTTTAAAACTAGGTTATATATGTATTATAACATTATACTATACATAACATGATAATTGAGGTTGTATACAATAATTTTGATATACTAAGAGATTAAAATAAGATTGATTTGAATAATTAATTCTGTTTTAAGCTCTAAAAGTGCAACTCATAGTAGTTCATAGTAGGCTAACATAACGGATTTTGTGGCAGCTGGCAATTTGTCTAAAACCATATAGGTACTACATCTTAGCCTTAGGAAAATTTTTTCTAAATTTGCAGATAAAAATTCTTTTTAATGATTATTAAAAACTAGGGTAAACGCGGTATATTCCGACATCGTAGGTAATTCATTTCCATTCTAAAGGCTTTTTAATAAATATGGCAACATTATGTGACGTTTCATCATTGCTGACGCGTAGTGAAGTGTTTTGAGAGTCATGTGAAGGCAACAGAACTTACGTAATGCATACGGTTTTTTTTATAGTTTTTCATTTCTCGATGCGTCCTTAAAGTGTCGGAATATACCGCGTTTACCCTACTAGTGAAAATATGTATTTTATTCCAATCTTAAAAAATGAAAATAATAAATAAAGCCTCAGTAAAAATTTATACCTACTTGTGTCAGACTGTCAGCCAACAGCTGTGATGACACCATGTCATGCTCATGGGCATGGCGTAATGCCATGAGCATGAATAAACTGTTTTAAATGCCATGAGACTAAACAGTTAAACTGTTAACGCCATTGGCAATGACAGTTTAAGCCTAGTCTCATTCAAAAGTGCCTTCTGCTCAAATTAAATTTTGAAATTAAACTGCATTAGCTTAAGCCTTAGCTACCATACCGACGTAAGAGAAAAAAACTTGTATAGTAACTTTCTGAATGCCATTATAATTATTTAAATAGGGTTAAGTTAAAGTACCAAAACCATGAATACTTTTTTACTAGCCTAGTATCGTTTGACCCAAGTACTATCAATGAAATTATTCTATTCTCTGAGTAAATTGGAACACATGTTCGATCTTGCTCACCTTAACACAGGGGTTATTGCGGTCGTCGAGCGCCCTTGTGAGTTTTTCCCGACTCATTGCATGGCCACCGACGGCCCTGCCAGTCGGTTTGTTTTCCGTCATATCCATGGCAACCGAATGACATCCGTTTACGTGGATGTCCAACGAATGTCCGCAACTGTCGACCAATACATGAAAAGTTGTACGTCATAGTAGAAAATTTACGAATATAATAAAACTGATATATAAGGATCATCTACTTAAACTGTCTTATAAAACCAAACTACAATCTGCCCGTGGATATATTTTTCGTTGTCTTATTGACCTCTCGGACACTCTTGCGGCCTGTCCTGTGGCCGGTCCCCAAGATTCAGCAAACATGGAAAATCTGTCAAACTAATGATCGCACCTCGATAAAACTTTGCACATGCATTCATTACGACCAAACTGTAGTGCTCGGATCGTTATTTTTCCCAATTTTACCTTCGTTTCTACTTTAAATGGTCCTGCGGGCCAAAATTAGAATACAATAGAATTGAAATGTCGGCACTAAAGAAATTAACCCACGGTCTGTTGCCTATTAGCAGTGAATATGCGAATATTTTCTGAACTACAAAAAATTGCACGAATCTTTTAATATACATTTCTAATCACCTACCGCTAATGGTGCGAAACTCGTGCGAAAATGACCAAGTAAGGGCCCATATATGAGTCATATATTATATTTACGGAGAAGCGGCCGTTATTGCTGCGGTCGATTGTCCAAGTTGCTGTGAACATAAAATATATCCCAAACTAATGAACGCAGCTCGATGAAATTTTGCAGATTCGTTCATTAGGACCAAAGAGTGATTTACGGTCTATTATAGCCCTATATGTATAGGTCAAGGTCATTTTTTAGCGCATTTTCTCATTTATGGAAAAAAGGCACTATTGTGCTCGCCATGTCCGTCTGTCTGTCTGTCCGTCCGTGACCTCAAGTTTTCGTCGACGAGTAAATGCGCTCTCTGTCACTCACTGCAGTGAGTACTGAGTTATATTTTTTTTGACATTGCCTTCGTTTGCGATGTATAATGTTGATCCAAGAATAATTTTTATTTAAATATAATATGGTACTTGGTAAATTACAAATGGTTTCGACTAGCCGGACTTGTTTTAACGCTTTTGTTTTTGAAGTCTCTAATGATTTACCGAATAATATAATAATTTCAACTGTGTTTTGCAAATGACAATGTCATTTTTAAATGTAAGGAATGATGCTGTTGCTTGCGTAGTTTGATCGCTTGATTACATATTATGGAAATTCAGACTGCAGTTGGAAGAGGGCAACCCTCACTGCAGCAGAGCTGCCAACCGTCCACCAATATAGCCCCTATCGTGGTTGCCACTCTTCAGTCTCTTGCTAACTCTTGCGTAGGTGTCGCAGCGCCTCGGGTTTCGAGGTGCGCAATGAAGTGCAGCGTTTGTCATTCAAATTAGAATTGGTGGTAATTAACTCTAAAACAGCCACAAATACCCCCTTAATTGGTATTAGTTTTTATGAATTCAAAACCTTGCAATTCGGACCTCTTGCACTTAATTTGGTCAGCAAACATTTACACTGACGTAGAAAATTTGAGCTATAGACTTTGTAAGAACCCTGAAGATTGGATGCAAAGTTCATATCGATATAATTGATGACTATTCATGAAAGCCTCTGAATCACTGATGTTAGGGAGGTACTAAATCAAGGACAGTACAAATACGTGACAGTAGAGGTGGATACAGCCCAGATAGGGGTGTCAAAAATCGCCATGAGAATTGTGATTTAATCTGAAGGTGAGTCAAAGGATAAATTTTGTTTTTGTTAAAAAAAAATAACTAGGAAACTGAAAATTAAATAAAATCAAGCCGTTGAAGTGATTCGCTATAAATTTAACTTTTTAACATAATGGGATGATTTAACATTGCATATCCTTCGATAAACCTATTATTTACAAAAGGTACAAATTAACTAAAATTTCACTCGTGGAAAAAATTGCGTTCATTATTCGGACTATCTGCATTTTAAATTAGATTATGTACATGTTTTTAATTAGAGATCTCTATTTTCTTCAAACTAATTTATAAACTTTAGTTTAAAAAATTTTACGCCACATGTAGTGAAGGAGAATGCAAAGGAAATGTGGTGGCCATTGTACGAATATGCAAGTGCGTGCACTGGTCAATTGCAGTGCGTTCGGTGGAGCTAACAAAAGCGTCCTTCAATGAACGACTCGTTGATGGCTGGCAAAGTACCGCTTAACTTGCGTTCTGTTCTCGCTTTTTGTCATCTTTTCTGACTTCATCATCTAGGCCACCGCTTAACTAGCGTTCTGTTCTCACTATTTGTCATCTTTCCTGACTTCATCATCTAGGCCACCGCTTAACGTACGTTCTGTTCTCACTTGTTGTCATCTTTCCTGACTTCATCATCTAGTCCGCCGCTTAACTTGCGTTCTGTTCTCGCTTATTTGTCATCTTTCCTGACTTCATCATCTAGGCCACCGCTTAACTTGCGTTTTGTTCTCGCTTTTTGTAATCTTTCCTGACTTCATTATCTAGGCCATCGCTTAACTTGCGTTCTGTTCTCGCTTTTTGTCATCTTTCCTGACTTCATTATCTAGGCCACCGCTAACTTGCGTTCTGTTCTCGCTTTTTGTCATCTTTCCTGACTTCATTATCTAGTCCGCCGTTTAACTTGCGTTCTGTTTTCGCTTTTTGTCATCTTTCCTGACTTCATCATCTAGGCCACCGCTTAACTTGCGTTCTGTTCTCGTTTTTAGTCATCTTTCCTGACTTCATCATCTATCTAGGCCATCACTGCGTGCCGAATCCCGAGAACTTGTTGTATTTAATTAGCGTAACATACTGCAGTTCACACGTTACAGTGAGTGTCCACGTAGGAGATTTTATTTGTCAGTGATAATGATACAATTAACATTTCGTATATATCGTAAGATAAACACCAAGATTTACACAAGGGCTTGCAAATATATCATATTAATTAAAAAAAGACATATGTGCATCATATAAATATTTGTATGCACAAACCAATTAGTGAAACTGAGGTTACTGCTTCAACCTCGCATGGAACGCAGCTCTCAGTGATCACGCCCAGTGAGCCCAAATCGCGTCTGCAGTCACGCCATCCTGCTGGTTTATTCTAGCACCACAGCTATTCTGCTACGTTTATTCCATCGCCATAGCTATTCTGCTGCGTTTATTCTATCACTATATTCGAGCTTTCCTTTGTTGTGACAGCCTGAGCTGTGGGTATGGAGCAATTAGCTTTAATTACACAAGCTAGGCGTATTTTCTGCCCTGAACGTAATTGCAGGAATCGGGCAAAGTTTTACATCACAAAGATTGTTAATTGTGGCGAGGGAGAATCGTTTTCTGCGATCCAGGTTTGGCCTTGGCTATTAAAAAAGCTGTGGTCATATCATAGGTTTGAAACAATATTCTTTTATGGAACAATATTCCAGAGAAAAACATATCGGGACATATTTTACAAGCCGTAGGTCAGCGCGTTTTTAAATTTCTCAAGAATGGTTACTATATTTATAAAAAAGTTGTTTGCATATAAAATGTAGACTTTAATAGGTATTCACACTACAAATGGCTTTCTGACTCACCATTAATACTGAGTAATTACACTTTAATTTATAGTTAAAACTCTTGGATATGTGAAACCGAAAGTTCTGGTTCACTAAAAAAAATCGAAGTAATGTCGCTTCAATGCTTGTCTCTCGGGGCTTGGAAAGTTCATTAAATTTTAACATATGGAATCAACAAAAAAAAAATTATTGGTAAATTGTGAATGACATTATTCAAAATAAACTCCATCTAATGCAAAATTCTATGTATTGTTACCGTAATATATCAATTAATTGAGTTGTGTTTATGTAATAACGTAAAAAACTTTGAAGGATTTTTTACAATAAATTGCATTTAATCCGTTGATTGGATGGCTGTTGTGATGATTGGACTAAGGCCGACCTTGGCTGATCTTTTTATCGTCCATTGGCATCGATTGACGCTGCCTTGACGTTCGTAGGTCAGGATATAGAAACAGAATATCATCTGAGCGACCATGACAGATGCGAGTCAATCACCACCTCCTAAATGACACGGTAGAACTTCCACCTGAAGATTGCGGTAGTAAAGTGTGACATTTTTTACTGGTCCCTTAAAATCTGTTTTCTATTTGTAAAGGTTTGTGCGTTTGTTTGAAGCCTGACGCTGGAAGTGTATGGAGGCTGATAGGATTTCCGTATGACGAGATTCGGTATAACGAGATTCGGTATGACGAGATTCGGTATGACGAGATTCGGTATGACGAGATTCGGTAAGACGAGATTCGGTATGACGAGATTCGCAGAGGTGGGAAGTAGCGCGCTACATGTAGCGGCCGCTACATTTTCAGAAGCGGTAGCGGTAGCGGCGCCACATTTAAGCAATAGTAGCGGTAGCGGTAGCGCTCGCTACATTTAGAGCACGTAGCGGAGTGGTAGCGGCCGCCATATTTCAAAGTAGCGCTGCCCAGCTCTGTAGATTCGGTATGACGAGATTCGGTATGAATGGAATAGTCATTTCCCCTGATATTCAAATTTGGTAGGATACAAGACGAACCCTCTAGCAATGCTAGGCTATGCAGCTAGTATGTAATTAGTGCGGACACTAGAATAATATGGCAGAATATGTTCTTTTATACAAGTTAAATTCATTACCAAAGAATGCAATTTTATAAAAAGGTTTCATGTTCGATGAAATTGCAAAAACGAACAAGAAAATTAGTTTCTAAAAATGCATTCTCTGGGCATCAATCACGCTTGTATAATTAGTCAATAGAATAGAATAGAATGAAATAGAATAGCAGTGTCGGCACTGAGGAAATAGGCCCATGGCCTGTTGCCGATTCTTGAACTTTTCGTGACTTGATTCACAAGGGATCCGGCCTTTGGAACCCGATCTTTCCATAGCTGACGATTGATTGAGATAGCTGCTGGACTTATTGCCTGGTCCGTAATTTGCTAGGCATTTTAAGACTGAACATATGCTCCTGCATAGCTTCGTCTAGTCTGTTTTTGAAGATGTTCATACTCGGAGCGTCAAAGATGCTATCAGGGAGGCTGTTCC